ATAATTGGAAAATTTTAATAGCTGTATTTGCTAAACAAAATTTTATAAATTATTAATTTTCTTTTTTATAACTTCTCAAGCTATTAGTGAAGTAATTACATATTTACTCAAACTTAATCATAGCTTATGGTATTTAATATTGCTTATCCATTTTTGGTAGTTATGTATTGAGTAAAATCCTTCTGTAAATATTCGCATTTTATACCCAATGAATATTTAAAATAAAGTTAATATACCCCGTGTGAATGTATTACGAATGCCCGCTGGGGCTACGCATACTTATTTGTAGGGTAATTGAAAGTTGGTCAAGTGTGAACGACAGCTCTGAAATTGGATAGGGACATGTTGCCTACCCTTGCTCTCTCACTCACCCTTCGATCGCTGCCTCACCCTCTACCTATGAGCTAACCTCCTGCCATTGCTTGTCCGTTATGGAGATTCTGCTTAACGGCTTGAAAAACGATAAAATTCAACTAGGCTCAAAGCTGGGCAATAGCTTAAAGAAACTTTCTTACAAGTATTAAGTATTATTTAAGGATCTTTAAAGAGGCCACCAGCGCCTGCCTCCCCTGAGAAAATCGCAGCATGGATGAAGCACACATGGTATTATGGCACAGTAATGAGCCTAATTTGGGCGCATTCATTTGGAAAATTAAAAATTAAATTGCTTTTGTCTCGCTGTTTTCTCATCAACAAAATATTGTAAGAATTATTTATAATAAATCTCATTAACGTTCGGCAGACAACAGCACCAAAAAAGAAGTGAAAAAAACACTCAATTTTGGCTGACAGAACTGAATTTTTGGTTTCGAGTGTGCAAACTGGGAACAGAAACACAAACAAAATACAATTTTGATTGCTTGGAGTGTTCGTTTGCTTTTCTTAGAATTGTTCAGCTTTTGTTGAAAATCTCAAAATGTGATTCCACAAATTAGGTAAAGCTGTGCAGCTATGATTATTGGATGCTTGTGTTTTGTTTGATTCTTGATAAGATCTGATTAGGATGAGATTCGAACTGCTATGAATTTAAAAAATATTTAATCAACTTTGTCATGAGCTGAATTTTGCCTTAAAACAACAATTTTTATGTGGCTGTTGGCAAACATATAATAATAAACACAAGTAGATAATAAACCAATCCCTTTAAGCTGTCATAAAATATCAATCAATAGCTTTATCAAACTTTAGTTCTAGCCCGCAAAATGCCGCCTCATCGATGATGCGTTGATCAAATAATTGTACTAAAGATAAATTTATCCCAAAGCAGTTTTCGTTTATCCAAACCAAGTGTTTGGCCATTGGGGGTATTCTCACGCTTATCATTTTCATGCATTTGTAAAAGGTAACGCGCACAATTCGCTTATGGCAAATGCATGTTTGAAATTGTATTTTATCGGCTGCCAGATGCTTGGCAACAAATATGGCCCGTAAATATACACAATAACCGGAAAGCAATTGCTTCACGCCATTCGAGCCGCTGAAATATTAGCCTCGTTTGCCCGCCGGCCCAGCCAGACGGCATCCACTGACTGCAGGACCAGTTGTTATTCATTCGGCATTCCCTGCATCCAACTCTGCCCCTGACAATCTCTTCGCCAAGTTAAGGTGGAGAGGCAACGCACACCAACGATTTTTTTTCTTTTTCTTATTATTTTTTTTCTTTTATATATATATATATATTTTACACTGATTGAATATGGCCAAACATCTGGTAGGGCCGCAAGCGCTCTAAAAAGAGGTATTGAGCATTTTGTGCACGAATTGCCAAAATAAATATTTAAATTTTTTAAGAGTAACTCATTCAAATTTATGTTTGCTCGCACTTTGTAAAGCCGGCTTAAATTTAAGCAGGTAATTGAGAAGGGAACGGTCGGATCAGTGCTGATTGGCAAAACTTATGTAATGCAAATATTTATTTAACGATATTTGACAAGAGCATAAGGAAATGAAATGCAGGTATTACAGAAACCGAAAATGGATGTAGCGAGAAAAATTGATGTAGCTATACATTAAAGTTGTTCACCGCTCTCTTAAGGCCAATATTAAGTGGAGTAAATTGAGCTATTTATAAATATTGCACTGGATCCTGTGTTAATCCTCCTTGAGCTCTATATATGAAAGCCATTTAATTTAATATTTAATTTAATTTTATATTAAAATTGTACGTACGTATATGAGATGTTCTCAGAAGTAGTATATATAGAAATGAATGCAACAAATTGAATTGAGGTAGGCCTATGAGGAACCCTTAATTTACTCGTAGCAATAATAAACTAGACTTCCAAATAGACAACCATCCTATCAACGAAAACGCGTTACGCACTCATTATATTTAATAATTGCTTTAGCACTTTCCATTACATTTGGCAACTAAGCACAATTTGGCGCAACGTATACCCGTATAAATCATTTGGTGTTTGGGCTAAATGAGACTTCAAAGCAATCGACTCATCAACAAATGAAGGCGGGCCTCAATCAGGACGACTGCCTCAATCAGTCATGGATATATATTGACGTCTCGCCCACAACACATAATTGAGCAAACGCTCAACCCAAGCACACAAGGCAAATACGTTAACACATCTTCCATCGTTTTTCTTTTTTTCTTTTATTTTTTTTTCTGTGTTTTTGGTATAAGGGTGGGTTGCTTGTTGAGTGCTTGTGGTCAAATATTCTTTTTTTTTCTTTTTTTTGGCTTTTTGGTCAGTAATAAACTTTTTGCAGGCGTCTGACTGCGGCTCACAACGAGGCTCACAATGCACGCTCAGCCCAATTCTCCGTCGCATCCTGTATGTCCGCCTCCAATTAGAGATGTGCTGATTTGGCGCACTTAGCTAACGGCACGCCTCATGCAACCCCCCATCCCTCACTGTAATCTCTCGACTCCCCACTCGTCATCGAGTTTCCCCTCTCCCCTTTCGGGTGGTGTTAGGCTGATTCGGTTTAGTTCGATTTGGACTGCCTGTTGTTGAAAAGCCATTAAGATCATGCTCCATTAATTGGGTACTAATGAAAATGCGAGGGCAGACCAGTCCAGCCCGGTCCATATATACTTGTTATTGGGCGTGGCGGGGGCGGGTTTGAGTGTCAAAATTGTGCATGTACCAGATAGTTTTTGGCTACAGCGGACAACCCCGATGCCGACAGCAATGCTGGGCCAACAAATTAAGTTACACTTGCAAAATGCCAAACGAATCGTGGTCAGCGAATAAAAACCCAAAAAAAAAAAAAACAAAAACACACAGCAGAGTGTCTAAAACAGAGCTCCGAGTGCAAAAATAGGCAAGTGGTGCAAATGGTAAATGGGTGTAGGCAATTCGCCAGAAAATTCTGGACTACAAAGAGAATAAAATATGCATGGGTATGTTTGGGGGCTTGATGGGACTTTGTCACGAGAAGCTCCACAAAAAAATCGGAAAAAATCGGCAATACCCCTGGCAATTGGATGGGAACGTAATTGTAATTAGCGTTGAAACGAATCAGTCGCACAAAGAATCGAATGGTTGATGTTGTCGTAGTCGTTGTGGGTGTGAAATTGGCACACAGTGCTTAAATTGTTCTAAGTGGGTTAACACAACAGATAAAGAGCATACGAAATGAGTTAGGATTGCAGAAACCGATAGCATCTTGTGCTGCATAGCAAATAAATTATACATATACTTAAATAATTTATTTCTCTGTCCTTAGATCTTTGTTCAGAAATCTTAAAAAGTTGTTTCAAGTGTATCCCTTGAAAGCATCACTGGATAACTTTTTGACAAGCTCTTAAGTAAGTGTTAAGCAAAATATGCCCAAGTACTTAAAGCATTAAAGTCGTTTACTTGCAGATAGAAAATCTTAATTACCATATATCATATCATCTGTCATATTTAAGTTTGCATAATCATTGCCATACATATTTTCATATTTTGTTTCTCTTTAAATACCCATAATCTTCATTTCCAAATCTGTTTTGTTTCGGTTTTTGATTCATGAAGCGGGGAACAAAAGCAACTGGGCAAAATGCACAAAACGTTTGCCAGCTAAGGGGATTAAAATGAAGTTGGTTCTTGCACTTAACCAAACCGCAATAAATCAAAACACCTGCCAGGGTGCTTATAAGCCATGGCAATACAAAACAATGGGGGACGCAAGTGCTGCAACAGAAACAAAAGCGAAATCAAAACTTTTGAGGCAGGCGGTATCTAGAGAAAAGGCAAAGTAAGAAACAAGCTAAGGCAAAAACAGCCACAGTTGCAAAAACAACGTGGCTTACAACAATTACAACAGGTGCTCAACACACATGCACGCACACACACTCACACATACATCCAAGAGTAAACATTTGATGTTGCCTACTTTAAAGAGCCGCATTCTCATGTACCACACGACGTATGCGTGTTGCATGTTGCCTACTTTTGCTGTAAGCTAGCATTTGTTCAACTGAATTTTGGACTAGCAAAACAAACAAAAATAAATAAAAAACAAAAGGCATAAGAAATAAAGCAAAAGAAAACAACAACAAAAATTAACAAAATACAAAATAAAACAGAGAACAGAAAAAACCCCGCGTCAAAAGTGAAAAACTTTAAAGCTGTAAAGTTTTGTGGCGAAAACTTGGCTCACACCTTTTGTGGCAGCAATGCTCCTCTCTGCGAAATGCAGTTAAAAACTTGCAGCCGCAATTCAATTAAAACTTCTATGTAATACACACATACTTACACAAGCACACACACACGCACACACACACACACTCATGTGCAGCTGCATCTTTAACAACATTACGATGAAATGCCAAGTCTCTGGCTGCTTTTGGCCTCAGCTGTCGCCATGTAAACAAAACAGTGCCAAGAGCTGGCTAAAAGAGCAACCCATACAGCCGGCACCTTGTGCACCCACTCTCCAAGTTCTCTCTCCAAGACTGGCTTTATCCGCGCAGTCGCATTGCAATCCACTTGACGCACTATATAAGCAGCTGCCCCAAGCATTTGGCAATTAGTTGACTTGCGTCTCGCGTTCACTGAATGCCGCCAAAAGATAAAAAGAAAACTTGACTAAGATCAAAAGTTGGCACTTTTAAATTGTGTTGGACAACTTGTAGATGGTTATTGCGTAAAGTGTACAGTTCTTGTGGCCATGACAACAATTCGACTCATCGGCAAAATCAAGACAAAAATATCTAGCCTATCAAAAGTTTGAAATTCAAATTTCAATTTGAAGTTTTAATTAAATTTGCAACAAATTGTGGCGCGAACCGGATCTGCTTTGCAGCATGTTACGAAATACAATCAAATAAACTATAATTAGCTTTTGATTGTGGTTGTGTGCAATTTAATTAGCTGGGCAAAAAAGAAAAAAAAAAAACGTTGACGAAACAAAGCAAAAAGCGCTCAATAAACGACAAAGCCATAAACTAATCCTCATTGTGGGCTACCAACTGTTGATAATTGCTTAATTAAAAATAAATATTATCCTTTCTGATCACATCCGCATTATAATTAACTTTGTAATTACTACATTTTATTTGTCTTATCTCTTATTATTTAAAAGTGCGGACCATTTTAATTTGCCTATCATATTTTTCATTAGCATTTAACAAAATTTCATTTTTCTGGTCAATTAAATTCGGTCATACAATAAATGTGTGTTAAAAACTAATTAAAATTTTTGTTTGGGTAAATTAAAATAAATGCCCGAACATTTTAATTGCATAAATTATACAAAATGGCAAACTATAAATTATTCTAACATAAATCGCATACGTTGCAAAGGACAAACAAATTATTTAATTAAAACTTTCAGATTAAAAGCAAGCAAACTTTGTGGAAAAAAATATTGCTGTGTGAACCAAGTAAAATCGCTCAGATACAGTTCTAGGTGAGTGTGTGTTTCTTCAAGTGTGAAATTCAAGCAATGAGCAGCTTAAGAGACAACAGGAATAAAATTGCAAATCTCCTGCCACAATAAACAACACCATAATTCAGTGTGTGTATTTTATCTGTGCGTTCTCGGTGTACACTGCAGACAGTTGCAAATGTTATTTATACGCAATTCCAACATACGACTTAGTAACTAAAAGCCAGAAATTTATTATGATGGATACTTAATAAAAACGTGGCAAGGTCAGCTAAAATAACAAGCACACTGTGAGTATCAATATAAGGTAACATCTTCAAACGCTTATACACACTTATGCCAAAAGAAACATTTTACAAATATTTAAATGATACATTGATTTTATTTTTATATTTTTTAAAACTATAATCCAAAATTCATTTAATGTCTTTTTTGTGTACACAGACTTTCCCATGGGTATTGCAAAAGATTTTGTTTATTTAGATGAGCATCATAGCAAGTTTTAATTGAAAATTCCTGTCGACTTGAGTTGAGTTTAGTTTTCTTTTTCAACAGCAGCATAAAAATAATAAATATACCAGGAATGCGAAAAGTAAATAACCAAACTAATATATGACTCTGTGTGGCATTTGGTCCCTCAAAGCCTGCTTGATTGACTTAAGCGCTTGTACAGGAAAAAGTTGCAAGGAACACATGTACCGCATTGTGCATAATTGAATATGGAGCAGCAGAAATCTCGTATTTAGCAGATGCTTTGTAAAATTTTTCAGTCTTTATTTTATTTTAGACATAAAGATTGCATGGCTAATGGTATTGAAGAAAAAACAGACAAACTCTGCTAATGTGATACACAATAAAAGCAGACAGAGTCAGTATGAACAGATAAGAATAGCAAAGGTAGCCAGTTAATGTGCACCCCTTTTGTAATGTGAAAAGTTTAGCACTGATATCTGCAAAATATTTCACGATTCTTCTATGTGAAACGCAATAAAAATAATGTATACATAATGTTGAATAAAAGCATTTCGAGTGTGTCTGTGTGTGTGTGTGTGTGCGTGCCCTCATAGCGCCCGCATCTGTGTGGTATTCTGATCTATGGTAATTTGCAAGTTAAATGTCCTAAGCGATAATGTTCATAATTTACGAGCACCAACAATACAGGAGCGGAGTGCCCACCAAGCGGGCAGTTTGAGCAACAGTTTTTAACAATCGATAAAGTGTTTTTCCTAAAAGTGTTTAACATTAATATTTTAGTTTAGTCAACAAAAAAAATCAATTCAAAATACATAAATTTTTTTTTTATTTTAGGTTTAAAAATCACGATTTTAGGGGGTAATTTAGTTAACCAATTGTTCAACACTTACTTAACTTTTTTGAACGCTCCTGAGCCATAAGCGAATAAGGCCCCAAGCATAAAAGGGGGGGTTGGGGGGGGGGGTGGAGGGGCAGACAACAAGAGCGGGAACCATGGTTATAGCTCTTATACCATTAAGTGGCATTATAATTATCATCTGCACAGCGTAGAGGAGCAGCACTAAGTGCAGAGAGCAAAAGGAGCAGTTTCCAGTTAAGCGGGCACCTCTACCTATAAAGTTCGCAATTTGATGTGCTCATTAAACCATGATGGAGGCCACTTAAATCGCACGGGTTAACAGTTAACAGTTAACATTTATGCCGTTGCTGCTTGCCTCTCCTTATCAGCCAGCAAATTCAGTAGGTATTTGGGGATGGAGCCTAATCAGAGCTCGCCCAAAATTAAGACCCCAGTCCAATTAGTAAATAAGCCGCTTGGATTGTAATTAATTGGCCTGACGAGACAGAGGAATAAAAATAATAATAACCCTGTAACAAAAACGGGTCCTCAATGGGCATAATGCCTTTTATAGAAATGTGTAGCAAACTGCATTGGTATTTGGGATCAGCTCTGCATGCTGATATGATTTGTCGATGTTAATTTATTTGTCAGATTGAATTCGATTCCTCTGACTACAATTAATGTTGAAATAATCTCAACATTTCTAAGGGATATCTATTAGTCGAGTACACTTAAGCATTCCTCACTTAATTGTTTACTTCTTGGGTATATCAATAATACTCGCACACAGCAGGTGTTTATTTTATAAACTCGATGCGGTATTTGCCGCATGAATCCAATTTCTCTTCTAACCATGTTGATATTGTCTGAGATTAGGATTTTAAAATTAATTGTGCGCATAAATTTGCTGAAATGCGCTCCGGGCACAGGGCCACATTCAACATCCTTTCAGTTTCCGGTGGCAGGGCTTTTAGTTAATGGAGCACACAACCTTTTGGCATTTTGTTTTTGTTGCTGTTGTTGCTGTTGTTTGCTGATGGGCTATAAATTTACTTTCGTCTCAAATGACTTTGCATAATACAGAAGCTGAAAATTGAAATATATTCGACTTCTCCGACTATTCATTTCATGCTCTCTTATTTGTTTAGTTATTAAGTGGATTTACGCAAAATCATTATTGTTGAATTTGGCGTTCAGAGAAATTAATTTATTTGCCAGATAAACGCTGGCATTAGTGAGAAGTGTGAGTTCTTCTGCGCATTTTAAATACTCGTAATATTTCAAATCTGTGCTTAAGTGAGCCGTAAGAACTTATTTTTATTGTATTAGTGAGATAAATAGGAAAAGTAAATAACAAGAAAACTGCCTTCTGCGAACCTTTCAAGCCCATTAGTTTTTTAAATTTTCAGAAAATTAGATAAGTTGCCTAACTTTTAAAAGGTTTGAGCTTTCTGCAAATAATGCCTAAAATTATTTATTTAACTGAAAGTCCGTAAATTGGTCATAAATAAATGAAAACCTTTCGCACACACCAAAGTTTTTGTAATAACAATCACAAGAGTAACAGAAAACAAATCATAGCAGGAAAATCAATACATTTTTTTCAATAAATCTACGCTTAGAGCACTTGTTATTTAAAGCGAGAATAAAATAAAAAGGAAAACGCTCTTTAGTGATTATATTATCATTGTCAATGCCAAGACAGATGCGCAAAGCTGTTGCTGCTGTCTAAGTGAATAAAAAGTAGGAGAGGCACGAGATATAAATCAATAAAATCGGAATTTAATATAGCCACAATGCGTGGCTCAACAAAAAAACAGACGAAGACAGCCGAGAAAACCTAAATGCAGCATGACAAAGTTGAAATACTCTTACGGACATTTTAAAGAAGTTTTTGTGCAGTTGTTGCCATAGTATTGCAGATTTTCATTGTTATCGCATTTTATTGAGGTAGTACAATATGCGAACAAAGCTTTAAATCTAAAAACTAACAAAACTGGTCTACAAGTTTTGAAACTGCATTCCAAATGGCAAAGCAAGAATACCCTGTGAAAGGGTATTTGAGTTGAGCAAAACAGGCGAACGAAATGTTATTCAGGAATTTTTGCGTTCATTGATAAAGTTCTTCAGCGAATAAGGGAATCATCCAACGCATCCAACGAGCAGCTCCTTTCGAGACCCCTTGACAGTGCTTCAATTGTGATGGGTGCAAAATAATTTACATATTATGCCAGAAGAAATAAAAAAAAAAGCTGGACGAGAGCGTGGCGAATGGAAACGGGAACGGCAACGGGAACCATGCTATTGGAAGGCGGTCGTCGCTGTTGTTGCCTGACAACGGATACGGACACCTATCAAACTACTGTGATGTGCTTTTTATATCATTTTGTGTGGCATGTGGCATGTGTATGCGACACTAAAGTGGAGCTCTAATGTCTGTCTGTGTTTTTTTCGTTTTTTTTTTGGATTCTCCTTCCCTGAGCTCGGAAAATCTGTGTAGCATATGCGAGGGCAATTGGATATTTTATAGCTATTTTTATTGTGGTTTAAGTACGTAGAGAAAACGCAAAAAGCATTACTTATGCACAGGACACGAATATCAGTTGCCGTAATCCGCATAATGGTGAGGCAGATTACGGCTCAACGAATGTCTGGCTGTTTGAGGTGACACTATAAAATTCATTTTAAAACATTTCGGCCTTAATCATTCGTGCTGATAAAAGACGACACTTGTCCCCGAGGATAATTGCGTATGCGTGTGGAACGCACAAGGACCTCAGACCCCCAACAAAATGTCGAGCGCAAAGCGACTCGTCCAAGGGGCATTTAAGGCATAATTTGTGCACAAAATATATATTTGCTGGCTTATGCAGAAAATTTGCCTCCCAGACAGAAATACGGACAGACAGGCAAGGGACACTGTGAGACAGACGGAGAGAGATGTAAGACCCAGCCGGTGGCCAAGTTCCGAGCCCAAATCTCCCTGCGCCACTTGTAGAACTTTACGAAAAACGTGCGGCGCTTTTCAACTCTGGCCAGGCGTGCGAGCGGGTGGCTATCTGTTTTACGAGTCCTTTGAGAGTCGTACTTGTTAAATTTTCGACCCATCGCTCCCTCACATCGTTGCTCCGTGGTGGGGGCCGGGGGTTGAGTTGGTGCCTGGGGAGTCGCTCGAAACATGCTAGAGATTTGCGTTTGGCAACTGGCTTTTGATATTCAATCATGTCGAGCATTGCTAACAAAACGACCAACTTACGCAATCACACACACCCACACACACCCACACACAGCCACACACCATAACACACGTTAGGACACTTTTAGCCGGCCTTCAATTTATTTGTAATAATGGTCTCTCATTTTTTAATGTTGCCTTTTTTGGCCAGCGAGTTTGTTGTCTGCTTTGCCTCTTATTAATCAATCGCATACGAAATGTTTTTTATTTCCGTTTTATTTTATTTTTATAGGTTTCACTTCGTTGAAAAACTGAAATAGTCGATGTTTTTTTACGGGTCAACGACTGGTCCCACATCAAATTGATTGAGGCAAAAATGTCCTGGGAAACGAAAACTTTTTATCATATATTTAATTTGAAAAAGAAATAAAAATTACATTTGATTGAAAAATATAAAAATAATTTTTTTGACAAACTGTACAAATGTGACAAATGCTAAAAGTGAACAAAGAAATGACGCCAAAGAAATATAAAAATGACCAAATTCTCTATTGTATTATTTTTAAATCTGATGCGTCCACAAATAGTTTGGTGCATTTCATAAAATAACGTTTGCCATAACAACGCTTTCAACGGATAATTTTTGATTTACGAAAGCTTCCTTCTGTTTGAAATTGGAATCTAACTGATTAGTAAATATTCAAGATGTAATTGGAAATTGCATCGCTTAAGCTCTTAACTAGATTATTTTGAACTCAACTGATTCTAAGAGATTGTGACAAGAGAAAACTTTTGTCCATATGCAAAAAAGTTTAATACATAAGACAAAAAAAAATTAAATGAAAAAGTGCTGCAAATACAAAAGGCAATGAAAAACCAAAAAACAATAACAATTACACTGATTGCTGCCCTCGGAGACTATGCTGAAAGTTGAAAGTGACCTGACGAATGGTCACGAAATGGAAATGGAAAATGCCAACGGAATGGTATGGAGAACCCGTACCCTCTACGAATATACGGGCAATCCATTGACAATAACTCGGTCGCTTCTACGGTAGACTGCTGTCTATATTGTTTTTGTTTTTTGTTGCCTTCTCTTTTTCTGCACCAGGCAATGCTATAAAACAATTGAGAGCTCAATTTTGCACGGCCGGTTGGTTTTATTTTACATAACTCCTTCTGTTGGCGAAAAAAAGGATGCGCCTGCAGCGCAGGATATGCACATACCAAATAATTTCAGTGCCAGTCGTAACTTTGTTAGCCCTGCACACACACACACAAACACACACACACGCACAATGCCAGGAGGCAGGATCCAACATTTATCTGGCAAAATGTTTTGCTCTTCCATTACTCGCATTGTTTCAGGAGCAGACAGCAGGCAGCGGGCATCAGGCTTCAGGATATGCTGGCCGGATAAGGAAGGCAGGGGTTCAGCGCTTATGTGCGTAAAAATTCTATTTGATTATTGCACGTTTATGTTGGCAAAGATGGACCAGCAAACTGGACAGAGCAGTCGGCATCCTGCAATCTTATGGCTAGGACAATGCATTTCATTCCCTTTGCTGTTAGCCCAGTTTAGTTCAACGAAATAGCTTAAATGTTTAATCGAGATATTTATTTCCTGCAGCAGGATATGAAAGCGAATGCATTGACTTTGATGGCCAATACACAAAGCTATACCCAGATAAACAGAGAGAGAGAGAGAGAAAGCGAGGGGGACGATACCGTATCAGTTTGAACGTTGTGCAGAGCAAATATCTTAAATGAACTGCACCAAAGGATTGCGTTTAATTATTTCTCTGGTCATTTTAAGGGGAGTGGAGCCAGGGCAGGCCTTAGCTACACGAAGTTAAGGCACACACACTATGTATCCTCAATTTTAATGGCTGCAATAAATTGCATACTGAAACATTACACATGAGCCAACACTGCAGGAGCATGGGTTAAGAGTTGGATGTGACCCCAAAAGGGGAAGCGTGCTTAACGTAAATGGGCCAGTTGCATAGACAATATGCTAATAAATAGCTGCGTTCTGCTAGAGCAAATTGTTTCATACAGAAGTAGAGGGTAATCAAGAGAGATGGGTTAACTTTTTCAGATATTTTTATCTTGGTAACCGCACCTTGGAGATTCATTAGCAAATGCTTGCGATATTTATATACTTAAAATTGTCTCGCTAATCCTTGCAGTTCTCTGACTGTAGTTCTGTCACTTCTTGTTTTGTTTCTCTTCTCGCTTAGATTCTCCATTGCTTAGTTTGGCTTCTCACTTTGAGCTAATGTTTACTTTACTGAAATTCTCGCTAAACTTTGTATTTTTTTCAACATTTCTCATTGTAATTCACTAACCTTATCACATTGCTTCATTCTTCACGCTTTGCTTTTCACTTCTCATCTAACTGCTGTTCTTTTTCCTTTTGCTTCCCACACTATTTCTTTTCTTTTCTCTTTTATATTAACATTATACTGCACTGCTTATCGGACGAACTGTCATCTCTTCTCAGACTGTACACAACTTCGCTTCATCATAATCATAAATTTTGGTTTACCTAAGCATAACATTCAATTTATTTTAATGATTCTTTCCATTCTCCCATCTATCATTCTTTTCGTTTATCTTTTATTATAACTCTGTGTGCGTTCTATCGTTGCAGCACAGAAATGAATGTCAACGCGATTTAAGTGCGCTCAGCACTTGGTGGGGGTCCATAAAGGAATCTGGACCGGAACGTGACTTTTGGCGAATGTAACTTTAAGCCACAGTGCGATAAAAAAAAAAACTGCAATGCCAACCTGAGCGAATTTCGCTGGTGCAATCAAATAGATAATATATATATATATATATATATATATATATATATATATATATGTTAATACATCAATATACAGTTAGGGCAGAGCCAATGGAGTCCACTTCAGCTGCATCAGGAATGAGCGCAGCCAAGCGACATAATCGCCACTCCCCCACACATTCCCCCGCCATTTGGATGCTGCTGCTGCCGCTGCTCGCGGCAGCTGCGACAACGGCAGCGCCGACTGCGACGCCAACATCGACGTTAGCGTCGACCGCAGATCGGCGTCGCTGTGCACACAAAGGCATCGCGGAGCTGATTCGCACCAGCCCCGTTATTGTTAAGGCTCTCGCCGCTCGCATTTTCACCGATGCGGACCTGAGCGAGCAGGCAGCTGGGGCGTCCGTCTCCGTGTCGCATGCTGCCGCAATTTTAATAACATTAACACCGGAAACGATATACAAAGGTGCTTCGCTGCTCAAAATGGCTAACGGCGCCGTTGCCCGCGATGGCGATAGCGATGGCACGTTGGCTGCTGACGGAATTTCCGGCAGCGGAGTGCGACGCGGCTTTGGCAGCGTCAGCGGCTCTAGCGCTTGGAGTGGCAGCGGTGCTGCCTATCAATATGAGGGGTAAGTGCCACTCAGTTGTTCAAACAACATTTTACACATGTTTGATTTAAACAAAAAAGAAAAAAAAGACGAATGAAATGGAAAAATTATACACTATTTTTTTTAAAGCGAATTTCTTTAAATTCATTTTTTAGAGTTTAGGAAAAGAGATGCATGATTTCAATCTAAAAATAAGTAAAGATGTAGAAGTTGTCAGGCATTGCTTTTATTTAAAAAACAATATGAGTGGTAACTGCCACTCAGTTATTCAAACCACATTTTACACATGTTTGAATTAAACAAAAAAGAAAAAAGGAAATGTGATACACTAAGTGTAACTTTAAAGGAAAAGAATGCTTTTGATTACACAAGAAGTAAAGATGTATAAGCATTGCTATTATTTTAAATTCAATATGAGAGATGAGTGCCAGTTATTCAAACCACATTTTACATATGCTCGAATTAAACTACAAATCAAGCTGAGGGGTAAGTGCCACTCAAACAAAATTTTACACATGCTTGAATTAAAAAAAGAAAAAAAGATGAAAGAAATGATACTCTATTGATAATGATAATTTCTTTAAATTAAATACTGAGAGATTCGGAGAAGCGAAGAAGGCTTTTGATTTAATAAGAAGTAAATCTGTATAAGATATCAGGCATTGTTGTTGTTTAAAAATCTATATCAGGGGCGAGTGGCACTCAGTTATTCAAACCATATTTTACACATGTTTGAATTAAACAAAAAAGAAAGAAAGAAAAATGATACACTCTTTGTAGCACAAATGGCTTTAAATTAATTTTGTAGTCTTCAGGTGCCTTCTTCTCTGCGCTTTTGCAATACAAAAGTTTCAAAATAAATAACGCATGCAGTTTGAAGAGGTGCACAATTAATTGGTTAGTTTGCTGGATATTTAACAGAGCCACAGAGCGTACCTTTGCTGAAAGTTTGGTATTTCATTTTGTGCTGACTCTTTATTGGCTAACTTTAACACACTAACTTTTTCCTCTTTTTCCCTCTCCCCGGTCTCTCTCTCTCTCTCGACTATAGACAACTGAATGCCACATTGCAGCCACTGCAATGCTTCGATGCTAATATGCTGAAAATGCTGCCCATGGAATTAATTGCTTTTGGCAAATTGCTGCCTGCCTCAGCGGTAACTGGCACGGGCTACCCCGCCACCTCGGATGCCGGTGTGGCCTCGAGGCAGATGCAGCGACCATCACTGGGCTCAGCCTTGGGCGGTGGAGGTGCTGGTGACTTGCCCACTGACAAGGATGTGCTTCACATCAGCGTCAATGGCCTGCATCGATGGTCGCCGCAATTCGAGAATCATATCTGGAAGCATTTGGGTAAGTTGACCTTATTCAACCCATTCCATTTGCTATTGTTGGTGGAACCACATCCGCTAGTTAATCGCATTTCGCTTGTCGGTTGCATTGTTCAGCAAATCTCCTTTGCCGATGTTTGTTGAGTTTGCGAGCATCTATCCGGTTCGAGTTCAACCAATCAAACCAAATTGCACAGCTTTTCAACTTTAAAGTTTGCTAAATATGTTTTTCTACCTGAAAGTTGTAAATTGTTTGGCATATTTCTATTTCTCTAAAAGCATAAATTTTTTATATATTTTCATCTCAAATTCAAAAAGAAAAGTTATTTTATACACATTTTTTTTGTATACACAATTTGTAAGTTAGGTAAAAAAAACTTCTAAGTTTTCTTGCCTTAATAAACAGAAAGAGCTTAGGTAAATTATGTTGCAACTTTTGGAGACTTCATGTTGTAAGCTTTTTTTTTTTGATTTCATCCCTTTCAAATTTCTAATCAAATAATCCTTGATGAAGATTGATAACTGGCAGCCCATCGAAATTACTAAGCGAAATTGTCGTCATGCTTGTATGCATGCAGACATAGGATAAATTCCAAGAAAAAGTATACTATATACTATAAGCAGATATACTTCGACGATGTGACGCAGCAGGCGACTAGCTGCTGGTCCGTGTGTCCGATCATCCTGCCGTGCTGATATTACATTACAAGCACGAAGCGCTTTCAAACAGGCTGCACCACTTGTGGGAAGCAACACTTGACTTTTGTGTCAAGAGACAGATAGCATACCCAACACACGCCAACAAACACCACAACAACAACAACAACAACACACACACACATACTACAGAATGGTGGCAACAATTCAAGAGTTCCTTGCGGTAGAAGGCATAGAGGAACATGAAAAACAAACACATGTGACTCACATGTTGAGAAAGATATATAGAAGAATACATATGTACATGAAGATAAACATAGTTATATCATAGTAACAAAATATATATAAAACATACAGTCATGCACACATATATACATATTCAATCTGTTTGTATACAAAAATTGTTGCTAACAGCACGAAAGCAAACCATATTTCCAAATCATCGTTTCAGTAAATTAGTAGAATAATAAAATAAAAAATGTATATATAAATATTTTAAAATGTGATATTCCAATTATTGCTTGAATTTCTATTTCCATTGCAATCGAAAACATTTAGTTTGCCATATCCTTCCTCTTTTTTTTTACAAACTGTGTCAGTCGTTAAAATCGAGTTTTGAATATATTTATATATAAATATTAGCTTGTGTTTACTTTAAACATTTATAGAAATATAGAAACTTTTACAGATATTTTTATTTAATTTTCTTATTTATTTATACTTACACAAAGGCCAACAACTAATATGTTTTATAGGCTTCAATCAATCATTCCACTTTTATAAATTCAATATATACTATAAAGTTGAAAATAAGAGCACATTGTCATTGATTATAAGGGTATGATGTATTTTGATAGTTATTAAGTAGTGAATCAATTTTCGAGAGATAAGCAATTTATCAATTATAGGCTGGGACGATTGGAGCGATTTTACGCTGTGCAGCGTCACCTGCGGCAAAGGTGTGCAACAGCGTTTCCGGCGCTGTCTGCTGGACAATCCTCTCGTAGACATAAACATGAATATGAATCTGAATTTGGACGACGACGATGAGGTCGATGACGACGGGGAGGAGGAGGAGGAAGAGGAGGAGCAGCAGCAGCAGCAGCAGCAGCAGCACGATGAACAGGACCAGATACAGGAGGTGGAGGATTCTGAAGTGGTTGCTGACGAGGCAAATAATGATGTCAGTGCTGCTGCAGCTGCAACTGGAACAACAGCAGCCGCATTCAATGCTGATAATAATGAAGTGCTCAGCCATGACGACGCTGCCAACGAGGTTGAGGACGATAGCGAGGATGCCCTGTTGATGATGCAGCCAGCAGTTGGTGACTTCCAGCAGCCGATGACCAAACTGCTGCATAAATTCACACAGACAACAACAGAAGCAGCAGCAGCAGCAGCAAAATTCTCGTTGACTCCAACGACAGATGCGCCAGTTGGACTAACAAGTGACGGTAATGAAGCAGGGGCAGGCGGCACAGGTGTCCGCTTTGTGCCAGCGGCAGGAGTTGCACGTAATGACGGTCGCCGGACACGCGCACATAATCAGCACAAGAAACGTAAGGCTGCCAAGAGTCTGGCGTTCTCCACTCTGCTGTGTGAGGGCTACAACATCGAGCAGCGCAACTGCAACAGTTTTGAGTGCAGCGGTAAGTGCAATGTTGCAGCATGCAACATTTGTAGTTACTGTCAATGTACAACTGCGGGCCATGTCCTTTACAGTTTTGCGTTCGTTGCCCCCATTTACAGATGATATCAGCGATTTGCTCAAGTTCTATAAAAAGCTGCCGATGCCGGCCAACGAGGAGCTGCCAATTGCGGCCAGCAATGACAGTCTGCCAATGGGTTTATTGCCTGCTGAGTTGGCAGATCTGACAACGGCAGGTTCTGTGGGTGTGGTCGCCTCGTCAACGCCCTCAAATATGGGCTACGTTCGCAGCTGGAGGAATATGCTTAACTTCACTCTGATGATCACACTGAGAGCCAAGGTAAGGCAAAAATATTCAACAAAAACTGTTGGCACATAAATAAAACAAATAAAACATTTTACTAAACTATTTGTTATAACGACTTCAAATCAGTATCTCTGCTTACGGCAAATACTATTGATTATATTAAATGTATATTATAAAACTTCTTAAAGGTGAATGATTATTTAATCGTATTTTATATAATAATAATATGTATTTTATTTTTAATTGAAATTAAAATTAAAATTACAATTTTTCAAAAAGTTTTAAAGCATTTCAGTAAATTTGTCTTATGTCATTACCAATCATAACCCAAAAATCCTACATGTATTGAAAAGTAGAAATTTTTAGATGTCAACATCCATAAGTTATTAATTATTAAAAAGGCTTCACCGTTTGTAATATCGTTTCGATACGCTGTCATTTCATTTACCGGATGATTGTCAAACGTTGGCGTGGATGACAGTTACAATCTCCTACATGTCAGCATGCAGTCTCATTATGGTTTCACTTTTTCAGAATGATACGAAAAATGCGTCAACAATTTTCTCCATACGCAATATGACACACAATCTGTATCTGGAGGCTTGCCAGGATGGACTGCGTTTGTATCTGGAACGCGACAACACAACGGAAATGTTGCCGGTGAAATTCAATTTATATGATTATCGTTGGCATCAAGTGGCCATTAGGTAAGTGTGACTGGGTGGGGGGAGCTGTTACCGCTGCAACTGTTGTGGCTGTTTTTGTTGTGCTAGATTGCCTGCTTTGTGTGTATTTAGAAGTGTGTGTGTGTGTGTGTGTGTGTGTGTGTGTGTGTGAGTGTGTGTGTGTGTATGTGTGTGTGTGTCTGGGTGTGTGTGTGTGCGTAGGTGGATGTGTGAGTTTGTTTGTGGCTTGATAGCCATCGTCCTCTTTGACACTTTCATTTTATTTGCATTTTCAATTTATTAGCATATATGGAGACTCGAGGATCCCACACCCCCCGGGTGTTGTATTGCCAAAAAACACCCCACACACCCCCACACCCACACCCACTCGCGCCCACACACACACTCGCACATGCACTCATCCATATGAGTATCGAGTGCCGCCTTTTTTCAGCGTGTGTCTGAGTATGTAAGGGGGTGGGGCTGGGATGGTGTAGGGCGTTTATTTGCAATACAAAACCAGCCGGCAACCAAATTGACACTTGGTTAAAGTGGGCGCCATTTGTCATCGGCCGTTGGCACATTTATCTATGCCACTGTATATAATACTCGTGTGTATTTTAATTATTTGCTCTTCGTGTTGCCACATTTTGTTCATTGGTTGTTGTTGTTGTTAATTTTTTTCTGTGGTTGTTGTTTTCCCATGCTCACAGCATACAAAATGGCGATTTCATATCGATTTACGTCGATTGCTTGTGGACAAACAGTTTTGTTGTCTCGAAGCGACTGTTTACGCTGCCCCTGGATGCGGATGTGGAAATTGGACGTGGCTTTAATGTGAGTATTGGGACAAATTCCAAAGTAATTGACCACACTGACGACAATAAATTATATAAAGTTTGTCGAAGGTCAACATTAACATCGAAAGCTTAACACTTATTGAGCTATTTAAAACTAGTCTTTAATTGAGTTTCATATAATATATTTATATTATGACACTTGTATTTTAACATGGTTTTAATATATTTATATTATAGCATTTATATTTTAACATGGTTTTAATATATTTATATTATAAAATTTGTATTTTAAAATGGTTTTATAAAATTAATTTTCCGATTCCGAAGTTTATCTGTTGTACCGCCCACAGCGCTCCGAAAAGCGATGTGTTGTAATTCACAAGCAATTTCACAAATGCAGCCGCATCGACACGATGAGTGCTGTGGGCGGATCATAAATAGTGCAAACAATTTAATGCGACAATTGCGAATGCAACGAGGCGTATGCGTTATTCATTTTCAATTCTGTATGCAGCCGATAACGCATACCCGCAGCGCTGCTGGTGCACAATAATACTTAATATGTAGATAATTGCCGTATAACTTTCATCCTAGCATGTTGCCCATAAATATTCACAGGGGGAACTGCAGCAATTGCTGGTCTTGCCGGAGCACCAGGAGCGGCTGCAGTGCAGCAACAAAAGGACATCTATTAACGAGGTGAAGCGCTACATAATCGACACATTCATCGAGGACTATGGCAGCAATTGAGGCGTTGCATTTAAATACACATGACAAACAAATCAAATGCAATTCCAAATACCGAATACAAAAACATAAATAATAACAAGAGCCAAATCAAATGAAAATCATGTATTTGAATGGCAAATACAAATGTGAAATGAATAATGCAAATCAATTTGAATGCTGCATTCAATTCCAATATAATTTCAATCTAAAGAAACTATATACAAATATAAATACAAAGAAACATAAACTATATATATTGTGATTGATGTTTCCTATCAGTGCATTCAAGTATTGTAAATTACACTACATATTGATGTGCGTGTGTGTGTGTGAATGAGTGTGTTATTTTGTAGTGTGCCACAAAATGTGCATCGAGTGCTCATTATGCAAACATACATGAATACAATTATGATTAATGCTTTGGACTCACATTGTACACATGTATGTGAATGCCAAAAACGTTTTGTAACAATTAAGTTAGTTTGACAGAAAACAATAATTATAATGCAAAAACCAAAAAAAAAAAGCAAAAAAACAGAAAAACGCAATAAAAAATATTGATGTAAATTGCACACTTATAAAATGAGCAAATGTAATTCGAATATAAATAAGAATAGAGGCAAAATCAATAAAGTAATTAAATAATTATGCATAAGTGTAAAGAGCAAATTGAGTTTTTTTCATTAACAGAAAAAAAACGTTCTGTTTTTTGTGTTTTTAATTAACTGCAAAGCTTTTGTAGCTTTTATGGTAATATTATCGGTAAGTAGAACATTGACTTCAGACTTTTAGCATTTAACCTGGTACATGTTAATGTAGCCTACAAGAAGTGGTGCACGCGATGGTTCCGGCTGAATGAGATCGGTAGGGGAAGGGGCAAGAGGAGAGAAAAGGAATTGGTCCACTCTCATAAATATCTCTCCTGGGCTTTCGTTGTTTGAGCTGGGCTGATGTAATTGCCACAGCAGATGCCCACCCTATCATCATCAGGCACCTAAACATAATCACATTTGATGATCCCTAAAACAACGACTACTTGCTTCATTCTCTATTCGGTATGCATTGCATGACTCCCAAAAAAAAGGTTTAAATATTATTTTAACAAAATATTCTAATAACAGGTATTCATTTATTTTAGTCTATGGGTAATTAATTTTCATTTTGTAGCATTTAAAATTGTAATAATGTGCATTATCCGAAAATTATAACTTTAAATGAGTTTGGTGCACTTAATAAAACAAATAAGATGAAAGAAATTATATGGTATAATTTAATACAAAAAAAGTGCAATCGATTTTAATATTCATTAAGAATTGATTTGATTTTTGAAACAAAAATGCATTAAAAAAAATTTACTTCAGACTCATCTAAAAAAGATATTGAGGGATATCCTTCAACAAAATCTGAAAACTGTAATTTAACGAGGAGCGAATTTAATTGAGATATTCTGTTGATGGATTCATAAAAGTATTCGATTTATTAAAAATTTATAGCATTGTATTTATCGTGCTTTCAACTTACCAATGCAATATGAACCAGGTGAAATGGTTTTCATTATCAGTATGCAAAAAGGGAAATGGAAATATAAACGTTAATTATAGCTTCAGAAAAATGCACACTCTTTTCTTTGCTGTGCTGCCAAATATGTATTTAAGTTTTAAAAAATATATATTAAAAACTTTCTCACTCTGCAAGTTCAAATTTCACTTCATATTAGTTTCCATTAGACTTGTCAGCTTTTAAATTTTCCATTTCCTTGGTATGCTAAATGGAAATCTTAGTACGTATTTTAATAAGCCAACCTATACCAAAACCATTTTGTTTATTTTTTCTGTTATTTTTGGTTGTTGTTGGTTTTTTTTCCTTTTCTACGCATCACTGGGTCTATCTATTGGCCGTGTTGGCTGTTGGCTGTTGGCTGACTAAGCTCATTTTTGGCCACACGAATATGTGAATTTACATATTGTTTGAGTTCTTGCCATAGACCCAGGGACTCAGGGACGTCGCAGGGGCAGAGTGGTGTTAATGTGGGTGGTTGAATTGGTGGCTTGCTTCGCTCGCTTTGCAGCTTTTGCTGCTGTGGATTTGCGCATTTGAGTGCGCTTGACTGATTTGACAAAGGATCAAGTTGTTAATTTTACTCTGCGCTCTTCGCCGAGTGCCACTGACAAGTGCCAAGTGACTGGCCAAACAGACAGCGGATTTTGAGACAACAAACATGAGCCATGTCAGATTAAAATGCTCCCACATAAATACATCGAACTTTCTTTATATCTGTTTCGGAGTTACAACTAATATTTTTCAAGTCTGTGTGTAATAATATGGCTTGCAAAGAAGCTATTGTCTGTAGCATAAATATTTGCTAATCCCATAAGCCTTAGGGTGATACATTTCCTAAAATAAACTTCTTACTCGGCATAGAAAACTCGGCATTTCTTACATTTATTTGCTTCAAATAAAATCTGTAGCTTAAAAAAGAAAATTATGAAATAAATGCGAGAAGCAACAAAAATTCATAATTTCCTCTTGTCTAAAAAAAAAAATCCGCAGTTGCTTGGCTTCCTTTATCGTGGTTTGTTCGCTGTCTCCGGGTCGTAAATAACCGCAACTCCACCACCGACCTCGTCGGTAGCTTCTGCCATCCTTTTACACAATCATCTCCTCATTTACCGACATTCTACTTAGCTCGCCTTGCATCGCTCCTCCGTCTTGTAGGCAATTTTGAGCTCTGTTTGAAAAATACTGCCGCACTGGGGTACACGTCCCCGGATGTGGGCAACAGACGTTGCAGACATTGATGAATTTCCTGTCGCATCCTTATCCGCTAGTCAGTCTGCCACCAGGTGGACGACGAGTGAAGCTACTGAATCAGCCTCAGCCTCAGTTTCAGCTTCAACTTCACCCACACCCGTCAAAATTCAAATAAATTTTTATCTGCACAAATGTCTCTGATGCCGCTGCTCCATTGTGACTTAATAATTTCCTACTCACGTCCCTACGGTGCATTGAACTGCTCTGCGGAAGATGTGCGCGAATAAGGATATGAGTGCCCAGGTTGGGAGGACACTTTAAAGTTCTAACATTTCACATGTATTTGATTATTGTGTGTTTGCATCTGCCTACGTATATTTTCACATGTGCTACTTTGCCGCACATCCTTGCTCTGCACGAATAAAAGGACTCATCCGAGTGCCGTATGTTTGCATATCATGGCAGAAATATTGCAATTAATTCAGTTGGCAGTTTTCTAACTGAAAAGTTGGCAGAAACATAAACAGAGGTAAGTCATTTCAAATATTTACAAATGAAACCAACTTCGTTTTATAACAAGTTGAACAAACTAAGAGCAACAAAATATCGAGTTTCGAACCCATGCTTCAACTGGCACAGGTATTATGAGCCCAAAATTTGCACTACTATATCAATAAGATTAGTCTGGAACATAGAAATCAATTTAGATGTCAAGATGTGTACTGCGGTATGGAAGAGTATGCAATCTTCGGCGATTTATTAAGAAAAACTTAGATGCTTCAATGAGCTGAAAAAAGAAGCAGACTGTAAGGCTGAAAATATAATACCACTGATGAGACCAAGTTTAAAAAAAGTTAAGATTACAAAACATATTTTTGGTGTGAGCAAGTGCAAGCTAGTCACAGAAAGTAAAAATGTTTAAAGCAGTCGACAGGAAGGCAATTACTTTGAGAATTATAGCACTAACTAATCCAAATCCATACAGATTTTTAAAGGAAATGGTGAGTTACGATCACAAGGATTAACTCTTGCGAACTGCATTCGAGGATTATGGTGTCATTTGAGAATCCAAACACGAAAACAAATTTAACACGAAGGAAATTAGTGGAAATCATAAAATCCTTGCTTACTCAGTAACTATAAGGATGATTTTAACGTTCGTTTGACTTTATAGCATAAAGTAGTTGACACACAGTTGACCGAGTTATGAGCAACTTTCTGTTAAAAAAGACGCGTTTTTTCAGCATTCAAGGATTATGGCGTTATCTATAACCATAACACCTTGGCCACTTAATAAACCTTGTCAAGAAAAAATGACTTGTCATGGGATTGCCAGGATCCGCTATTTCAGCTGCTGTCCTTCTTTATCTTCTTGAGAAAATCGTATAATTGAATGCATTCAAATTTATTATACTAACAGTAAAATTAAAACGTATTCATAATGGATGTCTTGATATCATACTAGATTTTTAATTAATAATAAACATATTAAAATATGCCAGTGTACATCAGTATTATGGGATTCTTTTCTGCATCATTTAAAGTCTTAAATGATGAAAATTTCAACTAAGAAATATCCGAATATCTTAAGCTCAGCTCACTTCAGTATTTGCAAGTACTCGTAACATTGCATTGCTTATTTCATTATGTTTGAGTGGTTGCTTCGAGCATTTGTGTAATGTGCTGTAATCAGAGCTAGCAGCATTAGTTTCATAAATTAATAGGTGGACAATTACTGGTATAATCCTTTGCCCTCGCCTCTCCAGTCGCCAGACCATCCTCCTTTTTTCTTTGTGATCGCTTGCACGCGCAACGTGTGGCACTTGTTGTGCTGTTCCCCTTTTATTATTATTTTTTTTATTTTATTTTTGCCCTTTTGTAGTTTTCCACTGCAAATTGCAAGCGTAAATCTTGCCCTGTTTTTCCGGCCAACAAACAAGTAAAAAATTATGGTCACAGAGAAAACTATGCCGTAGCGACGTTTGGATACACTAACAACTGATTTGATCTATAATATTTGTTTTGTCAATTATTGTATTTCCAAGATTTTCGTTTAATATTGTTAGATAACTATACGTTAAATACAAATAAAATACATATATTTTAATTTAACTCATTCTTAATAGCTCATTTATCGTATCCCATAGGAACCAAGACGAATTCCAACCACAACTTAAGTAATTTATTTCAAAGTTTTATGAAAGCGAAAGCAAAGTATAATTTCCACAAAATTGTGTGGCGCACATAGCCATACCTACACAGATTCACACACACACACACACACACTTGTACATTTGTACAAGTAGAATTTTATTTATTTATGACTACGTCGGCAGCAGAAACAACTTTCACACGGCTTCACGCGCTCAAATTTCCCTCACATTTGTCCGACTTAAACTTGGACCAAGTTTTCATATTCATTTCGGACTGCTAGTTATGTTCATACCAACGCCGTCATTTTAATCATATTATGCTTACAAATGGTAGTTTGAACAATGCCCAAAATTTCCGATTGTTTCTGAACAATATTGCTTAGGTGCAGAATTAAACAAGAGGATAAAACCAAAACTAAAACCCATAAGGAGCCTACTTTGTCTACCCAATACGGAGCAAACAAAGCAATAAACGCTTTAAAACATATATCTATGTAATATACATATATAGTAGAAGCTATCTCTATTGCTTGAGCCGCTGCTGGGCTCTCCATAAATTATCAATCAAACCGAAGCCCTTAAAGTTCAGCAATTGAATTTGAACTCTGATCCGAAGGGTAAAACGATGAATGGATTGTGTTTTTTTTTTCTGTATGTGTCATGTAAAGTTGGCCCGCAGAAGTCGGCAGAAAACTGTTTTGCCAATGCCAATTCAATTGACCATGCCCACATACAACTCCAACTGACCAGTGGCCAATGGCCAATGGCCAATGGTAAATAGTAGAGGAGCCTCGGGCAGCTTTGGGAGCTGCATAAAATGCTTTATTTGTCGAGGGCAAACAAAATGAACTGTAACAATATTGATACAGCTGACATTCGAGAGTTCAATCACAAAAGAATTGTTGTACGTAACCCAACAGCCACTTCCAACTCCTGACCCTGATCCCACCCGCACACCGCACCCGATTACACGTCTAGACACCGGGCTTTGTGCATTGTGCATTGTGAATTTTGAATTTCCGCCGTTGAGTGTTTTAACAAAAGCAGCATCATTAACTCTGACCACGAAAGTTGGGTATTGCTTTAGTTACCCATATGATTAAAAGAACGATGGAGATAAAATTCGAACCGCATCTTGGCAAAGGATACAGAGCCACAGCTGCTGTAGCCAATGACTTTGCATACCACAAAACAAATCCAATTTATTTACTCCCTTCTTTTATTTTTTTAACTCCAGTATCGAATGCATAAAAGCAAAGCAGTAAAAATTGTCATTTGATGTCTATAAATTGAACGATGATCGCTTAAATCCAATAAAAATCGAAAACAACTTCCCCAAAGCGACGACTGACCGCAAATCGTAAATGCAGCGACGCTTTTTGGTCGGACAGGCGGAAGGCGGAAAGGAAAAGGGACAAATAAGTTGAACGCTTTTGTTGTGCGGCTATCAAAAGCCTGTGGGCCAATGACATGGCAAAAAAAAAAATGTTTATCCTTTCCCAGCAGTTGATTTTCATTCACCATGCATAGCTTTTAAACTGGACATGCACAGAGAATTGTTGTTGCAATGCGACCTGTTGTAGTTTAGAATAGTTTTCCTAACTTCCTACTTCCGATAACAACACATAAATCTAATTTTATTTTTGTTGGCTATTTTTTAACTTTAGACACAATACAAATGCTAAATAATTGTACGATTCGTGAGCTCTCCACTATCGTGCACACCTAACACATATCCTACACAAAAAAAAAATTTCATATTTTTACAAAATGCAATGCCAATAATTTAATTCAAGGATAGTGGCAAATGGTAATACTTTTTATTTTAAGAGCAACATTTATTCACAATATAAAATCAATAAATAACTATATATATAAAGAGAATTTCTTAACATTTGTTGGATTTTTAGACGGATGCTGTGTTTGCCAGCACCGTTAAGCGAATGGATAACATTTCATTCACTTAGTGTACCAATTTTTTATATAATCACACATAAAGAACAATTTTCAGACGAAGTTATTTCTATAATATTACGACCCCAGTGATGGGTGGGCCTGGGTTTATTTGGATTCTCTTCTCTGCGCTTAATAATCCAATCGCAGTTTTTTGAAGTCGACTTCGGTTGCAATTGATCCGTGTTGATCTCATCGAATAGTCTTTGTTTTGGTATTTGCCCATTAGATAATTGCACTTCTTTTGCACAATTACACTTCTTGCTCAGGTGTGTACTTACAGGGCGCAGTGAAGGAAAGTATTCGTGTAGTGGACACCCAGCTGGAATATATTTCTCGCTCTTCACAAAGGATGACTCACTAACACTTAACCACAAATCATCGCCACATGTACGGGACTCCATCCTCTAGTAATTAAATTCGATATATATTTCTGCTTATGACATTTCATATATGTTTGAATTTTGAGGTACTGTAATATAGTTTGTTCCGATATATAATTATTTTGAAGTTTAGATAAAAGGTTGACTTGAGGCATCAAATGAGAATCACCTAGAATTTAAACCTGTATGGAATAAATGTAATGTGTTAACTACAGTCTTATGTAGTATTCAGATAGTTATAAATATATGTATATACTTTGCTTTATTCAGATTTCAATTGTCTGATACAATGTTGTCATTCTTCTCTATACATACATAACATGAAATGAATTAAATAACTATTCACTTAGTATATAATTTAATGTTAATGGCAAAACAAAATGTATACATTATAATAATAATTTGTGTGAGTGTGTGGGTGTATTTGTGGGTGTGGGTGTATTTGAACTAGCGTGTGAATAAATGAGTGTGTGTATGTGTGTGTTTATCAGTGGCTGAATACTGCACTTATGTTTGTTTGTTTGTTTTTGTTTTGCATATATTCGATAATATTATTAATTTACTGCGATTTTATTTCATTTGCGCTAAATTTAGGTATTAGTCGCTTATTTGCGCTGTACGCATTTGGTAAATGTTTGGTAATTTTTCTATATATTTGTTTCTAAGGTTTAGCCAAAGGGTATTACGGGATATTCAAGTATACATGATTTTCTTGATTAATTTTACGATTATATGCAATGTGTCTTTATATTCGAAATTTACCTGTGTCCATCCGAAAGTTATATGTATAGGTATATGTATGTCAAATCATCTAAAGCAGTTTATGTTTATGTTTATGTCGTGTATCTGTGTGTACGTAATCGAAGGCATGTATTTTAGTTGGAAGAGAGGACGAGAGAGATTCATTAATTATCTCTGATTATTTTTTCGAGTTCTGAGCCATCTGGAAGTAGAGACAGTCGTCGACTATCTCTGGTTACAGTTCGAGTTGTGGAATTTTAGATGTGAGTGTTACACGAGTGTTGTTATGCCTATGGATCTTAACAGTCTCGGCTTGCCGAAGCAGACCAATTGAATAATTTTATTTTATCATGATTAATAATAATGTATACAGTTGCTAAATGTATGTTATAAGTATCTTATGTGTAGATGTGTGTGAGAGTTTTCTGCGTGTGTGTGTGTGTGTATGTGTGTGTAAATAAACATAATGAAAAATATTGCATACCAGTGTTTCTGTATATATCTATATATCTGTCTCTGGGTGATATAAATCTGCTATCAGCGCATCGAGTGATTATGGAGAAAGTTAAATTTGTAATTTATTCAGTGTCTGTTTACTTCTGTTTAGGTTTCTGCATAACTTACGTCTCTACAAATAAAGTTAAACAATTTCTTTTTTATTTGTTGATTTTTCTTAAAATAAACTGCTAAAATTAAGCAAACATTGTAATAATTTTACGTTTTAAGAAACTCAATCAATATGTATATAGATATATATATAGATATTTATATATAATTACAAAATTATATGACAAATTATGTACAATATTTTTAAGGGCTGATTTTTTTATCGATTACATTATTATTAAATATAACTTTTTTCTTTTATTAGTTTTTGTTTTTTTGTTGAGGTGTGCCTAATGTGCGTTTGTGTGTAATAAATATTATACTTATGCACTATAAGTAATTTTTGTTTTTTTTTTTTGTTTGTTTTACGCGTTTTTCTTGCTAGAAAAACTGATATTTCGAATATGAGTTTTTTTTGTTTGTTATTTTTTTGGAATTTGAAGATTTTGCTCGACATTTGTTTTGGTTTATTTTTGTTTATCGCGCATGTTTAACATTATTCGCATTAGAATGTTATTGTGAAATTAAATATTAAAGTTATATTGACGTTGATGTGCGGCACCTTAACCAATGCCCAAACACATACATCATTTACAAATCATGTATGCATATCTGTATTCTGTTTCATCTGTTATCTGTTTTCTTTTATACTTTATAAGGAGGTACTAATTTGTTAACACTTCTTTGTTCCATATCCATTTCCCTTATACGATTGCTTTTCGACGTATATTGCTCCATTTACAAAGCCATATTATTACGTCGTCCATTGTTATTCACCTTATTCACTAAATTGCATATTTTTAAGGCTGGCCCCAGCTTCAGGCCCATATATTTCATCATCATATCAGAGTTGAGTAACAGCAAAGCCTTGCCATCGATTTCCTGCCGATCACAAAGATACTCATTAGAAATTTGATTAAAAATTCAAGTTCTCTCAACAAATAAGACTTCTGAACAATTTACAATTATCATTTATAATTGCACACCTCAAGCTACAAGGAGGGTGGACTTACGTGCTTCCGGAAGAGATCGCCATGCACGGCCAGTGAGTTGTCGTTGCTCTCGATATACTGGATAACCTCCTCGATGGACCAGTCGATGGGTTGCGCCCGAAGCGGCGAACAGGCCGATGTGAGTGTGCTGTGCTGAGGTGAAGTGATAGCTGTGCTCGCATAGCTGCTGGATGCAGCTGCAGCTGCCGCAACGGGCGCCGTCGCCGCTTTGGCGGCACTCGCAGCTGGTGCTGCGGGGCAGGCGGACTGTGAGGTAAAGGGCGTGGATATCGATGAGGGAAACGAGGCGCTCGAAGATAATGTTGTCGGAGATTTGTAATAGCTGCTCGGCGGTTTAGCGCTCATCTGTTCCGGATGCACCTCGGCGACAAGGGGCGCCAAATATTTGGCATTTGATGTGCCGCCAGCGAGAATGCCGCCGCTGCTGCTGTTGTTACTGTTACTGCTGCTGCTGCTGGACGTGGAGGAGGTGGAAGAGGCGGAACTGTTGTTGTTGGCAGTCAGATTATTGCTGCTTGCGTCCTGGCTGCTGTTGCCATTGTTGTTGTTGTGGTGCTGAAAGCGCACCTTGCGCAGCGCCTGCGCCTGGCTTGTGACACTTGGGGAGGCGACTCCATTCGGTTCCGTTTTGATGTTCAGCTTACAGCTGTTGCCATTATTGCTGCTGCTATTGTTGTTGTTGTTGCTGCTGCTGTTATTATTGTTATTGCTGCTGTTGTTGTTGTTGTTGTGATTTAGTGCCTCTTTAGGTTTTGGTGTTGCTGGCTGCGGCTTAACGCCCGCCTCCTGCTTGATAATCAACGGCTTCTCCGCCGGCGATGTGGGCGTGGGCGTGGCAGATTTGGATTGACGTGCGCGCTTCTCTGACAGAACGGGCGACGAAGGCGGCGTCGCTGCAGTCTGCAACAATTGTCGCTTGCGACTCTGCGCACACTTCTTGCACTCCTCGGTCTCCGGCAGCAGCGAGATGAGATTCGCACATGCCCGGCATGTGATGCACAGCGTCTCTATAAACTGCGCCAGACTATCGTCATCCTTCATTCGCAACGGCGATGGGATTTTGACCTGAAAGAGCAGCAGACAATTACTAATTGCGACACATTTTGGGATAGGAGTAGAGGTAGAGAATCATTGTACACAACTATTCTGGAAATCAACTCTGCTTAATTAATATCAAATGAAATATTGAAATCCTTATAGAAACGGGAATTTCTGGAAATTGCAAATAGTTGTCTGGGGGCAGTTACCGTAAAATTCTTGCCAGCCGCGGTCACAATGTGCACATCGCCCTCGAGGGCGAAGAGCAGCTTGGACAGCTGCTGGGTGTCAGTGCTGGCGGCGAGCACCTCCTGCAGGCAGAGCTTGGCCAGGGTTTGATGCGTTGGCCCCGTCACCATCGAAGGCAGCTTGGATCCGTTGATAAACGGCCCGCCTTTGCAATTGGTGTGAAAATGTGCCGTAACCGGTGAGGCAGCCACCATGGCATCCGATTCGGCAACAACTGTGTAACGGGGACGTGCACATCGCTGCTTTCCCGAGCTGGAGTCCATGCGCGACTTGTGGCCGGGCGGCTGCATTGGATGGCAGCTACGCGCACACCAACCCGCCGGGAAAATGTCACGTGATCGATAATTGCACCAGTAGTCGAAGGCGCCACGCCAACCATCGAAAGTGACATGTATCTGGTCATCCTTGATGGCATCAACTGTTGCACAGCAAATCAGTTGCGGATTCTTCTTGTCCACCGCCTCCAGTTTCTGGCCGACCTTAAACAGATTCACCTCGGGCGTTAGCGGTTCCGGTTGAAAGATGTCCTCGGGCGCAACCATGGCATTGTTGAGTATCTTACAGAGATAGCCAGGCCAACTAGAGGCATTCATACGGAAACCCAGCGGTGGCTGCAGCATGCCCCCATTCTTTTCACAGTGTCCAATCGCATGGATTTCCGTTGAGTCCACCAGACGCCAGAAATCATTCTGTGAATCGCTGCCATCGAGTCGGAGACGCAACCGGGAGCCAAGGACGCCCACCACTGTTGCAATGCAGGTGGAGGTGACGTTTCGCGGATCGAGTGCCTCCAGTTTCATGCCAATCTTGAAATCATTGTTGGGCGGATTTAACGCCTGCTTAAAGCATTCCGCCGGTGCGGCATCGCTGCCCGTTTCCTGACACGAGAAAAACGGAATGGATTATGATTATGATTAAAAACAGCAGACATGACTCACCTCCAGGTACGCATCCCAGTCGAAGACATGGAAGCTCTCATATTGAAAGGGACCCGTTGGCGCCGGCGCACCGCTGCCAAGCAGCTTGCGTTCGCCATCCGTTGTGCTGTGGCTGCTGCTGCTGTTGTTGCCGCCGCCGCCGGCAGCGTTGCAGGCGCTGTGTTGTCGCATGGAACCGTTCTTCTTCTGGTGCTTGTTCATGCACAGCATCGAGCAGAATTCCTTGTTGGGCGCACCCTCGCGAATAACATTGTCGCACTGTGTGCACGCCCCCTTGCTGTATGCCTTGCGGAACTCCGCGATGCACGTCTCCGAGCAGAACTCCTTTTTGCCCGTCTGCGTTGGCAGCACGTATTGCAGCGGCAACTTGCCCTCGCCGCACCAGGTGCAAGTTGCCCGCTTTGCTGGACGACCGCGAGCTCGCTGCTGTGTTGGAGTCGTCGTTGTGGTTGCTGCTGTTGTTGCTGCTGCAGTTGTTGTTGTTGTTGTTGTTGTTGTCGTTGCACTGTTGCCGTTGCTGTTGCTACCACTGCTGGCGCTGCTATCGCGTCCGCCAGACATTTTTCGACTTGTTTATTTATTTTGTGTGCAACGCTTTTTTCTTGCTGTTGTTAATTTTTGTTGCTTGCTGCCGCACTTAATCAGTTGGCATTTTAGTGGAACAGCGGACGATGTTGCATTTGCAGCTTATATTTTGTTTTTTATTTTTCAATTTTAGCGGCTTTCTCGAGGTCACGTAATAACAAATTTGTATTTGTGTTGATTTTGCAAATCTCATTGCTAGAAATCACACACACGCACGCACACACACACACACGCACATATATGTGCATGCGAGAACGCTTTTAATTTCGGGTATGCGTTTTAATTGCACATTATATGCGCTTCTCGGGCTTGCTTGCAATTGCGAATAAGTTAATTTTTTTTATTTTTCATTGCATTTGCGTTCCGCCATATTTGTTTTTCTGGCGATGATAGAACGCTTGAGATGACCATCAGTCACTGTAACTGTTACCTATCGCAAGTAGCACAGCACCGTACAGGTCACTATTTTTAGCAATCATATTACATGTCATAATAACTAACCAGTTATTTACAACAGCTAACTAAAGTCATATGATATTCCAATTTTTTAAATATTATTCAGTCGATGAAATTCGACATTATTCCGTAATTTTACAATTACTCGATTACACAGTCAGCGTGACTGTGAAGTGAGACTATCGTCTCGTCTCTTTGACGATTATTTAGTGATTATTAAAGTATCGATAGCAATTCGCCGATATTTAATTTAATCTGTAATAAAATCAGTTTAATAATATATAAATATATAATATATATAAATATATTATAGTATAATATATAATAATATTTATTATCTTATTAATATTTTAACATCAGTTTGGCTTTTGGAACTGCTAACAAGCGCCCCCTGGCGCCATCTATAGTTGACTGCTGGAATACCGCTCAACTGTTGAGCAATTATTAGCGCCAAGCTGAACGCGCCAAACTCAAAAAACTACTGTTAAATCAAAACACAGAAATGAAGTCTGTGTAATGTCAAGCAAACAACTTCTTATCACATTTGACCTAGTTTTTTGTTGGATAATGAAGTTAAGTGTACAGCTCTAAATTAGCAAGCTCAACACCGAAATTAGCCAAATAATGCAATTAGGAGCAGCAAAATTGACTCACACTCCAGCTGTGCCATCCAATTTCCCCGAAACGAAACGAACTCTATTGATTTATCTGGCTTATTTTCGCAAATTTCGCTACACGCTCATAAATCAAATTTTGGACCGGCCGCAGGCACAAACAGTTGACAAATGCCTGCGAACAGTGGGCGTGAATTGTGATTGTGCCACTACTCTTCGCACTTTTAATCACTCGCTGCCAACAACAAATCAAGGCCAAAATCGGCGTGAAAAACGAAACAAATCCAAACATCTGTGAAATATGTCAGCTTTTTGCATTCTTACACGCAAAAAAAGGGGACTACATTTTAGTCACCATATTATTGAGAAAGAAAATTACTAAATTTTATGGTTCTGACTTTCTAAAAAATTTGGCTTACATTTCTATATTTCAGTGTGGATTTTTCTAAAATTTAGAAAATAAATATGTTTAATTTCCATAGTGTTGTTTTCTACATTACTGTAAGACATTAGTATTTTTAGTCTTCAAATATATACATAAATATTTTACATAGTTTATAAAACTTATAGACTTAACTTGAAAAGAACTTACGATTTCAAGGGAATTCGAAATATAAGACGACAGCTATTCTCTGAGTTTTAGAAAGGATTTTTCTAAAAATTACGGTTTGCATTTCTACATTTTAAAACTAGTTTTCATAATAACATTTCTAAAAAAAATATCAAAAAGCGATACGTTTTTGGGATTGTAAAATTAAAAAAAAAAAGTTCTTAATATTTAGAAATTATTTTAAAAAAATTTAACGTTTTTTTATTTTTATATTTGAAAATTTTCAATTTTTTTTTAAATTGTTGGCAATTTTTTTCTATGTGCATGGCCAACTGTCCATGTCTCCATCCATCCGATAACTTTTGCATACTCTCATATTATACACACCCATACTCGCACACACACACACACACACTAGCAGCTGCGTCAATAAAAATGCATAAAAATACGAGTTGAATGCAAATAAATTTGCACGGATTTTTAGTTGGCTACACAAAAAGTGGGCAGATAAAATAACCATCTTTTTTACATGCCCAAAGCCCACCTGCCACAAAATAGATATATTGCATTTCTTCCGACATTTATATTGAAGTCACACTCACAGTTAATGCCAAAAGTTAAGCGTCAAGCACTTGATAGCTGCTCAAAGCAAAAACTTCTTCAGATAATTATTGCTGTCCGAGCATAAAACTTTTCCCTTTCGGTTGTCTTAGTTAAATATTTTGCTTTGCTTTTGGCAAAAACTTTGTTTGCGGTGCCAGCTTCTGTAGCCAACTGTAACGGGATTTTGTTGCCTTTTGTTTATAACTTGGCCGTAATTCGTTTCACTTATGGCGCTTCTTCTTCTTCAGAACAAAATGCCGAAATAAGCCGCTCAAAAATTATGATATTAATCAAATGAAGTCTACAAAAAGTTGAATCCTAAAACAATTCATTCGCTTTTCATTAAGTGATTATATATGAAAGGGTAAGAGTAAATGGCTTATTCTTGCTTTCTAAAGCATCTCAAATTTCAATTAATTTATAAATCTTATAAAAATGTCATATTTAAAACAGTTCGTAGTTGATCAGCTTATGCATTAATCTGTGCGCATATACTGCAAGTTTTGTAGGCAAGTTAAGAGCAGGTCATAAATTAATAATTGCTTAATTTTATCACCAGCAGCTGTGAAGATTGCTCTCATTTTCCTTGACACCATACAGAAACAGATGCCCAGGGGGGATTTGTCCTATTAACAATCATAATTGGAAGCCGAGTGACGTTTGCCGTTTTAAGCGTTTGTCAAATTGACGCTGAACAATTAGAAACTGTCGACAGACCCCATTGACTGATTACGCAAATCAAACAAAAGATTGACACTCAGTGGTTTGGGTGGGCTTGTGAACCTTGTCGTGATTTTAATCAACATGTTAATGAGTTTATCGCTCAGCCAGCTCAAGTGCTTCGAAGCTTAAATGCAGCGTTAATGATTCTGTTATTGCTCCACGGCAACGGCTATTGACACAGAATCAAGTTGTTGGCCCTGGCTAATGAAAATGTTCAACTTTGACAACAAAATGCGAGCTGACAAAGTTTAGCTGGCGCTTAGTTAAATGTGCAGAAATCATCTTAATGTTGAAGGAGCTTAATAAATGGACTTTCATGACGTCATTTCTTATCAACCTAATTCGTATGATTTATATGAGATTCTTAATCATAATCAGATGATGTTCATATTTTTGCTGTGCTAATTTTCCAAATAGAGTCATTCATTTAAATCCTTACACATAGTCAGTATAACTTTTATTTGAACACATATATCAGGTTTTATTGCTATATATACTACATTAAATAATCTAATGTCAGTCCCTCCCATTTTAGTTTGCATTTCATGCTGGTCACGTACATAAATCTAAATCCTCAACAGTTTACAACTCAATTATAGATAACTTGCTAGTTTTCTCTGCTTTAACGACAACAGATTGCGATAATAAATAACAACCATCGTTACATGAGGCAATGTCATCAACTTCCTTTTGACAGATTTCAATCAACAGTAAGGAGAACCGCAGACGAGCAACGTGTTTAATTACAGCTGACCACGCATTGACAGCGATTAAAACTGATGCCAATGCGTCAGCTTCAGCTTCAGCTTCAACCCACTGAGCAACAGGCATGAGAGCAAGGAATGTTCTGACGAATGGTCAGCAACACTGTTGACAATTCATTTAACCGAAAGGTGTAATCGGAATGGCGGCAACTGTAACAATCCACAACCATTCGACACTTAAACTGAAGATAAAATTAATGGTTATCGGCAAAAGATTGCACAATGGTAATGGACCTAGAATATATGAACTTTTTATCTAATTTATTAATGAGTTTCCTAAGCAATCATTTGTGTTTTGTTTTGTTTTTTAGTATATTCTTCAGATTGCATGCCAAATGTCAAGATAAATATTGTTAACAAACGATTGTGTAACATTTGCCTGTGTATACCACTGTGTCTATTTTGAGAGACGAAGATGAATGGCGAGCAATTTCACACCTGACTGCTGATCACACACGTATGTAGCTCGGAGCTGCCAGAAGGTGTTAGCCACATGGCCACAAGGTCAACCCTTTGGTCTGCCTTTAGGCAAACAATTAATGTGCAAATGAAAACCAATTAAATATTAATATATTAATTGCGTTCGATAATTACAAATCAACGCATGAAAAATGTTGCAGCAACATTTCCAACAACATTTCCGTGTGGCAACATGCGCTTTGAAAATTTTGTTGTTTTTTTTTTGTTGTTTTATTTTTTTGGGCAACATGGGGAGCCACCCACGAAGGTGTGTGTGCCGCATGATTTCATTCATAACTAGTCGCGTGGCTCGACACTGTGGCTTCGTACTCATCATCGTCCTGCTGGCGCTCGTCGCTTTGCAGCTTCGTGTTTGGGAAGCACTTCGGGCAGCGCTCAGCGTTCAGCGTCCTTGCCCAACAATATAAAAACAAGTGTCCTACGCTGGCAGCTCTGAGTTCTTCGCTCGTCGTCAGCCTGTTGCGTTCGAACACAGTCCCAAAAAGGCACTCAGAACAGCTTAGCCCGCCCACCAGAACGGAGCAGTCCTAGAACAGTAGGAACACAACTTGATAACTCTAGTCGAAAATCCAAAATTTTGAAAGTGCATTCGATTAGAATTTTTGTGCGCGCATTTTTGTGGGAATTTTCAACAAAACAGCCCAAAAAGATTTAAATTTTCTCCGATCTAATTTCGTTTGATTGCCGTCGCGCGTGAGCAGATATCAAAATTGGCCTAATTTAACAACCGCAACGAATATCTTGAAAACCATAAATATTTAGCCAGAGCTAAGATCAAACGAAATTTTCCTGGCCAATTACCAATTGGTAACGTGATAACGTTTTATGTGAGAAAGAAATTGTTACGAGACAAAAGAGAAACAAAATAAACGTGACTTATTTGCATTTGGTGGCATTTAACGCGTATTCGCAAACCGTGCGATTTACATTTTGTGGATAAATCAAGCTCAACGATATAACTGGTAGGTAAATGCACTTAAATGTTTTATTTATCTAATTTAATGAAATGTGTCGGTTTGTCCGGGTAATACTCCTCTTGATTTTCAATTTAGATTTTACACACTTAACTTTGAATTATTAAAGTCGCATAGAGCAGCGGAATATTTTCAAAGTAATCAAAAATGAAAACTTCAAAGGTCTTACTCTTATTTTAAAATGATTTTATTTAAGCAAGCTTTATTATTATCTTTATTATTGAATTGGGAAAATTAATTCTCAATTTAATTTTTAATTATTTTATTTTATGTACATTTTTTATCTATTTGTTTTGCATTTTCGTTAGAAATGCCTCAGGGCAAAACACACACAATTTATTTGTGGCTTGAGAGAGAGAGAAACGTGTCAAATTTAGAACAAGATAACCTGGCTTAATCAACATATTTTGTAGTTATTTATTTAGCCATGAAATTAACCGTCAGTCTGAATAATCTTAGAGCTTAAATATTAAATGCCAACACAGCTTCAATTTAATTAAATGTTTTGCAATTAATTATGCCTGTAGCAGTAATTTGTACAATTCGTTATTTGGAGCCAATTAAAGTTCCACCTACCTGGAGTCGAATGTGAAGCGATTTATAAAACGCTGAAAACTAAGTCAGAATGGTATTTGTTGCAGTCAAAATATAATTTAAAGTGTGCGCGACATTTTCATTTAAAATTGAAAAGCAACGCGAAAAGTGATTGTGATGAATTCTCAATGGGGAAACTCTCGTCGGTTAATTAGTTTTCCGTAATGGAGTTTTCACACTTTCACGCTGTCCTGCAGCGACTTGTCTCAAGTGTGCTGAGACAATAATTCAATGATGAGCGTTTTATTTTTCTTTTCCAAATTGTTGATTGTGTGTGAAAACAGGTTTCCCTGCCATTTTCAAAAAGAAAGGCAACGGTGACGTCACTGTAATGGGTCACGTATGTTGGGCCCATAAAATGTTCCTCTGAATCGTAACTGAAATTTTTGTGACTGTATTTCGATTTCAATTCCGTTAAATTTGTTAAGTATTCACAGTCGGCTGTGAATTTATATTGTGAAATGTTGTTAAACATGCAAATGGGTCATTTTCTAATCTAATATGTCCAGAAAGCGATTTTATAAGGGTTTACCTTACCTTTTATATACCCTTAAATCGCAGTCAAAGTAATTAATCGTTCAAACGTTACACTTTTTTTAGTAGGTATTTCACTAGTCCATCAGACCCTACTGGCTGTCTGAATCTTAAATGGCGACAAACATTTAAGTCAGTGAGCAAAAGACAAAACATGAATGCATTCATTCATCATTTGCTCACTCGTTTCTTTGTGCACCATGGATCAGCGGACACATCAAATTGTTCGCTCGTAAAAATCTTTTTATCGAGCAAAAAACTTTGCCCAACTTGGTATTTATTTGCATACATGTTAAATGCAAATAGACAACAAGACCTTAGCTTTATTGTCTGTCTTATATACATATATATATATATATTCATATATATTTGCAGCGGTTTTTTTAAATGGGCAGATAAAAGCGATGAGTTCGTAGGCAAAATCGCTGCAGGCAATCACGATTTCTTAGTGGGGCAGTCCCTTTATTTGCGCACAATTCACAGTGGTCCAAAGCCGTTTTTATTGCGTGGCCATATTTTGCCAAGTGCTGTTTAACACACCACGCACCCCAAACAGGAAAATATTTATTTGCTCAACTTCAAATGCAGCCATTCTCGATTTATGGCATTTTAACAATGTAATTTCATTTTAGGCTGGCAAAATTCGCAGAACGCAACTTCAATAGCTGAACTTTAACATATTTTAGGACCATTTTTAGCTGTTAGAGCGGTGGGAGAACGAAGAGTTGGCGGGACTCATTTTATGTTGTTAGAGTTGACACGTCAATGAATTTGGCCATATGCAACATGCTGTCAACATTTCAATATTCACAAATGCCACACAGATGACAGCTGCCCGAATCCTGCCACTTTTTACAGTTGCTTATGTATGTAAAAGGATGTGGGTGTGTCGAGAGCTTTCAAATAGTTAAACATCCAGAGACCTGCACTTAAGTCTTGTGCTGACAGCTCAGCTTAAATAGAGCTCAAATTGGAAGGTAAATAAAGTAGATGGGATAAGTACAACAAATATTACAATGAAGCCTAATGGCATATGTGGGATCAGCTATTGTTGCTTTGGTTCACTGTTAAGTTGATTCGACCATTTAACCTTAAGCGGAAAGACATTCAAAATATTTTTCTGTTGCAACATAAATTCAAATTTCAAATATTAAATAGCTTTTCAGAGGACATATTTGAAATATTCTCAATACTTTTAAATAATTTTATACAGTTTTAAATAGTTCCTTGGAGATAACCAGTTCTATTAGTTCGCAGTCCTTTTTAAATATGTATTATTTGATTATCATAAAAATATTCATCAATAACTGTTAAGTTAGTGTCAAAATGTATAAGAAATAATTTTAGTTGCCAAATAAATTTGAAATATTTAATAGCTTTTCAGTATATATTTGAAAAAATACTTTTTATATATTTTTACACATCTATGCTGCATATAATAAAGATAGATGAAATAGTTGTTTGAAGAGAGCCAACTCTATTAGTTTTCAGTCCTATTTAAATACGTATAAATTGATATTCTTAATTAAATATTACATACATAATTAATATTACTTACCATATTATTGAAGTGCAGTTAAATGTTTACTGAGGGGCTTTTTAGTGTCTTTACAAGTGACACCAAAAAGTATGCAATAGAAATTAAATATGAACTGTGTTGCGCATACGTCATGTTGTACATTCTGCTTACTCATGCTTATAACTGAAGCGAAAAAAAAAGAAAAACGTATCAGAATATGATAATAGCACAAAGAGCTACTTGAGGCTGTCGTATCGTTAATTTTCAATTAACATGGTAGACTATCTAAATCAAAATCAACCTATTCAAAATGCCTCCAGTTATTTATTTATAGCGAAGCAAGTGCAGAGTTCTTACCATTAAATTCGGCAATTTGAAATATGTCAGAGTTGTTAAGGAAACACCCACATTATTAAATATGTGAATGCTGGTAGCTTGTTGCACACAGGACGAGCAGCGTGTAAATTGTTTGGGTGTCAGTCAAATCTCTTATAAACGATGATGGAAGCTAATCAAAATAGTGAAAGGAAGTGGCTATGAATAAAGAAGAGGAGGCAAAACTGGGTAAGAGCAATGGCCAAAATCAATTTTCGTGCAGTGTACCATTTTGTGGGGTAAAGCAAACACATATACATATATATTTATATTTATATAATCACAACATCGAATGCAAAACTGTATTTGCATGGTTTTTTCGGTCTATTTATAGATATCTGGAGATTTTTTGGGGTTTATTCGCTTCCTGCTCTGGGGTTAAGCGGAGATTGTAAGCCAATCGAGAGTCGTCTGCTTTTTTTTGGGGTTTTTTGGTTGTAATTTACATAATCCAGCTGCCGCACAAATTATTCTAACATAATTTTGTTTAGCTGGCTGCGGCTTAACGATAACTCATTGTGTCAGTGTCTAGAATCTTTAGAGCTCCACGTGTCTCAACTCAGTCATGTTATGCTGGCATCTCTGGCATCCATTTATGTTATTTCCACACATTACGTTTATGTTCCGCTGCGGCTGTTGCAAAAGTCATTTGATGAAAGTCCATCGAGTTGCCGTTCCAACAAACTGCAGTGGCAAGTTCACCGTTAGAGGAGATTAGGGGAGGTCATGCATGTGCATAAGTCATAAATTGTATGTCCACATCAGCGATGTCAAAAGGTTGCATATTTCCCATTGACCGCCACGCAGAATTTTCCCATTTTCACACGACAGCCACGCGCAATATCAAAGCTAAAGTCCAGATACATTTCCTGTGTGTACTTTTACACATCAATTTATCTATTTTTTACAATAATAAATATTACTTGATGTTGATAACTTGGCATTTAATGATGCAGTAATCTGCTATGCAGTTGCTCAATGTCCGCAATTTATGCAAGAGAAATTATATTTGTAGCAAGGAGCTGAACTTGTGTGTTAAAGATGTGGAAATTGAAATACAAAGTGTATGCTATAAATCTAGTCAAGTATTTTTATATATTGTGCCGTTTCAGTTTTCATTTAATTTGACACAAAACATGTGCAGTCTAATTGAGCAACTGCAATTTATAAATTATTTAAAAACAAAAAACATTTATTGACACACACTATTAAATAAAAAGTTAACTTAAAAAAACATACTTTCCTAATTATTAGAAATAATATTATTTTAAACTCACTATTATGCTAAGCACTATTTAAAGACCAGTTGGGAAAACATTTATTTATTATGTTTTCTTAATTTTGAATAAAAGAAACAAAATAAATGAAGTTTACAGTAGGCTCACATCAGGGTATTTTCAGAATGCAATTATCCAAAATACTGAAATTCAATTGCTCTTTCGCTTTATGCAACGTGCAGTGATTCGCTGTAGTGTTAATCGGTCCATTCATGCATCCGTTGATATTTCATGCAATTATTATTGTTAACAAGTTTATTCTCTTTTTTAAATGCTTGTGCAATTGCAGAATGATGAAAGCCACAGCGTGGTTTTGCCCGGTGTTATTGACTTTACTCAGCGCCACAAGGCTCGTGTGTACCGCACAGCGTGGTGCGGCAGCAACAACGGGCGGAGCAGAAGGCGGAGGCGCCGCAGCAGCAGCAGCAGTAGCAGCAGCAGCAGCAGCATTGGCAGCTGGCAGCGCTGGGTATGCCAACGGATATCCTCTGGACTATCTGGATGCACAGACCATACAGGTGCGTACTCTTTGCCCCTCTCCCTTTTAGTTTTGCGGTTTTCAGCTGCTGTCAGTCAATTTTGTGACTGGCTTTTGAGGCCCATATTTCATTGGTTTTTTTTTTATTATTATGACCTGCAAAAGGAATTAATGCGTCCCTTGATGTTGCTATCAAAATATTTGCATGCATTTCAAAAATGAAAAATTTACTTGATCCCTGTAAAAACATTTGAATAAAATAAAACAATTTGTTTGCATGACATAAAATATGTATTACCAATTTTTTCTTGGTGTTTCGCTCTAACAAATTTGGAACTTTGATGTCCTATAATCAGATCCATTTCCTTTCGCATTATTTGCACCCATAAGGGCTAAGAACCTAAATAAATTATCAATCACAATTTTTAATATATTAAAAAGGTAGTCCGTTTGCACAGATTTACGCATTCGATAACAATCCACAGTCCATACATATTACTACATCAATGATACTGTGTTAAAAGGAGTAAAAACCGCTTTTTCAATATATTCTTAAGTACATAATTCCGGCTAGTTATCGGTAGCTCTGTGCTTATCGCAAACATCAATATGACAGAACAACATCGTGTTTCCTGGAAAAATGTTCTTATCATCATCTTTATCAAATCCATTTGAAATAGGATTTTCATTTTGAAAGAGACGGAATAAAGCTATCGCATAATACATAAATACTCGGAACTATCTTATCAGCAAGCTTTGAAGCGTGACTAAAGACCAACTATTAAGTTTAGCACATCAGAATTATTTGCTCGTATTATGACAAATTATTTGATAAATTCGCCCTTTTAAACTCAAAACAAATGGAACATTATTTAAATGATTTATCTTTGCTTCATTAGACCATAAGAATTGTAAACAAAATTAAACAAAAACATATATTACGTTGTTTATTTACCTTTTAGAAAAAGACAAATAAGAATTGTAGCTTTGTTATTTCATAGCGCAAATAAATCGCTTTTCTAAGTTGACAACAAAAGTTCAAGTTTTCACGCTGTTTAATTTTCACAAAGTGTGAGTTCCACTCTGACAACAATAGAACTAAATATGCGTTCTATACAGCTTAGTTGATAACTTTACAAAGGACCAACTTTTGAGGTTTTGCTGATGTCACTCACACATCCTTAAAAACACCTTCAATTGTGGTCTTTATTTTCCTATTTTAACAGCAGTTTGCTTTCTGCATTACGAATACTTCATTCATCCAGTTTAGCATTTAAGGCAATCAGAACTATTTAGGGCTTGGGCTAAAAGTTTTATAGTGCGCGAATTTCAAAATGGAAACTTATGAGGCAAGTTTGCTAAAGCAATTTATAACAATATAAGATGGAAACTATCAAGGTTACTCTGCATTCCAATCAAACTCTAAGCTAAACTAACTAAATTTAACTTGACTCTAGTATATCTAATCTTATCGAAATATACTTTTAACTTAAATTAATGCACCGAAATAAATAAATAAATATTACAAATAATATATAGAATTATTTATGATTTACATCTAAATTAATGATTGTCGAAACTTTGTAATAACAATTTTGCAATAAATGCTTATTAGGACTGTCTACAAAATATATATTTCTTATTTTTTTTTAGTCAAGTTTATTAAAAAATGGCATAAAATCGCATTTGTCACGGATGCTTCATTAGGTAAAAACATTGTAATTGAAAACGAGTGTTGTAGTTGAAGTCGCATAATAAATTTATTGATTAAACAATGCATTGACCTGTAGACAGTATGGAGCTTTGATTTTAGCCATTATCGCTAGGGTCCTCAGCCTAATCACCTCCATCTTCCTGATTATCAGGATTTTCTGGGTCTTCAGTGTTATCATTGTCGCCGGCATCGCTGCCACCAGGTGGGCCACGTGGGGGGCCACGTGGTGGGCCACGTGGTGGTCCACGTGGTGGTTTGGGTGGACCAGGTGGTCCCTGAACGTCAGGTGGTCCCTGATCGCGTGGTGTTCCTACACCGCTAGATGCTCCTTGACTGCCAGGTGGTCCTTGACCGCCAGGTGGTCCTTGACCGCCAGGTGGTCCTTGACCGCCAGGTGGTCCTTGACCGCCAGGTGGTCCTTGACCGCCGCCACCCGGACCGCGCTGTGCCACAACGGCAACTAACAAGACTGCGAATACAACAAGAGTTACAGCTCTCATGATTAGTTTTTAAGTGAATTTACTAGCCGATCTCGATCTTATATAGGTCAATTACAGTTACAATTACAATTATGCGCCAAATATTTGCACAGTTGTAATTTATAAATTGATTAAAACACTTCGATGCAATTTTGTTATGCAAAATTATAGACATTAAGCAAATAGTTCTGTCAATTCTGTCAACAGGTGATGCAATCTAATCGATTACGCAGAAAGTTTTCCACTGCCATAGCCAAAAAAAATAATCATTCCAATCTGAAGTGACTCATAGCATAATTGAATACCATGTTTGCTTTTTTTATATGTTAAGAGATAAGAACGGGAGACCTTGTAGGATGTGTCGGAACTGACGATTATAATTGCTCAGAGATTAAAATTCTGAATAGCAACCAGAAATCAGTAAATAATATGTTTATTGTTAGAGCTGCTTAGAAAAACACTTATCAATCTCAAGTGCTTTATTCATTCGTGCTGATAAGGTATGTTCACATAATAAATTACGTTTGTGACTTATTTCCCATCTCTATATAAACACGCAGTAATCCAGTAAAACAGTTTGAACAATAATTGGTTTGTCTATCGTATAATTAAAATAAAATCTAATAAGTATGACAGCACTTGTGACTAAAGCCATAAAAAACAATCACTACACTCTAATTTTTGTTTGTTGGGAACTAATATTGAAATTCTTTAAACTTCTTACAGCTTTATTGCTTTGCTTTATTGCTTTGCTTTATGGGAGAGCTTAGATGGTCGCCGAACCGCTACCTTCGCCGGAACTTTCTGTGGTCGATTCCTCGGGTTCTTCGGTTGTTTCGGCAGGTTCATCGGTTGCATTTGTGGTTTCACCTTCGCCAGAGCCCTCGGTGGTTGAATCTTCCGGTTCTTGGGTGGTAGTTTCTTCAGGAGCCTCAGTTGTTTCCTCTTTAGCTTCAGTCGTCTCGTCTGGAACTTCGGTACTTTCTTCAGGAGCCTCAGTGGTTTCCTCTGGAGCTTCAGTCGTCTCTTCCGGAACATCGGTTGTTTCTTCAGGAGCCTCAGTTGTTTCCTCTGGAGCTTCAGTCGTCTCGTCTGGAACTTCGGTACTTTCTTCAGGAGCCTCAGTGGTTTTCTCTGGAGCTTCAGTCGTTTCTTCTGGAACTTCGGTTGTTTCTTCAGGAGCCTCAGTGGTTTCCTCTGGAGTTTCAGTCGTCTCTTCTGGAACATCGGTTGTTTCTTCGGGAGCGTCGGTAGGCTTTCCCGGTGCTTCGGGAGTAGATTCTGCAGGAGCTTCAGTTGATTCCACTGGAGCCGCAGTTGTAATTTCTGGTGCCGTTGGTTCACCATCCATTCCGTTTTTGTGTTCATTGTGATGTTTCTCGAGATGGTGTCTGTACCAGCCGTTTGGAATTCTGTGCCAGTTGCCAAAGTTACCCTGCCATCTGTCTCCGTTTCGATACCAGTGACCAAGCTCAAAACCATGACCCCAGCCACCATTAAGATAGCCGTTCGGTCTGGCAGCGACTATGGCGCAAAGAAGGGCGAGTCCTGCTATTGTTAGGACCTTCATTTCGTAATTCTCGATGTATACTACTCGGCACTGCCGCCAGAACCGTCTTTTATACGAAACTGAAACTGGTGGTCGTAGGTCTCGACACTTACCATTGATATTCAGACATTCTGGCAAATACCTATACTATTATCTAATCGCTGACTGATAAGGGAAAAGTGAAATTTCATTGTACACTAGTTTGTCATACGTCAGACAGCTGTGTAGATTTTGCGTGATTTGTTAAGATTTCGATTTAAAATTTGAATTTTTTATTTTTTTTTGTCTAATTTTAAAAATAGTTTTATCAATCTCAAGAGCGAATACTTTATTCGCATACACTTAATGTCCGCTAGATTAAGATTTCTGCTCCGTTTATTTTCTATAAAAAACTTGAAGGTGAAGGTTTAGCACAGCAATCAATATCGCAGATGTATAACCTTCGGTTATTTTCCATATTTTAATTCGCATTCATTATCGCAACTGAGTTGGCAGGGAGTCAATAATCGACACTGAATCAGCAATCGCACAACTTTAAATTAACTGCAAATATCAATTTGATTACTGGGGGTGTTAAAATTTACTCAGGCTTATCACATTGTAGTTAGTTTTGCGTAAAAGGAAACTTAAGGTATGTAGATTTGATAACACGTGACAAGCACGTGAATTAAAATAATTATCAATTATATTTACTCATTTATCGAAACCATTTGAGCTGTCTGGGTTTTCTTGTTTGTTTGTAATAATTATACATAATTACTCATTTTTTTAACGAGGCACAAATATTTTCCTGAAAGTTTTACAAATTACTTTCAATTACTTAATCGATATTTTTCTTCGAATCAACTTTGACTGAAAATTTTTTATTGCATTTCTAATATTGCTATTCCGGAAACGCTTTGCTTTCCTTTTCTCTCATTAGTCACTCAAATCACATAGAATTTTTTGATGTTATCTATTTCGAGTTGTTTGCACATTTAGTTATCTGAAAGCTACTTGAAAATTATTGTAAATATTTAATTATGTACGCGTTAGCTGATAGCAGCTCGACAACAGAGCATATGTACCTCATAATCATCTTTTTAATTGAGAAAATAAAAGTTAAGTAGTTCCCAAGAAATGTTTATCGCGACAAATATTTTAACATGTCAATAATAATTTCAATCTCATTTGAAAAAGTGAGCTTGAATAATTCAATTGGCAATTCCCTGCATCGGGAAACTAATAGCTTAAAAGTGTTCTCCTCTCGTTTTTTATTTTAAAAAAGTATTTGTATGTAATTGCAAAAATGCTTAAATAATTCGCTTTGCTAAAGCTTAATAAAACTGGTTCAAGCCAAATGTAATTTACTAATTTTCATGTTAAAAATTGTGAATCATACTTAACAAACTTTAAATAAACTTTATAGATTTTCCTAGCTCACCTGTCTTAAAATTTCAAGAAATTGGCTATTCATGCAACTATTGCTTCCGCAAAACTTATTAACCAACTCAAACACTTTCAAGCCGAGTAACTTTTTGTAATAAGAATTCACAAACATTTATTATGCTGTTTATACAGAAGTTTAAAATGATTGCATAACAAGTGTTTTTTCCATCTTTCTCTCTTTCTTTTCAGGATGAGTATTCTTTGGTAAAGCGGAATAAGCCCTCGTTGTCCATTGTCAATCCGCTGGATGTGCTGCGCCAGCGGCTGCTTCTGGAAATTGCGCGCAGGCAAATGAAGGAAAACACGCGGCAGGTGAGTGAGTGGTGCAGTTGGTGGGGGTGGGGTGAGTGAGGTGGTGCTTTGCTCACCAACGCACTGCATACTTTGGTATTTTTAATAAGCGCAAATGTGCAAAGAAAAACTTTTCTACACAATTCTTTTTTTTTATTATTGTTTTCTTATTCAACTTGCTAGATAAACAAAAGAAAAAACCAAAACAAAGTACAAATTGTTTCGCTGACATTTAAAATTGAAAGAGCGATTTGATGTAAATGGAAAACTGTAGCAGCTAATCAAAACTAAAGCTGCAAATAAAGAAAATAGCTTTAAACTATTCCATAAGTTGTGCTCCGTTTTGCGTAAGCGTATTCCATTTTCTACACTCCACAGTAGCAGCTAAGCGGACAATAAATTGTCCACAAATATCCGTCCGAAGTCGGCCCAGTGACAAGGTCATGCCTCTTTTGTTGTTGGCCATTTGTCAAGCAATGGTCTAAAAGCGCTTCTTATCGCTGTGTGTTGACGAGCCCGCATTCAAGCCATGCTCACATAGCACACAGGTGACAAAGAAAGCTTCTAAAAGCAAGAATATGTTCAACTTTAATATACCCTGCAGCCGCCTCTTAGATTTAAATTAGATATTTAATAGACATTATGGAATATTGACTTCAATTATAATATTGACTACATATATACAAAAAAGGAGAATTAAATGATTATAAATTTGGATGTTGGGAATTATAAAAAATGTTTATTGTAAAACTCAATGCTTTGTTGATTTTTTGGAAAGCATGTCAGTTTAGTTCATTTTACAAAAACTTATTTGAAGTAAGTTGAAAACACCCTTCTTATCCATGTATTTGTGTACAGGGTATAATAAAGGATTCAAGGGCTTTGGGTTGGTGACAGCCAACCAAAGGCTTAGAGCATCTTATGAGCGCAAAGAGGAAATCAACGCATCGTATGCGTAATACAAATATTTCGACTTGACAACAAAGCAAAATTTATTTGGCTACCAAAATGTTGTTGCACCCCCCGGCGCCACGTTAAAGAAAATGTGGAAGGAAAATCAAACGATTTAATGGCAGAAATTCAAACGATTTGGCCCTTGGGTGCCTCTCGAGTAACGATCTCACACTGGGCCCAGAGAGAAGCGGGGTATATGCCAAATTGTACGCTCCATTTACACATGTCGTATTCAGATGTATTGATTTGTTCAAAGGGATACGATAAGTTGCTGCATGAATGCGAATTCACAGACGTAAAACTTGCGAGTGAACTCTTGACTGCATTCGAATAATTGAGTATGAGTACAGCGAAAGCTGAATACTCAGAAGATTCGCACTTGAATCACAACTGCGATTAAAAATATTATATAAAAATATAAATTTTTATAAATATTATTATTTGAAGCAGACAGACTGCAAGGTCGTGGAGTCCTCTGGCTTAGCTCAAGTGAAATCTTTTCGTTCAAGGGTTGTGCTGTCCTCCTTTGGTGGCGCTGTATTATTGAAGTGGGTGACGATGTCCATGAGGAGTAGATACCCACGATGGGGGACGCTGCTCATGATCGTGTGTGGGATGCTGTGCATGAGGTGGTCGCTTGCCTGAGCGATTTGTTGGCAGATGCACAATTAGTAGCAAATATATATGTTTAACAAATTAAAACATTCATCTCACTCGACTCTTGCAATGGCTTTTTCTGCAAAACAACTACTCGATTACCCTATCTTTCTGCCATCAGCGCCACCAGCACCACCAGCATTTCAATTGATATTTTTTTATATTTTAGTTTTTCGTACTTATCTGTTTAAATTGACAGACAATTGGGAGTTTTTATGAGTCGGCGTTAATTGGGGTCATATTTTCTACATACAATAAATATAATTTTTTTTCGCGTGCGAAACTTGTTGGTTTTATCTTATCTCTTTAAGTACATAGCTCAATTTTGCAGGGAATACCGATAATGGTGAATAACTATTTTATCAACCAACATTTTTAAGCCGTTGCTCAAGTAGTTAAACGTAGTGTAGTAAAAGTTTGAAGTAGAAGGGAAGAAAGTATTCCCATTTCTAAATATACTCAGTTTGCTGATAAACCTTATAATTGTCATTGCAATGTGTTTAGCTATGTGTTGTTAAGATATATTAAGCGACTGAATAATTTTTAAAGCTTTTATAGAACATTTAAATACAAAGAAAATATCTCAAAGCTTTAACATTTAACTCATTACTATAGCAAACCTCAGGGGGCTTCAAATGAATGCAATCTGAAGCATAGTTTCAGGAGAAATTTTTTGGACACATAAGCCAAATGGGAACCACCACACTTTAAACAGACGTATGTAGCATAAGAATTAATATTAAGCACACTTATTTGCTAGAGGAAATAACTTTCCAGAATGTCAACTCTAAGCTAACTGCAAGTTAAAAATGCAATTAAAATTTGTTGAGTTTGAGAATAAATTAAATTTGTAGATGTGCAAGTGAAATGTGTGCTTAGAGGGCTGAGGGGAATCGCTTTGGGTGTAGTTGTGCTGTGTGAAGTGTTCACATTGCGAATTACTGTGAGTGTTTTTTCCAATCAGTCATTTTCCCTCTTTGCTTTTTATTCCCGGTCTTAAACAGGTTGAATTGAATCGAGCCATACTGAAGAACGTGGGCAAACGTGTATTTTTGGAGCCGGCAACTTGGGGAAATACTCACTACCAGCAGCACCAGCAGCAACTGGAGCGACAGCAGGAGGCATGGCGGGAGCAACTGCGTCGCGAACAGCTGCAGCAGCAGCATTTCCCAAGTCAACTGTGGAGATTTGGCTGGCCCCAGTCCACCACCGGCACCAGCACCGGCACCAGCTCCGTCTCCGGCTCCGGCTCCGGCTCAGGCACACCCTCGGCCTCGTCTCACATTTTTGATTTTCTGCAGCAACCTGCAACACGACCAAGACAGCAAACGGCCGCACAGCAGCTGCTCGACGATACCAACAAATCCCTAAACACCCTCGGCACCCTCGGACTGGGAGTGGCTAAACATCCCCAGCAGCAGCAACAGCAGCCGGAGCAGACAAACGGAAATGAAATTGCAAACGAAACAAATCATGAAAACGGCCATCGCAAATCGTTGCCAGTTGGCAAAAGCGCAACTGGTGTTGTAAACGACGAAGACGCTGATCCTGACGAGGAACAGGACCAAGACGATTTGCTGGATGACCTTAACTTGAACTGGGGCAACGAGCAGTCGGATGACTTGGAAAGCGTACCGGAAGCGGCCAATGCAAACGGGCAACTGCCTTGGCATCTCATCTATCGCGTGCACAAGAATCCGCACTATGCTAATTAAGTGACAGTCGCGAAGAATACAGATACAGATACACATACACTCACACAGACACATACACAAACAGACAGACACACAGACAGCTTTAGTGTTTAAAATAGACGTTAGTAGTTGCTAAATTGACGGTTCCTAAATGGCTGGCTTTAAGACAGGCATATTGTGTGTGCAACCCTCCGATGAACAAAACGAACTCCTCCCCACCAACATCTAACGCGACCCGTTGCTTGAATATACTCAATGCTGACACTCACACTCGCGCACTCACTATTTGAATTTCGTATTCGCATTCGTATTCGTATTTGTATTTGTATTTGTAACTAAGTGAATGGTCTATGTAACAATTCATGCTACCTCTTTCTCAGATGCTCTCGAATATTAAACACGAAACGAACGTTCCCTTAACTCCGCCGGGTCCTTGTATCCGGCCCTAAGTACTACGTAATTATACTCGACAAATTGTATTTATTGACTAGCAAAAAGTTTAACAAAAATATACAAAAAATATACAAAAAAATACATTAAAAAATAATATATATATACATATATATTTATATACATCAGTGTATATGAATTTGTTTAATAGCATAATTGACGTTGATTGATAAAAGATACGAAAAGTAGATGAGTAGATCTTAAATGCATACCTCTATATATATAATATACTGTATGTGTGCATGTGCTTGTGTTTTTAATCTATTCACTCAGCTCCTTAGTTTAACATTCAATTATATATAATTTTCATCTTTACTCTTATTTTTCTTAAAATTTTCTTAATAAGTATTCTCCGAATTGAAAACATAGAAAATGATCCGCGGGCGGAATTCGTTTGTTAATTTATATTAAATTATCATAAATAATTTATATTGATAAGCAATTAAAAAAAAAACGGAAAGTATATATTTATATATATATGATTTTAATTGTTTTTATCAAGTCACAACGATTCGTATAATTTTTACATGCTCAAATTAAAATAGATTAATTTCTAAAAATCTTTTAAGATTTATACTACATCAAACAATAGATGAAACTCCTGTGGGCCAGTTTCTTAGTTCATCTCTGATAAATTAAGAAATCAGGTCCAACTGAAAGAAAGTTTTATTTTTAGCTAACATATGAAAGTTGTAAGAAAGATAGGAAACATGTTAAAGAGACACAAAATGGTTGAAAATCATATAAATACGACTAACGATTTTAACGTAGATGAGCTACTTAATCCTAACCTAAATTACATAACTATTTATGCATGGGCTAAACTCAATTAATCTAACTACTTACATATGTATACAAATATTGCAAACTTATATATACAAATGATGTGTTGACAATGGATCGAGAGGATTATACACATACACAAATATACTCACTCACACAAACACTTATGTAAATTATTGAATTTTATGCAAAAAAACGAAACAAGATGAAGCAAAAGTAATTTTCTATATGTAAATAAACAATTTTCTCATAAATAAAGCTGAATAAATGGAATTATAAAAAGCAAATAATTGAAATTCAAATTATATATATATATATATGTATATATATATATATATATATATATATATATATGTGTATATATATATATATATATATATATGTGTATATATATATGTATATATATATATATATATATTACATGGATTATCCTCGTATATGTATTTATTTTAATGAAACCAATGAATAAAAATCAAAATTATTGATATGGCATTCAATTCAAAAGCGCTTGATTTTTAATGTTTTTTGGGATGGAGCTTTTAATTTTTGATTTTTAGATCATTTTTAATTTTGAAGAATACAGGAATCTTGGCGGAATAAGCGATGAATATCAGAAAATTATATAGTTTAGATTTTACAGTAAATCTGTAAACTTTCAAATAGAATGAAAGTTTTATAACAATTCTTCCGATTAAATTTCTATTATTAACAAATTCTTTTCTATTTGTTAACCGTTCATTTGTATGTAATGGAATGTTTAAATGAGCTTTTAATACTTACATCGTAGTTTGCTGAAATTTAAAAACTGTTAACTCGTTCTTCAATGATGTCCAGTTATACTCATAGGCGAAAGCCAATTAAAATGCAGTTCAATTATCTAGATACTACAAAAAAACGAAACCTTTATTTCAGTTGACAAGTGCACTTGAAGTGTCTGTAAATTGTGCCCAAATCACTTAAACGTAATTCTAGACATGGGCCAACAGCTAATTAGGGTGTACGATGAATGTTCCCTTGTGGCCAACGCCTCTTAAATAACTCGAGGGCATAATTAATAAACTTGTCTCTCTGACGCAGTACACGAGACGCTTAACAGACAGCAGCAGACCTATGACATAAGAGGGCCTATGGAATAGAAGGAATAGGACGCCCCATAAACGATAATTATCGCAGCACCATTACGAGAACAAAGCACGTACAAAAGTTGACAGCACAGCAAACAATGACATTGCCAAAGGGACGCGGTGCGGGGGAGTGCTGTTGTTGTGCTTATTATTATTGTTGTTGTTTGTTTCGTTTTGGTTTGCAATGTGTGCCGCACTCATTTGATGTCACAGAGCAGCGCAACGCCGCGCAGTGTCCAGTGCTTGGGATTGAAGTCGGTCTCGAAATCAATGGAGCCGACATACTTGAGGTCGGTGCGCTGCGGCTTTCGATAAATTGGGCACTCGTACAGCTTTGGATCCTTGCCCGCGGTCGTGTTAATGGCATAAATATATATGACCGGCATTTGTTCATATAGCACCTTCATCCTTGACTCAATCAGCTTGCCGCTGCGTCGATCCAGCGAAGCGCCTGCAAGGCAATAAATTTAAAGCCGAGTTAGAATAAGTTGAGTTCATAAAGTTGTTTAGCCAATGCCCGGGGAATACGTGTAATTGCCCACGCATGTTTCTGCGACCCAAAAAATCTTTATTAGCGCACAGCTTAGGGCCATTTTGTCGTGTTTTAATAGACTGACGCAAAGCCAGCCGGAGCCCTCACACCAAAACAGGTGGACACCTGTCAAGGCAAGTTTTAATGGACAGCAGCAGAACTTATGTAACTGCTAACTTGTGTCTCTATAAAGGTACTTTAAATGTACCACTCAGCGTATGTGTAATTTTATTTGCAGTAACTACAATTTGGCAATAGGGAACACGTTTTTGACGCTTCAGTTGGATTTGTGTATGCTAAGCCAACTTTTAATGCACTCGCTCTCTATTGTCATATTCCATTTTGGCAGTTTGCGTCACGAAATAACAGTTAGAGAACTGCTAGATGGACGGCCACGCTTCAATTCAATTCCGCAACATAACAACAAAGTGTTTTTGGATATTTCATAAATTGATCTATTGAAAACACTGAATTGTTATTTTGGATTGGATTGCAAAAGCTGATGGCTTGAAGTACGTTGAAAAAAAGTTATGATTTAGAGTGCTTCAATCCAATAGAGACTCTTGAATAGAGGGTGAGTTTGCTAAAGCGATTCACTTGTTTAAAAGCAATAACAAAGCACAATGCAAAATAAAAATTAAAAAAAAAAGTGTTATAAAATTTCGAGTGAAAAAATTGTAGAATTAAAACAAAATCAAATTGCACAACATTTTACAAAATATTCTGAAAAGGTTAACCATGTGACAAATATGCAGACGGGATCTGCATGTTGAGCTACCCATTGTTGAATGCTACAAGTTTTGGGTCAGTCAGCTCCCGTTCTGCTAATCAGAATCAGAAGCTAACCACAACAAAGCTAAAGTGGGAACAGTGGGCAAAAGTGACGCAAATTATGCCTTTAACATTAATATTATCACACACGGGGCGAAGCCAGGCATAAAACGAAAAACCGCACAAACAAGTCGGGACCAATTTGCAGGGTCAACAAAAGGCCATGAACTTTGGAAGAAGAGTAAGGAAAAGATGTCATTGTATAGCAAACGAAAATATAAATACGTTATATACAAATACATGTGAGATATTCAATGCGAATAGCAAAAAAAAAGACAAAAACAATATCAGAATATAAGAAGAAAAAAACAGCATGCAGCGACTTGACATTTGAATGTAGACACGTTATTGGGGGTAAGGTAGGTTTAGTTAGTATTTACCTTCTAGGAATAGACCATGCACATATACGCCCTCTGTGGGATACTCGGTAATGTCCTCCTTGTTATAGCGAGTTATTTGATTCTGCAGCACGACCGAGTCCAGTGCCCAGCCTTTGTGAGCTCGTGTTACCTCCTGACAATTTCAACGACACACGCGACGTATACGCAATGCCAAAGCAGAAGGATGAGCAACAGCAGCAACAGCAGCAGCCACAGCAGGTCGATAAGCAAAGTCAATTTGGTCGAAGTGATACAAAAGCAGCCCCAAGACAGCAAAAACATAAAGACATGAAGAGAATTCCACAAATGAGTAACTTGCAGGCATATCGAATATCAATAGATGTGTGGCGGAAAATAGTTTGTTAGGAAATATACTATTATTATTACAAACATGTCATGATTTACATGCATCTCCTAGCTTTGTAACACATTTTAATAATTTGTGCTTGTCCAATATTATCATGTTATCAAATAGGCATTAAGTCAAAATCTTTTTGTTTCGCTAAGATTTTTAAAGTTTGCTTTAAATTACAAAGAGACCAAATTAACAAGTCTCTTACTTGATTTATATAACAGTTCTCAGAATACCCAATGCCTAGTTTTATAGATCCTGTTATCTATTATATCTAATAGATTTCTTTACACAACTCTTGTTGCTTATCGCATCTGCTTTATAACACAGCAAGTGGGAATATCGCTCATAAATGCTGCCCTAAATACAGGGTATTTTGCAGACGAGCATCTAAAGAGAGTTTCAGACACACGTGTTTAAAAATGCCATGATTAGAATTTCCCCAGAGTAGCTACGTGAACAGTAATTGTTGACAGGAGTGCCACTACAACTTGGAATAGCTTATTATCCAGCTTAAATGTAGCTTATCCAAGTTCTTAGCTTATTTTTGCTTGTTATTCAACAACGCTTTTTAACGATGTTATAACCAAACTAGTCATTTAATCTGTCTGCTACTCGTTGGCGGTAAGGAATGAGAAAATTAGTAACTTTCTTTTATATATTATACTCACTTGTCGCATGGCGGTCAGAAAACCTTGCGGATTAAAAAAGCCCGTCATCCAGAATACCTGTTTTTATTTTTGTTCATTGTTCGCGTTGACAAATGCACAATCAAAAGTTGAGAGAAAAGCCAGTTTTTGTGTAAGGTGGGGGAGGGGAGGGGATAGCTTACCTTTGGACGATCTGTGGATATCCAGGTACGAAATTGCCCATTTCGCTCCAGCAGTTCAGTGTACCAAAAGCCAAGCGTGGTGGACTCCCAGGATATCTGGAAGTGCAAGTGACATTGACATGAGCAACATTATCTAAGCGCTCTAGAGCAGATTATAAAACAGTTCTCCGCAATTTATTTAAATATATTTATAATATGTATATGTATTTTAAATGTTAAGCAATGTTTTGTTATAGTGTGTCATTCATTTCCCTTCATTATCTTGATGTTCATAGCGCGACAATAGTCCTCCATTTCCAGCAAGGCATTCTGCTGAGGGTCGTGTAAACTGGACTTGGGTACAATAGTCGAAATCCATGGATGAAACATTTCACTGGTCTTCTTGCCGCGCGTAATGGTGAACTCTCCCTCGTGGAATAGCTTTCTCTTCATCTCGAATGACATTTTGTCGAAACTATCCGAAGTTTTGTCCACACTTAATTGAGAATCTGTTGTGTTTGAACTGTTCGCAACCCTGCCGACACCCTGCAGCCGATCTATCAGCATTTCTGGCATCAAAGGATCCGATTTCTTCGGAAACGGTGTGCCCGTATTGGTAGTCTTCATAAAACCATAATCACGATACTCCAATGGAATATGCGAAGTTACATTCACATTGTCCTTATCAAAAGCCGCGCGTTTCGGAAGCTGTGTATTTTTGCGTTTCTCGGTTGGATGCTTTAACATTTTCGAAAATAGAATCCTCCAGCTAAATATGTTAATTAATGTTAATTGTCTAAGTACACGTATAGAGCGGACTCTAATGCGTTTCAATTGTCTTAAAAATGTACGTGCCAAAAATATATAAAAATGAATAATAAAGAAATAATTCTTCTATTTATTTCTAATGTTCTCTTAATTTATTGATTTCTTATGTGAAGTGCTCTTATTCACAACTGGGACTCAATTTGTATATGTTTACATTAACATTTTTCTCAAAGCTTGCCTATTCCTACGTTTTATGAACAGAAAAAACAATTTTAAAATGTCATGTGTCTTTTCCTATATTTTTTGGATTCAATGAAATTAATTTGTGGAATTGTTTGCGACCAATTTGCTCTCTTTTCACTTATAAAATTTAACACCAATTTTGCTTATTATCTTTTCTTCAGACATAATTTGAAGCATTTATTTGCTTTGATCCAACCCCCAGCTGAGCTCGGCAAATTATTGGCCTAATCCAAAAAAGAAAAACTACCTCAAAAAAAAATATTAAAAATAAAAAAAAAAAATTACCAACAGCTCTCGTCTGCGATTCCGTAGTCTCCGTGTCAATTAAAGAAGGTGCGTCAAAGCGTTAAACGTTTACACGCATAAATATTAAAGGGCCACGCCTCGTAAAAGACAGCGAAACCCAAAATCAATCAAATTTTTATAAGCGGCAATTGAGTTGGGCCCACAGCATTTTTTAGCCGCCCAACCAGTTTCAGCCCCGAAGCAGCGGTAGCTGATAGTCCGTTGTATATGTACACTGCTATCTATACAAGCTTTGTGTATATATTTATGTGTATATATATACATATATATATATATATATATATATATATATATATACATATATATTTGTCTTTTGTTTAGGCAGGTCTGCTTACAACATTGGGACTAAGTTTGTTTGCACGCCGATAAAAATCTCGTGAGACAATAAAAACACGCAGAGTCCTCGCTGAGAAAATCTCACATTGAGATTACTTTGGGCAACATTTTTGTGGACCCACGAACCATACATAAAGTGCTGGCTAGCACCTGGGAGACCATAAAATCAATGCCCACAGCCAAAGACCTCACTTAAAGCTAAAACCAAATGCCTAGTGTGTAAAATGAGCTCTAATTTCTGGGCCACCCAAAAGCACAACCACACTCAAAAAAAAAACTGTCCTATTTTTAGAGAATCGCCCTGAATACTACAAAGTTTTTCTTGATTTTAGAACAAATTCTACAAATTAGAAAGTCTTGCCCTATTTCTAAAAAGTAGGAATGATAGTCCTCTCTAAAATTCCCAAACAAGTAATGCAATTTACTGAAACTTAGACAAATATTTGCTATATATTGGAATAATTAAACCTGAAATTCGGAAAAGAAATGTGCTTTCTGACTAATAAAAAAAAATAATTACCCTTGACGCCAAAACTATGGCGAATTTCTCAAATTCAGGTTGATTATTTATTTATTTATTTATTTTTTTTTTGAGTGTACATACGCACCTTCATCCAGGTCTCGGGTATACGGGCATCATACATGGCATCCAGTGACTCCTTGAGCGCCGGACTCATCACAATGGTGCCATCGATGGCCAGCTTCAGATCGCAGAGGCATGTGTGGACGCGTTTGATGACGCGTTGCATCCGATCGATTTCCTGCCTACACAAAGGTAGTACACGTATATTAATCACACATCCCATAATCTGCGTTCATCTTTTGCTCACCTGAGAAAGATGTTCATTGGCAGCAGGATGCCCATGCGTGTCAGATTCTCACGCACCTCGTACTCATTGTACTGTGCCGGCAGCTTGCGCAACATATCCTCGGCCAATTGATAGACGATGCTCTCCCGTGTCTCTCCACCACCACCGCCGCCCTCCTTCGGCTGCACACTCAGTATGGTATCGAGAATTCCTGTAAGCAAACAAAAAAAAGAAAAAACAACAATAGACATTTAGTCGCCTCCTGCCATAATTGCCACATGTGGGTTGCTGATTGCATTTGCTTTTACCCAAAAATAGATTTGGCCACAAAGGCATCAACTAATTGTATAAAATGTATTTATTGAACAGTTTTAGACCACACACACAAATACAAATTGTAAATTAAGTAAAGAGCATTTATAATTTATTATATGGTTTCTGAGCCCACTGACATCATATAAAATAATATTCCTAATGCCAGCGCACACTAAAAAGTAATTGGCAATGAGTTAGAAATAGTTGAATCATTAGTCCAATTTATCTAACAGAGTTATGTGATGTGCGATTGACTAGAGGATACCCTATATATTGGAAGGTTGTCGTACTTCTTATTGTAAAACTGCATAACTCTCTTCTCCTTTTTCCTAATATCTATTGCATCTTCCCTCTTATAGTTTTATTCTGATATATTATAATTTTGCAAATCGGTTTCCTTTGTATTTTTCATTTTCTTTAAGTTGATGTCAATATATTCATTTGCATACAAATTCAATCAGTTGAACATTCTTATTAGAATTATGTAAATTATTGGTTCGATAACGCACCCTTTGAGAAGCTATGCCAATAATACAGGCGAACCATAAGAAAGTCTTAAATATTGAAAGCATGGAAATTAAGTGAAGCAGAAGCCGTGTGAATTACCAGCCATAAGCCTAGTTAATTTCTTAAGCACAATTACAGGTATAACCTTCAGCAGCAGGCATTGACCCGGCCACCACCACCATATTCAGAGCGTAAATTTCAATTGCCTGAAATGGCAAATAATCGACAGACCAAACCAAAAAGTGAAAGCAAAGCAAGCTGTCAACGACAGATGTAAGACTGCTGACATACCTTTGGCCGAGTTAATCTGGTACGTGATGTCAGCATTGGAATGCAAACCAAACACTTCGGGTGTGTCGTAGGCGGGCAGACTGTTGATGTAATCGATGAAGCCCTGCAGACTCTTTGTGCCGGGCACCTTGTAGCCCTTGTAGAACTCAAATGCGCTGGACAACAGCTGCTCGCAGAACCACACCGAGGTGAATGTGGTTAGCAGTCGCTTATCAAAGTCATCTGTAACCCGACCACCATACTGCACCTCGCCAATCATATAGACGAGCGTTTGCCAGGAGACGCCCTTCTTCGGATCCATTTCATCCAAATGATTCTGGATGAATTGCACGCTCGCAGCAAAGTCTGCCTGATTGAATTCGTAGGGTATATTCCAGCCGAGTGGCCCGAATTTGCGTCGCTCCTGCACGATGGTGTGTAAAAAGGCCACCGTATACAAAAGCGATGGCCACTGCGTCGCAGAGGTGTAGTCCAAAAAGTCCTGCGTAAATGACTGTAAAGCACACAAAGCGACAATTGAGTAATATCTGAGTGAGTTTATACAAAATTAAAAGGAACACTCTACAAAATGCAAATATTTAAGACAACAAGCCTTTTTCCCTCATTTACGACAGCTCTGTCAATAATATGATGACCCTTCATAAATTTACAATTAACTTAAGCTTTAAAATCTGGGTCGAGGCTCAAGGTTAGTACTCGTTAATAAGACATTATGCTTAGTACTTATTGTAAATGAATAAATCAATAAAGGGGACCCACCTGATAGCTTCGCTTCAGACTGGCGCGTATGCCCTGAGGCGGCTCATTGGTAAACTTCAGCGCCATCTGTAGCAGTCCAATGGGAAATTCCGAGTGGGGCTCCGTGGTGACCCACATGCGAAACGTATCATCAATGTGCTCCGTCTCGACCAGCATATCGATTACCTCCGTGCAGAAGGGCAGCGACAGATGTACATTCTGCAGTAAGACCCAACCGCCAATCGCCATCGATTCCATAATCATTTTACGAGCATGATACTCCTGACCCTGACCCATCGAGACGCATTTAAGTACTGACAAAAACATAAAATCGGATGAAAGATATTTTTATGTGTGTCTCGATGATTAAATAATCCTGCATGCTGAATATTTTGATCTTATATAGATATAATAAAATACTAAGCAGCACTTACTGATGCCCTTTTGCTTAGCCAGTGCACCAATTTGTGTAGTCGGATCGGAGCCAATGGATAGGAGGCAAACGAAGGGCGTGCGGGGCTCCGATTCGGCCCAGGTGGCCTCCAAATCCAGGATTTGCATCTCACTGTACTCGGCGCCCAGAGATTCTGCGCAGGATCAAATGATTAGAAATATATAAACTGCTGCTATAATCCTACACACCTTCTATATACTTTTTAGCCTGTGAAATGGTGCGATCTGGACACCAGGAGCGTATGAGGAGAAGCTTACGAAAACCATCCAGCTGATTATTATATCCACATGGGATCTCTTCGTTCTCCGGTTTCTCGCACTCGTACCAGCTGCGCCAGTCGCGCTCATTCAGCTCAATGATTTGCAGCACCGTGGAAAAGGTGTCCAACTTGCTAATCTCGACTAGATTTAGCCAGGTGATGTCCAATATCCAACGGAATGGCTTCGGTGCCACAGCATTTAAATCCAAAGAGGCGCCACCCTTGATGAAAGTCAAGAACTCCTCATGACTAATATTCCCGTTGTGATAGTCAATCTTTATGGCCAGCATCAGAGTGAAGAGCTGCTTGTGCCGCTCGTAGAGACTGCGATTGGTGAACTTATATACCTCGTAGGTTAGATAGCGTAGTATTATAATGATGCGCTCCTCGGTGACACTCGACTTGGTCGACTTGGTGATGGAGTTGTTGAATATGACCAGGAACTGCTTGAGCGAATTCTGATACATGGCATTCACATTACTCATCTCGACAATTAGGAAATACAGAATAGATCCACGCTTGGCCACAGCACGGAACTCCTCACGGGCCTTCATTATCTTGCGTTCGGTTACTTCGGAGATCTTGAGTTTCTGGTTAACCTCCTCGGCGGTGGTTTTGGTTACGCGCAACACTTCAATGAGCGCCTCGTCATCCACCAGTGAGCCCTGGGAGGAGCTCAGCCGTAACAAGAGGTTCGCCTCGAGCTCTTTCATATTACGCTGATTCTGCATAACCGTCTCGAACAGCGCCACACGCTCCGCCTCCAGATCGGATTTCTCCATGAGTATGACACGCCCCAGCAACTGATCCTCCAGGCCACGCATTGTGACGGTAAAGTCAATTATGGATGTCTTTGCGCTGACCTCCGGACTAAAGGCCGGATTCGGCAGCTTGGTCGTTATGTATAGCATAAAGCCTGGCATTACATCACACTCCTTGTCACCAACTAGGACCTTCTCTATGCTGCCCGACTTGATAAAGTTCTTTTCCAGCACATTGTCTATCACCGGATCCAGATCTATGCCCACATCCTCGATGAGCAGCGGCCTGCCCAGTGACAGCGAATCCTCCAGATGTGTGCGGAAGTATTTGTGATTTAGCGATGTTATCTGCAGCTCATTGCGATCTTCCTTGCACTTGATCCACAGCTTGCCCTGCGTCTGCGGATCCACCAGCAGCGGATAACTGCTCGACTTGGTCGCAATTAGAGCATTCTGCACGGATAGATCATCGTTGGGCAATCCCTGCAGCGTCCACTCCGACACCGTTGACGAGTCCACCAGCATATTAATAATATTTAAACCAACTGTAAACGGTATACACTTCTGCTTGAGTATGCCCATCCAGGTTCTAATCAGATTAGCCCTAAACTCCTGATTATATGGGCCGCAATAGGACAGAAAACCAGTGGCGAGCAGCACATCGCCCACCAGCTTGCCCAGCTGTATTTTGAACTCTTTGCTCTGGTTCGTCCAGCGATGCTTCTCATCCGATAGCCCATTGATGAGCGCCGTGGCGGCGGTCATCTTGCGCAGACACACATTGGCCGCATCCATCAGACGCTGCTTTTCGCCCACGGCCTTGTCGTACTGATCCTTGACCGCTTGCAGGGCATCCTCGCGTTCGCGCAATTGCTCCTCGGCGCCAGCCAGATCGTCCATGGCAAGCTGATAGAGATTGAGAGGTGTAATTTCTGCACTAAATGGGTATTTCAGCTTACCTTAAGACGCGCCTCCTGCATCGTTAGATTTGCTTTCAGGGGCAACACCTCCTTGTTGACGCTGTGAAAGAAGGACATGGCCTTCGTCCAGGACAGCAGTCCGGCAACGTCGCCGCACACACGACGCGCCATGTCCATGTTGTAATCCTCCATGCGAAAGTAGGGCTGCAGTAGATCAATCATCTCATCGTTGATCGTATCCTTGGGATAGTTCTGCAGCTGTAGCAGGAAAGTGGCACTGGCCATCATCTGGGAATGCAAGATTACCTTAATTCGAGATTTGTTAGATTTAGTAGGAGTGAACTAACCTTGAGCGACTCTTGCCAGGAGGGTTTGGGACACGGTGTGCCCGAGTCGGGTATGCAGGGATGCAGCTTACGTTTGAACAGGATGAGCACGCAGTCCATGATCCGCATGATTAGATGCGGTGGTCTGCCCAACTTACGTACGGTGGCTATGTGAGCGGGTTTGATCGTATTGAGAGCGTTCTCGGCCTCCTCAAGAGCGGGTTTGGCCGCCTCGAGTTTCTCCTCGGCCAGGGCCTTTTCATTGGCTATGCACGCAACGAGAGCCTCGGCCTTGTCCTTGACGATGAGCACTTGATTCTTAACAATTTCCGCTTGCATTGCACGCTCGGTGACCTCAACTAGCACAGATTCAGCGTTTTTGGAGGCTTCGACAAGCTCTTCCTCCATGACGACTAGATCTTTCTTAAGAATCTCAACCGAGGCGGAGGCCTCTTTCAGTTTCTCCAAACCGGTATCCATCTTCTCCACACCATCGCGCAGCTCTTGCTGTTTGAGCTGGTAAATGTTCTTATAGCCGGCAATGAAGTTCAGATAAGACTTGGGTGTCACGTGAGTGGCGCGACGGAAACGCTGGAAATATTCGTGCGAGGTTTCCGCGACAATGTCCTGAATGGAGCCGAGCGCATTAACTAACTCCTCCTTAACGGCCGGTGTACACTCAATCTCGAAGTGGCTGAGAAAGTGTCTGGCAACCGAGACCAATGCGTCCTTGGGCCACGGATGCAGCCAATCGATGGTGCAGCCGGAGACCAAGGCGGGAAAGCGCTGCACCCGCGAACGGAATGTCTCGCCCACCGGCGAGAAACAGAATGCCACATGCAGATTGGTGCAGGTGCGCGCCAAAAAAAATTCCATCACACTTTCCGGGGTCGCTGTTTTGCGTTGATTCTCGCGTTTCATGACCGGCGTCAACTCCTGCACGATTTCGGCCTGCTCATCGCGCGAGAATAGGTTCGAGATGACGCCGCTCGAGAGTATATTATTGAGATACTCGAGGAAACCTTCCTCCTTGATATCCATGTCGGTGAAGAGAAAGGTTGTGCCCTTGCCCTGAACGCCGCAGGTGCGATAGAGCAGCTTTAGGTCCTCTAAAAAGTTGGCCACATTGTACGAACGCGTCAACGCAATTTGGAATGTCTTGTAGCCGGCAATGAACGATGCCAATTTTGTCAGCGACTGTTTTCCGGAACCGCCGACCCCGACCAGCATGACGTTGCCTCTCGGATGCCGAATGATGCGGGAGATCTTCACCAGATGTAGCATGGCATCTGGGAAGAAAACCAAATCCATTCCGGATCCTCGCACCATCTCATTGAATTGGGCGAGGAACATAACGAGACGCTCGCGTAGCGCTTCATACGAGTTATGAGAGTTCACCGGTTCGTAGACCTTGGGCAATTCCATATCAGTGTCCTCGCCCTCCTCGCCAGTTGGCTCGGGGGCGTCCCGCATGAAGTCCACAAATACTGGATTCGGTATTATCATTTGGGAATGGGACTCGCCCAGCTCCTCGCGCACTAGCGCCGCCAACTCTGAGCCGAACCACTCTCTGTCCTGGAACGTGGTAAAACGATCGGCAAATACACGCGTACACTCATGCTTCCACAATGACATGAGTACGCTCTCCGCTGTGATCACTGTGGATAAGGTGCCAACCATGCCTTGCCAGATGCGCGACAAATCGCGCAGACTGAATACATAGTGGAATTTGGCCGGCGTAGGCAATAGTTTCTCGCGCGTACACTGCCAGAGATGTCGGGTCACCAGTATCAATTTCTTGACGAGATTCCGAACCTCGGGCACAAAGCCGCGCTTGGCATTGTAATGACCCTCGCCGATAACGCGGAAGATCTTATCAATGGAGTCGTTGTCGGGTATGTTGCAATTGAATACACAAAACTGTCGCTTCAACCGAGATGGGACATCGTTGCGACCACCGCCGGGCAGGCCCATCGCCGCCACATATTGTACATCGACAATGGTGGTGAAATCACCGGGTTTCTCCAGGCTATAGAAGCCCTTCATGTCCATGGATTGGCGGACGATCTCGTTGGTTATTTGATCGCCCCACTCATTGATCTCGGGTAGATTGATGTCATCGATGAAGACGATCAGTTTGCGGCCACCGGGTGGCCCGAATGTGACACCAACACGCTTCTCCACATAGCTCTCGATGGTCCGTTGAAATTGATATGGACTGGTCGCCGATGAAAAGTTGAACGACCTGCCCATGTATGTCTCAATGTTCATTTTCTTCATGAAGTTCTTCATGATGACCGTTTTGCCCGTGCCCTGTTCGCCGATGATCATCACGGCGCGCTCCTGATTGGCAATGGTGCCGATCAGATAGTCGATGCGCACATTATCCACAATGGGCACTAGTATGCTTAAATAGTCCGGTGTGGAAAGCTCCGGATACATGTAGGGTGTGACCAGCGTCTTCCACGACTGCCACACGCCCGTTGGAGAAACGAAAAAGTCAAATATTGTATTCTCTGTGGCACTACCCTTCGGATAGTCCAACTGCGGAAACGATTCCTTAACATACAGATTCATTTTAACGCGATCGCTAGTTGAGAGATAACCGCCCAGACCCCAGGCCAGCGCGAATACATACAAGCGGTGCAAGTGCTCCGGTGTACACATATCCTCCTTCTCCTCCACGACGTTCTCATCGGGCTGATCATCTGTTAAAGTTTGTGTACAACTCCGATTACCAAATAACTAACTTAAGACACACACATTCAGTACAAAATACAGCACACAGATATATATATATATATACATATACACATCTGTGAAGACAATAACGGTTTAGTGGACGACGACACAGGTTTACATAGGAACTACAAAATTTGGACGAACACACAAAGTGGAGCAGAAAAATTAATTTATTTCAAAACATAATCCCAAACTAATCGAAAAAAGGAAAAAACGTTAACTTTGGACTGTAGGCAATTAGACACCTTGGATAGATGCACGAGAGCATATTGTAAGATACATATTCAAATTCGAAATTTGGTAAAATTTAGACTTAAGAAACTTCAAATTAGAGAGTTTAGTTTTTGTGGTTTACATAAACAACCCACAATCGTAATTGTTAAGTTTGGTAAAAGTCATTGTTCGACTAAAGTCAGTAATACAGTAATTATATAAATTAAAGTGTATATACATTAAAGAGTATGTAAAAATTATGCTCGCTGCATATATAAAATAATAATTAAGTTAATTAGCTTGGGATTCAATTTGTCGAAAAATCAGATTTCTTTTCCGGAAACGAAAGACACATGGAATAGTAAAGAGGGTGCAATTAGTACAACGTTATTTTCAAATGAGTTTTAGCAACTCCAGCTCAACACAAATACACAGAAGCAGTTCTAGCATAGTATTTGAGGCTTCTTTAGAAAGTAAGCTCTACGAGAAAGGTATCAGTTTGATCTATTTTAGTTATTGCGAATTATATACTTTACCGACAATCTGACTGCCAATCGATTGCCGTCGCGCTTCTCCGAGTTGCTTTTGATGCTCAGAACGCTTGGCCGCTGAAATGTTCAATATTTTTGGGCAACGCCAGCAATTGTGGATAGTTGGATGCTTGGATGGGTACAGCTGCTTTGAATGTAATTTCAACAATACCAACTTACCATCCTGACTCTCCTTGCTGGACAAGCTCACAGCCGGCTCCTCATCCTTTTTCGAGGGTATTAGACCCTCCAATATGAACAGCATCTGCTGCACAATGTTGCACTGTAACACAGGCATCTGCAGCTTCACATTCTGCGCTCCCCAATTATAGACATCGACAAAAGTCTGATCAAACAGATGTGAGAACGTGGTCTTCTCACCAGGCGCGCGATTCTTAAGCCAAGCCTGAACAACTGCAGGAATAAATATTGTGATTAAATAGGGATCAGAAATCAAGTTTTCAGTGTAGTTTTTTATCTTAAAAAACTTACTCGGTCGCGAATCCAAGCCTGAGGAGCTCATATAAACCATACCATTGCGTGAAACGGTTGCTGGCGATGCATTATCAATATTGTGGGGCTCGAAGATAATCTTAACCGTAGGCGCCATTGTCAACCGATCGCCATTGGCCAACGTAAGGGTCTTATTATCATCCAGCACAGAGTTCAAGTTCTCTATCCAGATGCTGTCGACGGGCCCGTCCAGAACCAACCAGACATGCTCACCCGACTTCAGCTTGAGCGTTTTGCGCCACAGAGCCGAGAAGATGCCGTCGGTCCAATCATTGGTGGCCACATCAAGGCGTCCGAACATCTGTGCAGCTGTTATGGCCTTGGGATTCATGCGCATCTCGCGATGATAGTCGCCCATTTGAGTCATGGCCTTCATTAGGGTGTGTATGCAGGTACTTTTGCCAGCACCACTGGGGCCCAAGGTCATGATGCCGTGTCGCACATTCTGCGTCTCGTAGAGCTGTATAAGTTTCAGAACCCATGGAGGATGGTAGACCAGACTAGCCTCTTCCGTTTGCTGAAGTATAGCTGCCTCCAATTCAGGGTAGTTGGTCTTTTCGAGAGTCTGCGTGGGGTTTGATAGAGTTCGTTATCATATAGACATATACATATGGAGATCGGCAGAAATTTGAGCTGTTATAGCTGAATAAAGACTAATTACGTGAAAAATTATTCGCAATTTGCTATATTCAAATTATATCCAATTTTTTTGTCCGAATAAACTCATTTAAGAAAATATATATTATATTTAATTTGGGACCTATTTAAAGGACTGAATACCATGGCAAAGCCGTGCAATATATTATAGTATTTAAATAAATATTGGTTAAGGTTACCTGATTGGGAAACAAGTCCGACACAAGCGAAATGAAAAGCGGCTCATCGTCGTCTATCAGCTTGGACAGATTCATATCGCGCAGGACCCGCATCACAATCGTACTCTCGCTATCCTTAGAGTTCCGTCGCTTCGCCGCTCCCAAAGTGCGCAGCACCGATAATATATTTCTCAGGCCAAAATCATAGTGCACTTGTTTTGTGAGCTGCTCCTCGCAGAGCTTGTACAGGGTATAGAATTTGCGTGCCAGCGTAATATTCTCTAAAAATCCACAACTGGCCAATTTAACCCTTATGATTATTTGCCTATCCGGTACCATCATCGCAACCGTTCGAAATTGGATTTTCAAGTTTTCAGGCAGTTCCTTGCGACCAGCATAGCCCGGATTCTATAAAATAAACATTTATAGTCGCCTTACACAAGTCTCATTCGCTGTATGCGAAGTACAAATAAATAATAGCAAACGATAGCAAATATTGTGGAAAGAGCAAAATACTCAATGCATATACACCATCGAATTTGCAACAAGACCACATACAACTTAGTTCCACTGAATGCTTCCCTTTGCAGCCATAACTCAACCAGCTGGTGAAACATTTTGATGCATCTGTGAGCAACTCTTACAAGTCGCAACCATCAATAAGTACATCAAATACAAATTGATTTATCATAGTCGCATTTTATGTGCAACTCACTCACTCAGTCTGTTAGTCAGTTAGTCACTCTGCCTGGCTATCGGAGAGCTAAGAGATTGTTACGACATGAAATATAGTGGTAATCGTAATAGTACAAACACTCGTGCAGCCCTGCATGCCATAATTGAATGCAAAATATTTGAAAAGTAGATGTAACTATGTTGAATATTGAGGTGATTGAAGCTAAATAATAGGAAAGTGGTTTCAATAAATATTAAAGCTTAAAACAAAGAAAAACGGGTTTAACATTGTAGAAAAAATTTAAATTACATACAAAAAATGTTGGTGTTTTTGGGAATACTTTATATCAGATAAACACCTTTTAATTTTTAATATATCTACAAAAATTTAATATTCAATTAAAAACTATACTTTATATGTGAAAAATAATTGATCTGCTGTCAAAAGTACTAAAGCCCTCATGTTGTTATCCAACTGAATTGAATTGTCAGTAAATCCCATCAAATTAGCTTATTTGGCATATTTGCCTACGACAAGTGACTTGTTATCCGGAAAAGCTGTCGCATATTAACCAAAATTGAAAACTCATTTGTCAATTTATGGGGACAGCAAGCAAATAAAAAGGAACGATATTGTGGTGCTGTAATCCAAATGTAAACATAGTCTATGTGGATGGATGGGGCAGTCGGTGCGAATTGTTGGGTGTGGCAAGCGCATGTGACAAGCGTTATTGTTTGGCTGCCTGGCAGTTGCCTACTATTTTTTTTTAATATTCCCACAAGTAAGCAAAGCAGCCACAACAAAGGATTTACCCAATAAAGTTAAGCGCACACAGCCACAGTGAGTGTGTGTGGGTGTGTGTGTGTGTGTACAGTTGTATGCGTGTGTACATTTGTGTGTGCGTGTGTGTGTATAGGTGTGTGCGTATCTGCATATACGTGTGTGTCCTGTCACATAATGTTTCATTAGAATTAAATCCAAGCTAGGAGCTAAAAATGTTACATAAATGCCGACAATAATTCAGTTGAGCAAATTAAAATTGCGTATACGACCTGAGTGCGCAAGCAGAAATAACGTCAACTATTCTATTGAACTGAATGGAAAGTGTTAGTGTGTTTGTGCGTCAGTGTTTGCGGCATGTGGAAGAGGGGAGTGAGAATACAATAGCTTTACCCATTATACAAGCGACAGCCATTAGCAAAAGCATTGGTGCATGGAGCTTAATCGCATTACCCATTGATAGTTCACCGGTGATGGTAATTAAAATACGGCCCTCGAACAGATTTTGTTGTCGGCACCCTGTCAATGGGCCATTTACTCTTCTAAAAGCCAGAAATAATCACATTTCGCACATGCTGTCAGACATGGCTAACGCATCATGTGGCCCCCAAATACATATGTGTCTAGGCGTATGTGTTGTTGTGTGTGTGTACGCTTGTGTGTGTACTGTCAATTTTATTATCGCTCAGCTTGAGCCAAATTTCACATGACTAATAACGCGACATTGCGAAAGCAGCAGCCATTGTGCGCTTGACTTCCACCCAATGCCATCATCAACTTGTAGGCTTTTATGAATAATTTTTTTATACAATTTTTTTGCTATCTTATAAAAAAAAAAAGTGTTTTTATGTATATTTAATAAATATCAATTTGGCTTGAAAGCTTCTCGTTTGACACATCTTTTCGACATTTTATATTTATGTGTGTCGCGTTGCATTTTAGGTCTGACTTTTAAATTTAAAGGAAAATCGGCTTAAAAAAATGTATTTACAGGCCGGTTGAGTGTCGGGTGTTTATGTTTTTGGATGTGTGTCGGAATTGTTTGGTGAGCTTATGTGATGGCGAGTGATATATATAAGCTCAGCTTGCTCCATATATACGGAAGATTGTATAGACTACAGCGCTTTGTTCTACACTAGAACTTAATTAAAACCAATGGACTGAGAAATATTCTCTGCTCAGGTATAAAATAATTTAAGTAAATTTACCCTGCCGGATTTGGCTTCTTACTACAGAAAATAGTTATTGATTTATTAAAATGTTCATGTTATCTAGATGATTGGATAGTAGGCAGTTCAGAGTCTTGTAGTTAATAGAAGCATGGCTAGAAAGTGAACTCGGCATCTCGACTTCTGCTGCCCATTATATGTGCATAAAAAATTAGCTAAAAAATGTCCTTCGTTCAAAGTGAATTATTAATATCATACTATATCAATTCATGCCTAAAATAAATCGACTGTTCGTTGAACTTTTGGATATTGTTTGCGAATGGCAGCGTTGAGTATTCATTTTCTGATTATAAAACAAGGTACAGCACTCATCGCAAATTGTGTTGCATGCAACTGAATGAAATTTGCTGTATAATTTAATGAATTTAGCGTGAAATGCAATTGCGCGCCAGTTGAGAAGCTGATCAAAAGCGTTAACTGAATTAGAAAGCTTATTAACTTGGCACTAAGCGTTCAGGAAATTTGTAGGAGAAGCAGGTATGAATATTGATAGAATAATGAAATTAAAATGCGAACCATGGTTATGAAGATGCCAAATTCGGGATTCATTTCGATAGTGTCGCCATCCGTGAACAGGAACGACTTCTTTTTCTCCTTCTTGGCGGTGAGCACAACGGCAACTTGTTGGGCAGCCACCGAAAGAACGGGCAACTCGATGCGGTTGAATTCGTCGAAGCAGCCCCAGCTGCCCGACTGGGCGAGACCCTTGTAGATGCGTCCTAGGCCCCTGGGATGGAAAAAGAGTAGCGAAATGATGTGGACTGCATTTTAAGTGGTTTCTGTTCGCCTCGTACCTGTAATCCATTTGATCGGAGCAATTAAAAACGACCACATACTTGGCCAGCGTCTTGCCCATATCCTTGACCGTCTCCGTTTTGCCAGTGCCCGCGGGTCCACACGGCGCCCCGCCCATGCTAAGGGTCAATGCCTGGGCCAGAGTAATGTAGCAACTATAACATAAATAAAGCGGAGCATAGCAAAACACACAAAGAGCTGCAGAAAATTGCATTAAAAATGTAAAAGTCTGAAGATTAATATATCCACATCTCTGGGATATATTTATTATTTGTATAATATGTTACAAATATGCCAACGTTTCCCTGGGAAGCAACTGAACTTTACTTAAAGACAAATTACGTATACGCCGCATAAGCGCCGTCCACTTAGCTACCGCAGGTGTTAACAGCCCAAAATGCTCAGAAATTCCCTTTGGCAATTGACTTGCCGGGATACCAAAGTAGGCGCGAAATTTATAGTGACGTGAAACCAAGCATCCAGCACAAGGACCACACAGAGCAAGGTAAACATTTACATAAGTCTGCACAAAAAATGGGAAGCTAAAGGGCCAAAATCGTATTTACAGTATTGAAAGTTAAACACCCTTCCATATAATAAAATAATAAAATTCTTCGGTTGCAGAACTAAAATATAGTAAACAAAATACAATTAAATGTATTGTTGAGAGCAAATAGCATACAAATATATTTACTTTCATTAAATTAATTTAACAGAGATAGTTTCTAAAGATGTGATCAAGTAAATTAAAGAGCGACTTTAATAAAAATGTTGTAAGCAACATTACTCCTAATTGGTGAGTTTGTTTAGTATAAATGTGTTTTTATTTAAACTGACTGTTTGTTGGTATAACAAAGTTTCATCAACAAATAACGAAGTCGCCAAGATTGTGTACTACACTGCTCAACTAAATTACGATACCCTAGGCAAAGGCACAGAAAAAATCGCCTCGGGATGTTTGGTGAAATATGCCGTCACTTGGCTTGTTTTACGGAAGGCTCCGGCGAAAAGAACTTTATTTATACGTCGCTAAGTGAAATTTATCTTTGGGAGCATGTCAACGACGTCATTGGTTCTGCGTAGGCAGTAAGTCGTTGACTATCGCCATAAAAATGATTCCAATTGTTGCCACTGTCTGTTGTCATTTGGTATCGACTTTGAACTTGTTTAAGTGCTGGCCAACAGATGTTGGCCATGTTTGACTTTTGTTTGCACAGCACGCGGAAATGTGAGGGAAGGTGCTACACACACACACACACACACCGAAACTGTTCGATTACCGGGTGAAAGTTTTTGCACGTGCCACATGGAAAGTAAATACAATAAATTAATTTACCCTAAGTTCTGGCTCTGCCGCTTGTTCGCTGCCTGCAGACAATCAAGTCGCATGATATGACAGCAGCTATGCGGCTGAAATTTAATTGCAATTCCCAGCGAATTTATGGGATAACTAAAGGGTATAGTTAGCATCTGGTGCGGCATATATGTTCCAACTAAATTCAACTGAAACAAATCTCACTAGCCAATCTCTTTGCAAATTTAATTATATACGTTAATCTGCTAAAGTTATTGATTTCTAGAAGTATTTTTTCATTCGATAGTCTTGTCTTCAAAATATTAAGGGATAGTAGCTTTATATTTGTGTGCATATTTTTAGCTGCTTTAATTAGTTTACCTTTTGTATAGAAAGTTACAATATAATTAAAGCAAAAATATAAAACCAACTTAACCAAGCTGTCGACTTTCGACACATAATATCAGCAACTTTTTAATTCAATTTAAAAGACAACCACATGGCAAAAAGCGCATGCTTCTGACAGCCTGGCAGCAATTAGTGTGAAACTGTGACATAAAACTCTTGTTAATAAATGCCATGTGTTAAGGATAAAAAAGAAGAGCGAGATATGAACCATTTTATACATTTAAAATATATATTTTTATTTGAAAAGATTGGCACTTACCGATCCGTTAGAGGCGTTATGACCAAACGGTCTGTGCAGCCGAGATACTCGTTCTGATAGGTAAATGTAACATCTGTCACGGATATCCAAGTCTTGTCCAAATCCTCTTTAAAGTAAAATCGACATTGCTTCAGCCACTCAAAATCGTTTGAGGATTTAATGTTCATGCGGCACTTGAAGTTGAAGTTCATTTAAGTTGAAGTGTTGGTAGATATTCAGGTTATTCCTCACCAGTATATCAAAGATATCACGCTGATGCACGTGTATTGTGATTAGTGTCTCAAAGTTGGTTCTTTCACGTTTGGACAGATTTCGTGTAGTCTGATCGATGAGTGTGTTGAGCATTTCGAGGAACTTGTTGTTCGTCTCGGACATGACCTTCCTCTCATGTCTGGCCTGCATCAGAGCCATTTCTGCATCTCGCGTCCAAATCATTTGTATACCCAATAAACCGATTTGAGCCGGCACCTTCTCAAGGAAGCTAAGCAGCGTGAAATTCGGATCGTTTATTGTCGCATATGCGGTGCGTATTATCGAATGCAATGACTGCTGTGCTGTGACCAGCAATTGAGTTAGCCATGTCTCGACAGAACCCTCGGCACGTATGGCACGATCCAATTGTATCATCTCGCCCTCGCTGCTAATTATCGCCATCATTTTGTTGTACTCAACATCATGAAATCTGAATTACACACACAATTTAATGATTAGAGGTGTTATAGTTTTGCTGGAAATGTACTCACTTTACGCATTTGGTATTATCGAATATGTTTAGCAGATGATTCTGTATGGTATGCGAGTCTGAGCCTTGTCCAAGTATCTCGAGCAGCGCTGGATCCGAGACAAAGAAGAATCGCGGAAACATAATCCGTTTGCGTTCTAGATAGCCACTCAATGATTTCTATCAGTTATATTCATTTTTATTTAGATATAGAAATTAATAATTGAGAGATTAGAAATAGATCATAATATTTTTTAATTCAAAAAATCATGAAAGCTCTTACGTATAAAGTAAGCATAAAAATAAAATTTTTGCAATTATTTTGGAGATTGTTTTACCTTAAAAAAAAGCAATAATTACATTTAAAAGTTGCCACAAATTTAGTTAGTTTTGCATTTTTCACAAATTATAAAATTTAAAACTGGCTGGCAAACAAATATATTTCCTTTAATACCTGACAGATTTCTAGTTGCTCCTGAAGATGGGGCAGCAGCTGCTTGAGCAGATCATCGCCCACGCAGCAAGCCACAACGCCTGTTTCATAATAGTAATTAATTAAAATATTTTGTTCATATAAAAGTGAATTTGGCATTAAATATCAGTATTTAAATTGATGTAAATTGTTTGTATTATTTTTAGAATAGGTCAATTCACTCACCTGGAGTCTCATGGGCACGCTATTTAAAGTAAGTTCAAGAAATATGATTTTAAAGACATATTTAATCAATTGTATACCTGCATGATCTTTTGCCAGGACTTGTCGATTTTTGAGAATCGTTTGGCCTCCTTGGGCAGCTGTTTGGCAATGTCGCCGCCCACGAACACAGCCTCCAGATAGACCCACATATTTTGAACAAGCAGCCAGCGTTCCAGTATCTCATTGGAATTGGACAGATCGTAGACCCATTGCTGGATTTGTTTGCGAAAGGGCGCATTATAGCGATTCGATAGGAGTGAGCCGAGCACCATTAAACTATCCTCCAGCTGGCCAATGGTCTCGGCTGTGGTATCACCGCGGAGCAGCAGCTCTCCACGATTGTTAAAGCTCATGAATTGCAGCTCGTGAACGGACCACTCGTTGGTCACCTGCTTGAGCTTGGCTTCGATATCCTTCTCCTTCATCGCACTGATGCAGATATCCTCGATGTCTTCTTTGTGCTTGAGGAGCGGCGCCTCCAGTATGTTCTTGAGCGAGAAACCCTCCGAGTCGAACTCGAAGATGTAGCGAGTAACATCCATGATCCGTTGCCAATGGCGTGGCTTCATGGCTTTATTCGCCATCAACTCCAGTAATGGGCACATGTCATTGAAATCATCTATGGTCTTTTTCAGAGCATGAAATGCGGGCCATTCCTTAAGGCCCTTGGGTAGCTTGCGGCAACGATTCTGGAACTCCATCAATTCATTGTTGATCTCCTCAATGTCCACCTCGTTCCATGGTATATCATAGTAGCTGCTAACCCGATCAATCACATCATTATAAAGCTTATATAGCTTCTGCAGCAAATTGAGCTCCTTGCGTATTTGGCCCAGCTCTGGGTAATCGGTTTGCGGTAGACCGAAGAGTTCCTCGCCGCTTTGGTACGTCTGTAGGCGGCGCCACATGCCCTCAAAGCGATTCTGGAACAATATCAGACGGTCGGAAGCCTCGCGCGGCGTCAGACCCGCCTGCATGGGTCCCGCTGTGCGATATTCCGTCACATAAGCAATTTTATCCTGCTTAAAGCTGTCTAGATTGCTGCGCAAGTCGCCCTGGAACGCCGGCTGCATGTCCAGCAGCTTCACTTGCGCCTGCAATGCCCCCGCCAACAGATTCTGGAACGTGGCACGCAAGTTATCCACCAAATCGAATTGCTCCCGCTCCACCTGCACCTCGTAGCGGGTGAGCACATTAAAGGCCTCCTGCAAGGAAAGACACAAATATATAAGAATACATAATAAAAATGGTCTGCCTGGTCTCTTAATATAGGAATGGATAGATGAAATATGGGCTAAGCAATTTAAATGCATTTGTAGATATCTTAAAATTTATATTTTTTGTTTAAATTTCTCAGAAGTCCTGGAATCGAAACTTAAATATATCGGTTATATAAATGAATAAGACTACGATTAGTAGACCATACCTCAATGGGGTCTATGCGCAGCTCCATGTCCACCTCCTGTTCACGTATCTTTCCCAATGTCTCCATAACCATGCGCACATCGTCAAGGTCACGAATGGGCCTATCGAGTTTACGATCCATTTCATTGATCACCGCATAGACGTAGTCCATTTCCTTCTTATACTTCTTTTTCATGGCCTGGCCAATTTTATGGTTGCATGCTAAAAATAGAAGCAGCCGAAAAAAGTGTTTACACCTTTAAAAGGATAACGAAGCCCATTAATCAATGCGCGCCAAACCAAGCGTGGACTGGGCTAATTGATTTGGCCCTCTCGCATTCATCAGGGAAGCAAGAAAACATGGAAGCATGGAAACATATCATGTTCCGTCTGAGACACCACATTTATTTGTGGCGCTTCCTTTGCCCAGCTATTTCGGTTTAATAAATTTGATTGCCTAATTGGAAACCAATAAATTTGAATAGCTGTCTGTTTACGAGTATTTGTCTTGAAGTTTAGGCGCGTGTGCGTGTTTCTCTGGATGGCTGTCAAATTGGCGAATGTTTAACTGATAAATGTTGTGTAGGTGTTGCCAATGGAAATTCGAATTCAAATTGGGCGTCATGCTATGGGTGATGGGTCAAGAATAGTCCTTAGGGAAGGTATAATGAACGAAGTGCGAAAAGGCAAAATGAAAGGTAAGGAATGGATAAGAGGATGACCTTTACCGGGGCCATTTATAGCTCGATATGTTACCAAATCTACAAAAAGAAAATTTAAGTTAAGTTGAAATATTTAAATAACAATGAAAACTACAGACCAACATTTACAGATTCTTAAAAGTGAAAAGTTCGATTAATTACACAGGCAAAAAAAAAATAGGAATTATCCACACAGTTTTATAAAGTCTAAACTAAAAATTAGAAAACCGCGCCAAAATGAAGATCACTAGAAATATTTTTGGTTTTAAGAAATAATTTCTAAATATGTGAAAATCACGTTTAAAATTAGAAAGATATTGTCTTTCTTTCAGAAGTATGCTTGGTAATAATAAATAATAGTTCTACAAAGTAGAAAATTTATCCAGGCATTAAGAAAAAAATTCTTGTTCTTAGATAGACACAAACTTCAGCTTTAGAAATATACTTTCTTGTCGCTAAGATAATGCCGACTTTCTAAAATTCAACGCGATTTTTTTTCTGGGTGTACTCTACCATTATTTTCACAGTGCTACATTTCTAATAGAAATTTATAGTGCGAAGAGAATATTGCGCAAATGGGAAATTCCGAATAATAATTTTTATACATTTGGTTTTATGGTATTATATTTATACATTAATCGTAAATAACTCATCAATAACTCAATAACTCAATCAACTCCATAGTCACCCCAGTGGAATACTCACACTTGATCTCAATGGCCAAACCATACTTGAGCCTTTCATTATAGACTGCCACGCACTGTCCGAAGACCTCCATGTCCGGTTCGATGAGCAGATTGGCATCCAGCTCCGCCAGGCAACGCAATGTAGACTCAAACTGCTGCAGGCCAAATTCCATCAGTTGGCGCGTGGTGCGATCATTCTTCCAGAGGAAATGATACGGTTTCCAGCGCTTAATGTAAGTTTGTATCTCGGGCTTGATGTTCTTGGTGCAGCTGGAGAGCTGATTCAATGCCTTGGCCACCTCTTTGTTGTCCATGATGGCCGAATAGAAACTTTTGAGCATGTGCGGCATCTGGGGACGCTCCTCGGAGGCAAGGCAATAGATTTTGCGGCGTCGATTCTTTGAGCCGCCGGCGGCGTCAGTGTGGTTGCGTCCGACGCGCGGCTGCGCCGTCATCGAAACTTGCTGCGGTTGGTAAGACAAGATTTTTGAGAACATTGCGAAGCTATTTAGCGGTGTGGTACGAACCGGCGGATCCTTGCCGCTAGTCCACTGCGCCACACCCTTCGCAATGCCCGTGATATTCTTGCCAGCCGTCACCAATATATCCTGCAGCTCGTCCAGACTCGGCTTGATGACCACATTGGGTATCTGCAGCTGCGCGTTCAGCGCAAAAATCGGCTTCTTCATCACCGTCTCATGTTCATCGGCGATGAACCGACGCCGCATTGTGTCCAGCGCCGCCCGGATAACCTTGATCAGCACATCGATGACCTTGCGGCTATAATAGCGCCGCATTTCAACGACAGCATTGCAGACCATATCCTAAAAGTAAAATAGGAAATTAGTTGGGGGTTTTTAAAAAAAATCAAGATTTAATATTTATATGCATAATAGTATTCCTAACTAATAGCGAATTTCTTATCAGAAGTCCAATTAAGGCTTTACCTTTTTGTTCCACTACATTTCACTTTAATACATTTTACATAATTCTACAAATAAGTGAACACTTTTTGTTTAGCGTATGAAAACCGAATTCATCATACAACTATATGGAAATATGAACAACTGAGAGTAATTAAGAGCAAAGCTGCCCGTAATTAACTATATATATTCATGTTTTCCTAGAAACTTTGTCTCAATTTAAGAAAGCAACAGCTTACAGCAGTTTAAAAACAGTTGCGGACAAGTCTAGCACGAATTGTGAAATTGTATTCAATGTATGCAATTGTTGCACCCACCTGCATACCCTTGGGCAGACTATCAGAGGTGGAAAGCAGTGTCAGCGGATTCTCAAAGCAGGACCACAAAATACTCCAGTCCTGCTGTTGCCCACCACCTCCCCCACCTCCGCCACCACCACCAGCGCCAGATGTTGCTGCTCCACCAGCAGCCGCTGCAGATGTTCCTGCCTCATCCGCTTTGCGTCCACCCGAGCCCGTCTGTTCACCCTTCGGCGAGGCTATTGGATAGGAAGATTTGCATATATTTAGTTGAACTGCATAACAATTGGCGGACTTACCATCGAACAAGGTAACCACATCGTCGCCAGCAATCTCTTTAAATTTTTCCGTTGCCTTGTCCACCAAACTGAGGACTTCCTCCACCGCCTCGGAGACCATTTGACTCTTGCGATTGAGTTCAATGGCTGCTTTTCTGTTAGACAAATTTTAATATTTACGCAGTTGCTTGATAAACACAAAAGGCTTTTAGTTGCTCTTAGATGACTTCGCATTTTTGGAATAAGCGCAAGAATTGTTAACAGACGCATAAATTAAATTAAATATCTCAATCAAGAATCTCATTTGCCTGAGACGTTTCTTCAATAAATAATTTAATAAAATAAATATGAAGGTCTTATATATTTGGCGTTTTTTCCGTCAAATTTGACTTTTTGAGAGTACTGGTTCATTAAGCGGGAACAAAAGTTACTTTTGATTGTCTATTATAAAATATAACTAAGACTGTCAAAGCAAATTATTTAAGAAACCTTTTGGATTTTTTAAATCTATATTTTAGCCATTTTTCTGTGCTATGTTTTCCGTTCAAGAGTTGTCAACACTGTTAACCACAAAGAATACCCTTTTTCTGTCCTGTCTCGCTTTCAAATGCTGATCAACTTTTTTGTGTATGCAAATGAAAAATCTCATACATAAATTAAAATTGATAAATTCAATAAATCACAAAAAAGCCAACACAATCAACCCCCGAAGTCGTTGCAAGCGGTTGTGGGCAAAGTTCAAACGAGTTTTGCTGTCACATGCCACACACACATACATGCATACATGCCGAGCTGACATGTTACAAAATTCACCTGCATGCCTCCTCGCTGCGCTCGAGAAATTCATCAACGGTCCAGATTTCATCGTCTGCGTCAGGCGCACGAATGTGAAAAGTTTTCAAGAGCATAACATTAAATGTAGACCCCAAGTGGTATACAGTTGATGTGCACCAATTAAGCAAGGGCAACCCACCTGCTGGCAGTATCTGCAGCGAGACGTCCTGCATCCACATGAGCACGTTCAATATGCGATTGGAGTAGATGTCATGGACGCGTGCCACAAGCACCTCAAAGGTTTCAATGGCCTGCTTGCAACGCTCATAGAACTGTGTCCAGTTCTGGTTGGTCCACTGCCAAAGCGGAAAAGTAATTGTGAGTCGCAATTGTTAAAAGACAATATTGTGGCACTTACATTGATGCTTTGCAAGCCCGGCTTCAGCATCGCAGTCAGACGCACCAGTTGCGGCAGAAACAGAGGACGCACCTCCAACTTGACAGCCTTCACCGTTGACAGGAACATCTTGATAAGGCTCTGCGAATGCAAATGACAGTTGATAAGCGAAACAAGAAAGACATGAGTTAGAAAGTTGCAGTCGAGAGTGCTCGACTAGCAGATATGCTTTACGAGAGATTCGCAATGCAATCTTATCTACTTAAAGCTTTAGAGATAATTATAATAATTTCTGTTCTTGTGATAGGACATAAGGATAACATAAGATATATATATATATTTAGGAGAAGATATAATAAAAAAAAAGACTGGGATTGCCTTATAGACTCAGGTCCTTATGCTGTGCAAGACTATACATGTTATGTGCTTTGCCTGAAGGATATGACGAATAGAGAACACTTACATTCAGTGAGTCCTGTATGGTTATAAAGTACTGATGGCGACTCATCAGCGTGGCTGCCACAATGGGTAGCTCGATTTTGAGCTTGGCCAACATCTTGGCCTCCCGAATGAGCAGTGGAATTGTTGGATGCAAATTAACAAACAAACGATCGCCCTGCAGACAGAGCAAAGGCTGTAGCAAACAGGCATCCGCCACACTGATATCCTGATCTAGCCAAATGGAGACAATCTCATCCTCATATTCCAACAGCACGCCCATAACATTATTGAAGCGCACATCCAGATCCCGGGCCAATGGCTGTGTGCTGAGCACAGAATGATCCATGACGGCATCCATCAACTCAGTGATGTGCAAACTCAGAGCACGACACCAGTGAATCCGACCGGCAATCGGTGGAAAGTTGCGGGCCAAAGGCGGATCATCACGTTGCCTGCGAAAGGTCTTTAGGATGCGATCCACCTCTTTTTCCACATAGCGCAAAATCCGCGTGTACTTCTCATCCATGCGAGTCAGTGGAATCTTCTCGCTAACCTTCTCGAAGCGCACCAGGAAGCGTATGCACTGAGGCGTCTCCCACACCGTATCGAAATCCCGTTCGATTAGAGTGGCAATTGTATCCTTCAGTGAATCCGTTTTGTTGATGAACCGATTAAAATCATCATTAAAATCGGCATTGCGATGATCCAAATAATCATATTTCTTGGATGTTATCTCCTTTTTTGCCTCTTCGAAGTGATTGGAGGCATCCTCCAGGGCCTCGCCCAACAGCAGACCCTCCAAACGGCGCTCGAACAAATGATTGTAATCATCAATGAGATTAAACATATTTATGATCTTCGAGAGACGCTCGCAGAAAGTGTCGAATTTGCCTGAAAAAGTTTCAAGTATAATCTATAATATAAAATATTAAATAGCAAATAGTCTTTTTCAATATACCAAATACAAAATTCTCGGAGAAACCAAATGGCGTCTGATGGGGCAGAAATGGCTGCTCCCTAACGGTATAGTAGGTCTCATGGTAGATGTGATTGAGTTTGATGCAATTGCTCAGCTTAGTGCGTATAAGACTGCGATCCTGCGACCAAATTGTCTCCTTGCAGCGACAGGTGATGTACGATTTGCATGTCTCGATCATTTGGTTGGTTATCTGAAAGATACGATGCATAAATTCATAAATATACTGACTATTTTAAAGCGCCTATGCTAAAATCTTTTGCACAGTATTCATTGCCCATTTGACATTTTAAAAACAATTATTTTTCTCTTACTACATTTGTTGTTGACATTTGCAGCTAACAAGGACTCACATCCTTTGACGCTCTCTCTCACAACGCCTAACGGAAACGTAAAAAAGGTCAGCCAACAGTTAATATCCTAAACGCTATCTCAACTGTATTATAAATGTTAGGGTAACTGAACTGAATACATTCAACAAGTAAAAGCCACACTTGTAAGCTGTTTCTATTTATAAGAACAAAAGGTCAATGGACGGGTGCAGAGCTGTCTGAAAATGCAGAGACAGGGGGAAAAGTGTAAAGAAAATGATGACAACAATGTCAATTGCGACAAAAACCCACAGGAAAGAACAAACAACTAAGCAAATGTAAGAATCTTTTAAAGCTATGAAGCCACAAGGGGAAACCCGTAATAATAAAATCAAACAAATTTCTTCACCTCTTTAATAACATGGAGAACTAATAAAATAAATATGTTTTTTCACAACAAGTATTTCAACTTTACAAAATTTGAATTGTTTACGATAAGCTGTGCAATTTTTAAATGAATGCAATCATTTAGTTTTATATATATATATGTTAAATACTGTCACAAGTACAGTATTCAGATTTAACTTGGCACTCACCTTAACCATTAAAGCAGATGTGCGTTCGGAGGTGTTATAAAACTGTGAGACACTGTAGATGAGGCGCACTGTTTGGAGCAGACTCAATATGGACTCCTTCATGCTGACAGGATCGTCCAGATATAGGGAATGACAGCACGTTTCCATGGCCTGGATGAATTTGGAATTATCGCGTGCCTCGTTGTAGCAAAAGGTTATCTTGCGATCGGTCTCCTTCCACTGGCGCATAATTCTCGAGCCAGCGAGGAAGAGGCAGTGCAACGTGAACTGCACCTCCTTGTCCTGCAGATGGGCCAACAACTGCGAAAATTGTGCACCCCGTTTCTTCCAATACTCCAGCTCATCCTGGGGACCGCTGTGATCGTTCTCCTTGCGCAGCTGCTCGCTTTCGCCAAGTATTTTGAGTATACCCTTGGACCAGTTGTTGACACGCTCCTCCAGTTGCGTGCAGAATTCCTGATTTTTGGCCATGTCCTTGACCTCTTCGACGACAATGCAACCGTCGAACATATCGTTGCCATCGGCAAAAACGTTATAATGATCGCAGACCTGCTCACAAACACGCAAAGCGCTGCAGAAGGACCTCAGTCCCGGAAGCAGTTGGCCCTTGATTAAGCCACAGCTGACATCCTCCTCATCGCCCTCCAGGCTGGGAAAAGCCAGGGCCTGCATAAATACATACTCCACAATACGCTCGATGGAGGTGACCAGGCCAATATTTTTGGCATCGATGACCCCACAATATCTAAAGAAGAGCAAGAAATATTCAATTACCAATACCCTCGCAGTTCCTGTCAGTCAGTCACAAAGGTGCATGTCTGTCCGTTTGTGTGTGTGTGTGTGTGTGTACGTGATACAGAGAGAGTATGTGAAGAACAAAATCCCCGATAATCCGCGTGCTAACAAATAAACCGAAAATTGGATATTCTTGGATAACAGTTTTCCACTTTAGTCAAAACAAAACCAAAAAAATGAATGAAACTTATGAAAGATAAACAAAGGCTCCAACAAAGTTGAAAAAAGGGTGCAGCTGGTGAGTAAAACCCAACTCACAAATACCCTTGTATGCATACAGGAATCATTTATTGTTTTGATGGGTACAAGCGTTAAGCAGACAATATATTGTCTGCTTAGTGGTACAGGGTATCAAAAGGGAAACTGCAGCGAAAAAAATATACTTACAAATCCTTTTGGAATCCCTCCTCGGGCAGCTGTTTCGATGTATTCACGCGAAAGATATAAATACATACGCCGGTAAAGGCACAGGTCCAGCCATCGGTTAGAAATAATTTCTTATGTTTGGGTGGCGGCAAGCCGCTGGGCGAGGCGCCACCTGCGTGGCAAGCAAGAGCAAAAAATTGAATTGACATTGGGCATATGTTTATATATGGGAATATATATGGACTGCATACCCTGAGGTGTTTTTGAGCTGCTCGATGCCATGCCTGTGCGTGAGGGTCCTGGCTTATTGGCATCCACAACTGGTGGCGGCTCCGGCTCATCTACCTCCTGATAGAACCAGAGCAGCTTGTTCTTCATATTCGGCAGAAAGAGCTGATTAATCTCATCGAGCTGTCATTGGATAGAATATCAATTTAAGGCTGTAGGAGAAAGAGTGCATTTTCAGCTACCATATCCCCTTCGAATATGTAGTCCATGAGCTGATGTCGAGGCAGCTGAGTGGCGTCTATCAGCAGCTGGAATGTGAACTCCAAACGGGGATCCATCTCCCCTCGGCGCGCTTTCCTCTCGCATTCTTCGCGTCTTCGCTGCGCTTCGTCCGGGTCCATTGCCATATTTGTTAATTTTTTTATTTACCAATATTCCATAAAAATGGAATATTTTTGGTAATTTTTGTGTGTATTCAATTTTAAAGACGTTGAACCGTTGGTTTTACGAAAAATATGCGGAACAAAATTTGTTGTTTTAGGTGCCGCAGATTTTTTTTTTTAACATTTATAATCATTTAATTTATTATCAATGTTGGTATACGTATCATTATTGAATTTAATTATTGCCAAATATAAGTTGTACATTTATAGGTTTTTTTTAAAATGTATATGGTTTCGCCAAAAATTGCAAAATTCAAAAACGGGGGAAAGACCAAAAATATATTAGTTTCAAAAATAGTTTTTGTCGTTTGATTGCGTTGCAAAAAATTCTGGACGCAATACTACAAAACAAAAGAACAAAACATACAATGCCAAAATACAAAACTACTTACAATAACAATTGACATTTTAAGAACAAGAACAACAACAACTAGAACAACAACTTTTACGGTGCAGCTAGAAAAACAAGATACGTGGAGCACAAAAACAAGATATTTTGTTTGTAGTTGATTAAAACACAAAACGCACTTGAGACCTAAAATTGTTTATAGTTTATAGTATAGTGTATAGCTAAGTATAGTTTTTATTATTTTCTCGAGTTTTCTCTCTGCAACGAAAGTGAAGTTTTAAGACTTGCATTAAAGTGTGTTTTATTTGGTTTTTTTTTTTTTTTGCACAGCTAAAATGAAATTAAAATAGTTGGGTTAGTTAAATATATATGTATAATGTATAATTGTCCTTGTCGTTATTTTTAGATTTGGCCAACTACAACAAATTGTATTAAGGGCATTTGCAAATTATTATACGATTTTCGTTTTTTGTACACCATGATAAGGATTATTACATAATCAGCCAACGAGTACAGGGAGCTAAATGATTACATATTACATTTTCTTTTACGTAAGCAATAATTATTTATAATAATCTTGCATTGAGCATGATACGATATTAATTAGCAACTAATTAGCGAATTCATTTGACTGTCAGTAAATTGCACCTGCAAAATGTCGCCCTCGTCCTCCTCCTCCTCCTCCTCCTCATCGCTGCCGCTGCCATTGGCTCGCATTGCAAGCACATGTTCAACCAGTTTTTTCTTTTGTACGAACATTGTGCAGGCAAATAAATATTAAAACAAAAATTACTCTATTAATATTATAGATTTACTAGTTTTGCAATTAATTTTCTATCACTATGTATTTTTGCACTTCCGTCGGAAACAAAGCCAATTCACATAACTTTATTGAACCAACAAACTGGCAACGAAATTAAATTGCGCGCCAGTTGCCACGACAACAGAACTCTCCGAATGGTTTCCAAAATGTCTGACACGATCGTTTTAAGCGCCAAAATTCAAACTGATATCATAAGTACCAGTGTTTTCGAATTGAATTTTTATTTTACAGAACAATAATTCAAATTTTAAACCATTTTTTCATAAAAACGACCTGTTTGCAATGCAGAAATAATTTTTTTTCTGTTTCAAAATTTAATTAGCCATTTCCCAGCACTAGCCCACCCTGAGGCAGCTGTATCGATACTTGGACATATCGATACTTCCGTGCTTCTTGGCTATCATAGTTTCGATATATTGAATAGCAGCTACATTATTTTAAAACTGCAATCGTTTTCCTAAGTATATGTTTAATGACAAATTTAAACAAAAATCATATGAACAAAAAAAAATAGTGAAGCATTAATAATGAAAAAAATAAATATGTCATACAGCTCAGCAATCTTTTAACAAGACGACGGTTAAAACAAAGCGCTTTTTTTCGATTGTCGTTCGCTCTTTTATGTGAGTCGCTCTTGTGAACTTGTTCTGAACGATTCGATACAATTCCAACGTGTGCCGTTCTCTATACAGAAAAATTGCAAAAGGTGCCGAAACAATTAAATTAAAAGACTATTAACCAATTCTAAAGTTGTAAAAAAAAATGTAAGTTACACTTTGTCCATGTGTACGTAAATGCTTTTCATTGTAATACTGCTCAGAAAAGCTATGCAAATTTCGTGCAAAATCTTAGATGAAAATGAGACTGCAGCAGACGCGAAAACCAAAATGGCGTAAGCGCCTCAAAAAAATAAGCAAACAAAAAATATTAAACAGATACAGATGCAGAAGCAAAATAAAACGATTCGCACGGCCTTCCGAATATTTAGTCGTATATATACAATTTACATATTTATATGTGTACTGTATACTAAATGTATATTTTCACACAGAAGCGCCGACGACAGCAGAAGAGGAAGAAGAGCCATGTCGAACGCAGACGTGCAATATAATCAGGGAGGCTTTGAGCCAAATCAGGATAACAACGAAGACTATAACGATGACACTGATCAGCAGCAGGACGATGATGAGCAATATGACAATGATCAAAACGATGGCGATGATGACGATTCGAATGTGAAAATCGGCGATGTTGGCGAGAGTCCCAAATTTATACGGTTACGCGGTCTACCCTGGTCGGCAACGCACAAAGAGATACTTGATTTTCTGGTGAATGTGGAGGTGATCAATGGGTCACAGGGCATACATCTGGTCACAAGCCGTGTGGATGGCAAAAATACGGGTGAAGCATATGTTGAGGTCGCCAGCCAGGAGGATGTCGAAGAGGCACGCAAGCTCAACAAAGTCAGCATGGGTCATCGCTATATTGAAGGTAGGTATTCTTTAGTTGCCTTCTACTCGGATTCAATATAACAACTGTTTTGATTCCAACGCTAGTATTTACTGCCACGCCCAAGGAAGCAAAGGAAGCAATGCGCAAAACAGGCGGACATGGCCACGCCTTTGTGGTTAAACTTCGTGGTCTACCCTATGCCGTCACAGAGCAGCAGATCGAGGAGTTCTTCACCGGTAAGTTCCATGGCGCGCTCTGTGTGTGTGTGTCCGTTTTATTTACACGTAATAGCGGGCAGCGAATAGATCACTGTAAAATGTACCGATTCGAATGCATGTGTAAACAATACATATATAACTATATGTATATATATATATTGATAGCTCCTTATAGAGGTGAGCGATTAAAAATTGTGTTAGTCTTGGGCTCCTTTTCAGTTGTATGCCCAACGTCTGGGGTGTTTGCATCCAAGGACCAGGGGTCGATATATGCTTACATCTCATCGAACATTAATCATTATCCTTTATTTTTTATCAAATGCGCACGCACACAAAGACACACACACACACAACCACATTTCTAACATTAGTTTTTGTCTAACCAAGTACAAAATTATGAATGCATTTGGGATTGCTTACATTTGATATATTTACTATGTTTAAAATTTTGCTTTCCTAGTGACAAATTTTATAAAGTTTTTAAAATTGCGTCTAGTTCATTGAAAATTTCAATTTTGATTTCTGTTCAATTACTTATTAAAATTAATATTAATATGTCTCTGGATTCATTTACTTCAAGTAGTCTTTCCAATATCTTTAAACCATTTTTTAAATACATTTAAAAAATATGCAAATATTGATGGTGTCAAGCAATCTTTTGAGCTACACATTTCTTGTGTCAATTATATACATGTAGATGCATCTGTAAACAATCCCAAAATGCACAAGTGATCTTAAAATGCATCTTATAACATTATTCTTTTCAAGGTCGTTATTGAAATTTTAGTTATTAAGTCAACTTTATAATTAGGTGGCATTTTGGAACCGTTGCAGTTCCTTTCGCTCAACAATAAAGAAAAAACTCTTCACCTATTTTCTAAATAAATATAAAACGTCCTCTCTCTTTCTTTCTCTGTTTCTATCGTTAACCTTGCTTTATATATATTTATATATATATCTCTATATATTTGTATAAATCTTTGTTGTTTGGTTATCGTCATGGGCAGGGTTGGAAATCAAAACGGATCGGGAGGGCATACTTTTTGTTATGGACAGAAGGGGTCGTGCTACTGGGGAAGCTTTTGTTCAGTTCGAAAGCCAGGATGACACTGAGCAAGCCTTGGGCCGAAATCGGGAAAAAATTGGGCACAGGTGGGTCTCTTACACATCATCTAATACCAACTACAAAAGCAACAACAACAACCAAAAACAATCAATGGTAACATGAAAAAAATCTACATTTAAATTGTTGCAAACAACTATCTCTCAGTAAATATACTTTACATATTACATAACTTATATACATTCCTATTTCAGTTTAAAAAAAATATAATTACAAATACAAAATAAGCAACAATTTAATTGTGCATATACATATACGGATATAGCACAGGCTATGTATGGGTCTGGTTGGGTACAACAGCAACAACAACAGCAAATTGATAACGCCTATTAACCAGAGAAAGCCTTTTGATAAGTTCTATATATGTTAATTAAATTAGGTTTCTATTACCTACATGTGTATTCTTATCAAAAGTCTGAGTTTGTTTGTGTTTATCTAACCAAGGATACACATTAATATAATGGATTATTGTGTTATTAACCCAATACAAAAAAAAAATATAAAAAAAACAAAACCTTCTCGATAAGAATTATGTTTACTTCTCCCATTACACTTGATCTAATATTGTGTTGTGCTCTTTTCGTTTGACTGCTCCTAGGTATATTGAGATCTTCCGCAGCTCCATTGCAGAGATGAAGCGAGCCACTGGAGGAGGCGGTGGCGGCGGTGGACGCCCGGGACCCTATGATATACGCGATCGCGGCGCCAATCGTGGCGGCAACGATTTCGGTGGCCGCAACGGTAAGTTTGCGTATAGCAATTCCCAAAATGAGTTTGGTCTTCAGTGAGTTTGACTTAGGATGTTTAGCTACCAGCAGCACACATCTGTAATTCCCAATTAGACTTTTAATGACTTGCCTCCGCATCTAAATCGTATACTATCTAAATGTGGCGACTGACGCAACTAATTAGCTGACCGACCAATTGGTGTTCAAAACTGGATAGTTGACTTATTTTTGTAGTATTAAACATTACTTTGGGTGGGAAAGTTAAATTTAAATGCGATTGGTGTCAACTATTTTTGATTTTGGTTTTGAAATAAATTTTTAGACTTTTTATAATTGCACTGGATTTAAACTTATTATTGAATGATCCCTTTGAAAACTCATTGAAGACGTGATTACCAGTTTTTGGGGTATATTTTAGCTGGATGAAAGAATTTGAGAGGAATTCGACTAATGTTCAAAATCGGAACATTCTCTTTTTGCAGACTGGGGCAATAATAGCAACTTTGGTGTGGGAGCCAACAATATGTTGGGCTTTAATAATTTGCCGAGTTTAATGAACTCGGGTAATTTTGGCAATAACTCTGGCGGAGGTGGCGGCGGCGGCGGCAACGGTGGTGGTGGTGGTGGCGGCGGCCTAAACAGCGGTAACAATGGCAACTTTGGCCAAAACTCTGGTAACTTTGGCAATTTCGGCAACGATTTTGGCGATTTTAACAATTTTGGAAACAATCGCAGCAACAACAATGGCAACAATTTTGGTGAGTAACACAATTTGTAAGCATCTAAGCATTTTGGGAGTAGTTCAATCCCTTCTGGGAAGGGGCAGTTCTATAGGTGCTTCACCCAAATCTCTACTCAGAGAAGATTTATAAAACTCTTTATTAGTTAGTAGTCTCAATAACACAACTGACCTGCTGACCCTAAACTAATACAACACTTGAATGTGCATTTTAAAAACGGTTTGCATTTGATTTTAGATATGCCAGGCAACTTTGGTAATAACAACAACGGCGGCGGCGGTGGAGGAGGAGGAGGCTTTGGCAATTTTGGCAACAATTCCGGAGGCGGCGGAGGCAGTGGCTTTAATAATGGCGGTGGCTCTGGAGGTTTCAATAATGGTGGAAACGGCGGTGGTTTTAACAATGGCGGTGGCAACTCCGGTGGCTTCAACAATGGTGGTGGCGGCGGCGGCGGTGGTGGTTTTGGCAACTTTGGCAACAACCCTGGCGGCGGTGGTGGTGGGTTCAACAATGGTGGCTTTAACAATGGCGGTGGCTTTAATAATGGCGGAGGCGGCGGTTTTAACAATGGAGGCAACAGCGGCTTTAACAATGGCGGCTCTGGTTTTAATAATGGAGGCGGTAACTTTGGTTCAGCGGGTGGCAATTTCGGACCTATTGGAGGTGGTCGCAATAATGATATCGAGTATTACACGATCCACATGCGCGGTCTGCCATACAATTCCTTCGAAAACGATGTGTTTAAGGTGAGTGGAGTGTGGACTACTGATCTTTAAAGTTGACAATCCTTTTAATAATATTTTTTTTTGCAGTTCTTCGAACCCATTCGCCCTGCTAATGTGCGCATCAACTACAATAAGAAGGGGCTGCACAGTGGCACTGCTGACGCCTACTTTGACACGTACGAGGATTCGCAGCTGGCCATGAAACGACACCGCGAACAGATGGGCTCCCGCTACATTGAGCTCTTCTTCGATGGCAAGACACGTGGCGGCGTTAATATAGGCGGCGGCGGTGGTGGTGTGGGCGGCGTCGGTGGCGGCGGCGGTGTTGGTGTGGGCGGCGCCGGTGGCGGCGGCGGCGGTAATTTCAACGGTGGTCCTGGCAACAATGGTGGAGGTGGTGGTGGTGGTGGCGGCGGCGGTGGAGCCTTCTCGCGTCGCATTTAAATTGCTTCCCCTTAACATAATTCCTTACATTTACATACGTTAATGTAAACGCAAGTATTTCATAAGTTTGTGGTTTACATCCGCATCCGTCGAGCACGCGCACCTAGAAAGCAGACACTTGGCGAACGAATGTCGCTAGTGAATAGAATTAAAATTTTCGATTGCATAAGAAACAAGAAAGTAAACCATATTTTATATTATTTAAGCAACAACATTTTGCCCAATCGAAATGGTTAACTTTTGTATTTAAGTCACAATTGTAAGAAAATAATAATTGCAAAATATCTAACAAAACACAAAAAGGATATATGAAAGACAAAGGTCTTTTTTTTTAATTTCTGTTTCCAATCCGAAATGGCAAAACAAAAACACTGTAAACACCAATAATGCAAATAAATATAAAAAATAATGTAAATTGCTTGGACACTGAATTCAAATATATGATTTACTGATTATATGTTTATTCTCCGAACTAAGCATATAAAATTAAGATCGTCTATTAACTGATGACGGGATGAAGATGAAAATTAGTTCGCAAATCGGATATTGAGGCTCAATGTGACCTCAACTGTATCCAACCAAATGGGGATTGTTTAGAGCTCGGACTTGGTGCAAATGTAATTATATGTACGTATGTTCCCTCAGTTATCTGTAGCGTAACTGATAAATAATTTCCTAGTATTTGCCCACAATTGAATCGAATCGAAGCAAATGTGCTACAAATGTTCTCAGTCCACGCTCGACTTGGAGCAGCAAGTATTTGCCAGACAATACTAATTACACGACTATATAATATAGACGACTAGATCAGCAACAGATCTAGAGAAAATTCAATAGACTTGGTCAACAAGCGCTGCGGCACTTGCATTATTGTTGTTGTGGCGATCGCGCGCGCATACCGCGAATCGAAAATTGTTTCCCATATTTATGGAGATTAGCGGGGAGACAACTTGAAATTGAAACGTTAAACGCTACACTGGAATTAGTCGAAGTCGCAAGTAAGAACCGCTTACTAAATATGGAGTGTGTGATTTATATGTGAGTCATACGGAATATTCATTATTGTGTTTTCATTGCACAAATGTGTGAATTGCGGTCAGTTTGTTTTTATTTTTCTTTTCCCACTTTCCGGCTCTGGCTCAACCGTTTAAGCGTGCTAACCCCAAGCTTATTAGCAGACCCACTAGAAATGCGATCATAACATTGAAGCCCATTCTACGTCTTATGAATGGAAATGGAAAACAAAAAATATGCGAGGTGTTTTTACATATATTATATATCGTAAATATTTGATGTGAGTTGCTTGCTTGGGTGGTCAGCTGGAGCTGTAAACCTGTAAAAGATATTTTATTTTAATTATCTAGTTTATTTATTTATTTATTTTAACTCACATTATATATTTACTATCTTTTTTCCTGAAAAAGTAGTCACTATATCAACATTAAAGATATTTATAGCCCTTGGTAATTGGTTGAGAAACGATTGTGAGCATCCATCGCCTAATTTACGATTACATAAATGGCAAACTCAATTGGCGATTGTTTTTTGTACTGTCCCATACACTTGGCATTTTTTGTCACCGCCCATTGACAGGCCTCACATTTCACTTTCCTTCAAGATAGTATCTCCCTGGTGTCGTCTGATAGATAAGTTTTCGAACCCAGGTTGGGAGACAATGGCAAATGATAATTCTCGCTAATTATGTCAATAAAATATGTACGTTGTATATGGGCCCGAAATAGATAATGCCCTCACATTTCCATTACGTAGAGGAGTCGCTCTATAGCACTCGGCAATTTTGCGCCGGCTATAAATTCTGATCACACATAGTGATTTGATTTTTAACCGATTTCCATTTACAAACAGACAATAGAATAGACAAGTGGGTGGGTGCCCAATAAAATACAGTTTTTTAAGTGTGGGCACAACAAATTCACATGGCCAAGGACAATGCCAATATCTTGACATACGACCAAAATTATATCGCTCTAAACGGTTATGCCTATTTGCCAAGTTATTTATGCAGCTCACGATGTGGAAACAACGGTAAGCAGCACCAACAAGAGAGAATATACAAACAATTGTCATACAATCTAGGTTTTTTTTTCGAGTTTATTTTCATCTGATTGTCGCGGCGTGTGTGTGGAGTTTATTTATGAAAGTACTCGTAATTTATAAATCAAATCGTTTCGAGTTTAATTTTGCAATTTTACTTAAGTATGTGAAAGCACGATACCTCAGCGAGCACAAAGAAATATCTTAGCAAAGATTTACGAATGCAAAATTTAATATAACACAGATAATAATTTATTTGTATTCATTTTCAAAAGTGTCATTTAAAGATGTTATGCGCATATATCAAGTATATTTATTTAGTGATTCTGCTTTAATATTTAGGTTAAGGCACTTCTAATTTGTATAGTATTTTACATAATTTTTAATTCGTATATGAAGAAAACACAATTTATATTGGATTAGAATGCTCGTCAATAGCTGCTTTCAAAACAATTTTAAATGTGCTAATGAATATCACGTATCAATATTTATTTTTTATGGAAATAATAATAGTCCAAATTGTTTAACTTTTACACAAACAAGCGTGAATAATTACATGATAGCAAATATTTATGAATATGGAAAAACTATTTGTTTGAATAATGGCAAATACTTTCAGGGCTACATATTGAAATTGGGATTGTGGAAAAACAACTTATGTAATATGATGTCCAATTTTAATCATAGTGTTATGGCAAAAAAAATGTCATAAATATTTTAATTTTAGCTTCGTTTTTTGAAAAGTAAACATATGTGAAACGTAAGATGATTAAGTTTCATGTTTTTATAGGCTTTGTATATAATATAAACAATTGTATACAATTTTTTACAACTGCATATTACTTGAAAAAATTACAATACCCTTCGCTAGAGTAAAACGAAACAAAAATCCCCAGATATTATACAATATCCAACAACACTCAGCAAAAAAAAAAAAAACTGTTTAACTATGCGAACGCTTGCTGAATCGCCGATTCGAGCAGGTCAGATATAAGATGAGTTTTATATTTAAAAATAATTAAAACGGATTGTGGAGATAGGAAAATTTTGCCTGCATCGATTGTGAGTAGAGAAATATGCCATAAGCAGCACAAGAAAACCAATCAGACATTAAAAAATGCAAATCAGCTGATCGTCGCGAGTGTTAAAAGCTCTCCCCGTTTTGTGGAGCAACGACGTCTTCAATCAAAACGTAGCGAACTTTTGCCACTGACCGCTGGTGATAACCGGGTCCGGGGACCCAAAAAAAAAAAAAAAAAAAACACCCAACAACAGCAAGAGCACGAGAGCGCTAACAGCAACAATATTGTTGTCAGCAGTAGCAGCAGCGACAGACAACGGCGGCAGCAGCAGCAGCAACCGCGACAGCGCCAGCGACTGCGCCAGCAGTCAATGTCAGAACGCGAAGCGGCCGCGTTGACAACGGTGCTGCTCTAGAATTGCTCTATCCAGTTACCAACTTTGCCAGCTAATTCGCATATTAGCGGAGATAGTCTAACGCGAATCAATCACATGTCAATCAAACGCATATCAATCAAGCGAACAACAATAACAACAAGTGTCAGTGACAACAACAACAACAAGTGAGCTAAACAATCACAGCAACAGTTAAACTTGAGGTGGGCAGAAAAGGGGCGGAGGAGGAGTGATTTGTTTTTTTTCCCAATTTTATTTAACAATAAATACTTCTGTATTTTGTTGTTGTTAGCGTTGCTTAAATTATATTTAAATAATTAATTACAGTGTTTAAAATTGAATAGAATCGAAGCTGAAAGCTGACTATAAGCAAATAAAAATATGTGAATGACAGATATAAATAAGTACACATATACAAATATATATATATATATATATATAATGTATTAGTTATACACGCCTACATTGTTTTGAGTTGACTGAATTTTTGAACTTTATTTGGAAAATTGTTTCAGAAAATTTTGTTGGCAGACGTTTTGTGCTTTGTGTTGAGTGATTTGTAATGTGTTTTTTATATGTAGCCATTGAAATACAGTGAATATTCGAAATGTGGACAAAGTTCTTATTTGCCTTTTCTCATTATTAATTTACAGTCATGTCTTAGACTTAAGCTAGACCATTGAAAACTTGAGAGGCTTATAAATATTGAAAAAAAAAACTTACTCAGTCTCTCACAAGCGTATCTCGACTTCCTATAATATAAATTTCCTATGAGCAACAATCATAAATTTTTGCTTATCTGTAGGAACATGCAATAGTTCTAGCATTCATGTGTGAAAAGTTTTGTATATTATATACATTCATATATAACACGGTGAGCAAATCGGAATTACATCAGGTATACAAAGGAATTCATTAATATGCCAACGATTGCTCAATCATAAAAATTAATTGGCTTATCCAATGTACTCAGCATTAATGAAAAAATATTCTGACATAAAAAAAAGAAAGAAAAAACATCAATATAAGATTGTATATAATAAAGAATTAATACGCTATATAACATCATAACTTAAGATTGGTGCCTTGTTAAGTTTGATATGAAATACAAAGAAATGGAAAAGCTAACCAAAATAATTGGTTAGCGATTTAAAAGTGCTTATAAACGTATTTCACAGTGCTGTAAAAATACCATCAAGTTAATGGAAACGTGAATATATTTAGCAAACAAAGTATATAATATGCAAGCGACACATTTGTACAATTCAGTTTTTTTTACTATATATAGCATGTATACATACATGTATAAACTCCGAAAGTAAATTAAAATAAAATGCGAAAAAATTCGAGTATTCGACTTATTATCAGCGCGTCGACGGACTGAAAAATAAAAACTGGCTAATACTGCTTTCGAATTGTTATGATTGTTTTTCGTATCAGAGTTTAGTATGCAAATTGTACAGTAGCCAAAAGGGCCTCTAATCGGTATAAACATTTTTATGTGTGCGCCAACTGGTCATATAATCGCAAAAGTAATGCGCGCTCTCCATAAATCTTTCACAATGGGCGCAACAAACGCCGACAAAAGATTAAAACGTTTTAATAAATCTTATTAGCTTAGCGAAATTTGCAGTTTCAAGAGTATATTTTAAAGGCATCGTAAATTTAAAGGCACGATGCCACTTGACTTTGGGATTTCGGGATTATTCAGTTTTGGCTTTCCGATACCGATAAGACTTACGGGAGTACGCACTGAATAAAATGGCCTCGTAAACCATATCAACATATGCACAAAGATAAATCGCTCTGTAAACTTAACACACAACGCTATTGTTACACAATATTTATCTGAGTAATTAGAGAATGAATAAGATCTTTTCACACAGTGTAGCATTTTTGCGGTTTTCAGATCCATTAGTGTATGTGGCTGTTAACAGTTGTTTTTTTTTTTTATATTTATTTTTAATCTACACAAAAACACAAATAAACCTCTGCCGATGACTTCTATATTCTCCGTTGGGTGGCTTCTGGGGGCGGGGCATATTTTAATTAGCTTAGCCAATAAAGCAGCTCACACTGAATAATTTATAACACGTTATATAATCTCAATTCGTTTCAGGCCAGGACAATAAATAAATTTGCGCTTTAAGAAGCAGATAATGAGCATAGTAAATTAGTGTGGAGTTCGAACAGTTGCCAAATTGTTGCCGTTAATTCACACAACACATGTAGATACAGAACAGATAATGAAACTGTGATACATTTCGGGCAATTTAAAGTGTCGCCGTTGTTAATTGAGCCTTCACACGCTCAAGTGCGCCACTTCAAATCAGCGACTCCCCGCGCAGTTCGCTTCACTGTCAAACGAGGCAACAACACAGAGTCGTAAAAGAAGAGGAAGAAGAAGCAGCAGCAGAACAACAACAGCAATATCAACAACTCGGCTGAGCACGAAGTTATCACCGGTAGTTCGCGCAAGAGCAACAACAACCAAAGGCGCTGCTCACGCTGCTCAGTCGACTTTGGCAGCGACAGCGACAGCGACTGCGTCTCCTCAGTAAGCTTGTCGCGTGTTTTTTGTTGTTTGTGTTCATACAGACTCTCGCTCTCCGACCACCGCCCCACTCCTCCCCCCGCATTGAGACAACTTCACCCACTCGACTCGATGCTTATGTTAGTCTCGGATTGTGACTTTGCCGTCGTCGCCGTCTGCTGCTGCAGCTGCTGCTGCTGCTGCTGCAAAGGAAGTCGGTCTTGTGACTTGGTGCAACAAGAGTGCAGCTAATTGAATTTAATGCACAAGCAAAAGGAATTTGATTTCATTTTTATATCGGACGCATGAGCAGTACCTAGTGGCAGGCAGAGGCGCAAAAGCAATGCGGAAAGAAAGTGCAAGTGACAATCGAAGCAACAACAAAAAGCGCTCAATAAGCGCATCTTAACAGTGAATGCAAAGCCAAAAAAATAACAATATAAACATTATAATTTAATATATACATTATATATAGGGTCAATTAATATTCAAGCCGTAAAGCTTACCACTGCATTGTGATATTGCCTGTTTAATTTGATAAAACACAAACACTCAATATGAAGTTCAACAGAAATGGACGCGAAACTGTGCTCCTCGTGCCATCGCCCAACAACACGTTTCCCGTTCGCACGTGCTCCAACGCATCCTCGCTGCGCCTTAATATGGATCACGATCACGACAAGATCGACGATGATACCGAGGAGGGACTTGGCTATACGCACACACTGGTAAGTCAAAAAAAAGAAGGAAATTTAAGTAAAAGTACAATAAAAATTTTTGACTAATGTTTAACTCAAATTTACTATTTTAATGTGACACATTTTCAAAAACTTGTGAGATTCGCATAGAAATGTAGATTTCCAATTTGTATACAAAATTGATTAAATGAATTTCTCAAAAATGAAATTAATTCACAACCAATTTTGATTTCAAGTGAACTATATTTGTTCTCTAGAATCTAGACTTGATATATTCAAAAAATTTATTATATTCAAATATTTGGAATTTAATATCGTTTTTCAATACTGTGATCCTACAGTTCAGTGAAAATAGCTATTGACACAAATGAAGTTGCACAGTGTAATAATGTAGTTCTTTTCCTGCTGATCAGTCAAAATATTTATCTACACAATTGAAAATACTTTCAAATTTGTTTGTTTGGTATTTCTGATTGAAATAAATTGTCCGGCTTCCAAATATTAATCTCAAATTTGAAGAAGCATGCCTTAATCAGATGTAGCATGCCTTACATAGCTTTGATAACCTTAATATAATTGAATGTCGTTACTTTTTTAGTTGTCACATCACATGATTGCCAGATCATTTGATGTACACATGATCAAGCTAGGCCAGCAGGCAGCTGTTTTAAGACAATGTAGTTTGTGGTAAATACTATGTTTTACCACAAATGGGGGCACATGTAACTGCGATTATGCAGTGCGGTAATCAGGTTTTATTCCGCACTTGTTGATAGGCTGGGGCTTACTGGGGTTTTTACAATTTTGTATTTTATGTATTTTATCATGGGAGTCCCCTAAACAAGTTGGTAGCAGTAACAAGTTAGTTTGATCTTAATCAAATACAGCTCTGTCTCAATTGCAAATTTCTGCTTAATCACACTTTTAATTTTGGTTTTCGTATTACTTGCAATCACATTGTTTTTATACCCTGGAAACAGGTCATTTGGTAAGCGGGTATTACAAATTGATGCTTACGTGTGGGACAGATAGATGCAGGCTGCTCTCTGGAAAGATATTATCGATAATGATTATATTTAAAGTAACGATCTACACTTGTTAACTCAGCATTTGTCCATTCATACACAAAAGTAAACTCATTCAACCCAATATAATTCAATTTATAAAATTGAGTATGTCAGCTTCCATAGACCAAAAAAATATGTTTTTTATTTTAAATATGCAATTTTCAGTTTGCAATAAAACAACCCCAATTGAAAATGTAGCATTAAGATTTAATTACAGGTCATCTGGCAGTCCGTACACACTTTCTTTGTTTGTGTATCCAAATCTGCGTCATCGAAGCGAGCGCACATGAAAATTATATATATAATTGGATTTAAATTTCAATGATTTTATGGGGGAGTCCCCTTTGAAGTTGGTTGACCTGCTTGCTGCGAGTGGGTCACAAATTTATCTGTGTGCTTTAGAATGTTATTTGTGGATTTTTTGCGTGTGATAAGATGCAATTAGCATATGAGATGGCCATCTCACATCTGTTCAAGGCAAACATTTACACAGATCTTAGCTGTTGGCTTTTGAAAGCAGCCCAAGATCTCTTTTCCAGTTCAAAGGCAGATAAAATGGCACTCGCTAATGGAAAGATTTGGAAGACATCCAAATAACATGCACACATCTCGTGATTATGTCTTATTTGCTTCACTTCGCCTTAGGCCTACAAATCTTCCCCTTCTGCGCATCTGATAAGTTCCACAACAAAAAAAACAAAGAGACGCATTCCAAAAACTGTTTAAATGTGGTAGCTATCAGGCTTTAAAATCTCTTTCCATTCAGTTCCCTTTTCTTCGACTTTTTATATAAATTACAAAAAATTACTCATAAATTTTGTTTACCTATATTTTATACTGGCTGATTGAATTATAATTGATTGATTGATTTAACAGGAAAAATTCCAGATTTATCAGTTATTGAATAAACAAATTTTTTGTTATGTTACCTGGCAAAAATATAAAATAAAAGAACTCGTTCAGCTTTGAACTTTCAATTACTCGTCATAAGACAAATCAAATTAATACGCAAAACCAATATTTACACAATTTATACATTTATTTATTTATTTATAAACTATTTATTTATAAACGATTGATAAGTCTAAGTGCAATTGCCAATTTATCATTAACTTTGCACTATTTGGAAAATCCAAATTGGTTTTCAATTGTTCCATAAATGAGTTGTGTTATTGCAGAATTATGTGTACTTTGTGATATAATTAATGTGGGGATTGTGTGGTGTCTTTTTGGAATTGCCGACAAGTTTGTTAACCAATTGTAGGTTTTTCTATTGCAAGATCGCGACTTAAAGCTGTTTAAATATGCGACAATAATTTACACAATTTGTCTGTGAGACAGGCAAATAGATGGAGCCTAGTAAAAAGTGTTATTTATAGAATATAATTAACACAATAATATTGCATTTATGTGATATCATTATCGATAGAAATTAGCTGAGCGTATGCGTAATATTTCGGCAATTAATCATGTTTAATTATTTGTCTGGACAGAAGTGGGATAATTATTAAATATTTATTATTCATTTATTTGTTCTTATCAAAATGTCATCATAATTATCTCATCAGTAATAAGCATTTAATCAAGAAAAAATTAGTATATTTATTTGTATATCAGACATATAATGGAATTTCGAATGGGATAATAATACCTGTGACTAATTCTGAACCAATATTTTGTAGTTCATCAGAGGTCGTTTATTTTAGACTTATTTGGATATAGATGCTATCCGCATATTATACGCTTTTAGTCTTCACACAATGGGTCGTATGAGCAATATAAGAATACATAATCAAACCTGACAAACCAATTAAAATCGAATCTAATATTATATACTGAATTCAGAAATGTTATTAGCACCTGACGAAAAGCACACAGAAAAGCTCTCAACGATTTCAGTCAGCATTGGTCACCTTTTGTATTTATGCGTAGATAACATAAAACAATATGTATACTATGTCCAAGCATAGTAAAAACAGAGCTTAATTGTTATCTGAAACTTGCTGGCTTTTTCACTTCTGTTAGATCTTAGATAACTGGCCTTATGGACAAGTCGATCTAAACCACAATCAATCAAAGTCGCTTCCCTATCGCTGTGCATTTTGATTTAGGGGGGCATCGATTGGGCGTAAAATCCGAAGCGAATTGATTTCTAGATTTCGATGGGCACTGCACTCGTTGGTTATGAATGTTTATTACCGGTTTATTGTTTAATACAATTAGCAATGTGCTTTATGGTTGGTAAGGGGGGGTTCAGGTAGGGTCTTAAAAGCTGTTGACGGCTGCCAAACAGTTGGTTCGGGCTGTAAAAATGAATTGTGTTCATTATCACGTATTTATTGAATTTATTTATTTATTGCCCGCTATTTGAGCTTACATAATTCTAAATTGTATCTTCTTGAATCCATGCAAATATTACATGATTACGTTATTTGCTCAATTTTTAATTAATTTGGTATTCGCTGTTTGACTTTTGCACAGGTGTTGTTGTTATTGCTGTTATTCACGCCTTTATCTTGGCCAGTTTTGGGGGGGGTACTACAAATGGCGTCTGTACCTGTGGCCAGCGATGCTGCGATCTTCAGTTGCCCCGGCATTGTTGCCAAGTCCACTTGGCTTTATCACCAATTCTTTTTCAAAAGTTTAAGTTCATTTCCACAAATCTGTTCCGCTATGATTAAAAGAAATCCTAAGGTTTGTTGAATCCTTCAATATAATTTCTTTTTTTCTTTGGCTCGTCATTAAAAAACTTTAAATTGATATATATTTTGAATAATAATTTAAAGCTTAATCTAATTTATAATTGTTCTTGTCACATTTGAAAAACTATAAAAATTAAAAAAAAAAAGTTGTTATTGTTTTAAAAGGATAACGAGGCTAATAATATAATAATTCTAGAATGTTATGTTTATGCATTTCTTTAAACTTGTTCAATCTTGTTCACTAACACAAGGACAGCTTTGATTTCTTGAATTCAAATTTAATACTTTTTGATTTTGGGCTAATTAATTATGTGCCGACAGAGCTCTTGTTTTATTCTCAACACGTGTGCAACAATAAGTCACTTCTTGAGTTTGTCTAAATTATAAAGATTTAACTCGAAAAGTGAATTTTTCTTGTCATTTCATTTCTGTCACTTTGCTGATCAGGAAAATCTTCAGCAGATTTTCTTTTGTTCTGTTAGTCTCTGCCGAAATGCTCTTAAGCTTTTAAATACCTTTGGATATATATATATAAATATAGTACATATGTATATTTTTATACATATACCATAATGAAAGAAATTTCTTTGTGTCTCATTTCCAGTCTCAAACTTAAATCAATCGACTTATTACGAACTGAGCGTGAAACCAAACATTATCGCCTACCGCAAAGTTCTCTCTGATTTCTTATCAACGAATTGTTTAGTGTAGTTCTCTTAGCTTGTGCTTTCTCTCTCTTTCTCGCTATTTTATTCTCTTAGCTAAACAAATATTAAAATAAATTTGTAGCATTTTCAAGCAACTTGAATATAACTTAAGAGCACTATAACAAACCATCAATTGGTAATATTAAAGACTATATATATGTATATATATATATATATAAACCAGTCTATGAAAAGCAAATTAGTATATGAACTCTGTACTCAAGTGCGCTAAGTGCACAAACTGATTTATGCATGTAATATATATGGCAGGCAATTCAATTCTAAGCCCCTTAATCTGAATTTATGTCGTTGAGGGAATGAGAGAAATGTGAGGGGACAGAAACTCGACTAAACTGGAATAATGAAATAATGGGTAATTTACAATACGAAGTAAAGGATACCAGAAATTAAAGATTATTGACTTCAAAAATTGCTCATTTTTCAAAGTTCTTAAGCGGTTTACTGGCTGCGCTTCCTTACAATAAATGCTTAATGGAAGTGAGCTGTACTTTATATTTAAGATGCTAAATAATATTTATCGTTTTTAATAGTAA